GAATATGACTTTTTAAAATCCCGTTTATGATATATCTGGAAAGCGCTCAATAGTTTCAATAGTTCAATCAAATTGAATTAATACTGTAATTGTTCAGTTTCAATTTTAAATGCATCTGACCCCCCATGCCTGTTAGTGTTATGAAAAATACGTTGCCTACATTTTGGTTAACTGTGAATTGAATAAGTTCATTGGAACAACGTACATTCGAGTTGATAACGTACACTTATGATTTTTTAAATTATAGCCAAATCTTTAAAGTCCCCGTCTAAAGTTTGAAAATATTTTTTTATCATTCATTTACTATTTGTCAGGACTTAAAAAGTGATTTTAGAGATTTTTGAACAAAAAACATTTTTTGGAAAAAAAGTTGTGAGCATTTTATTTCTCAAATATTCAAATTTCCCGCCATTTTTCAAAAAAAGTTGAAATTTCTTAATCATCAAATATTTCTTAATGCATTTCAAAAAAGATTATCTTTTAACACCAATGCAAAGATTGAACAAAGGACACACTATTTCAATAATAAAATGCCATATTTAATGGGCCACTTCAATGTTTTAGCATATCAAAAATATTTTGAAACATTACTGATGTCACTAAGGTAACCAAAACTCTTTGAAAAAATTGAAATATTTTTTTCGATGTCAATCTTTCGAGTGATCAAATCGACCACTGTTCGAAAATCTTTTAACGTTATTAAAAAGTTAAATGTCTTTCTAAACGAATACACACGAAATCAAACATGAAATCCTTTATGTATTCCTCAGATAATATTTTTAAAATTTAAATCAAACCTACATCATTGTCTTTGCTTCATATCGGTTAATAGTGACACCGTACATCTAAAGTGTACGACGGTATATTTTGACACTGTACGTTGTCGATGGTTAGGCGTGGCAATGTAATTTGGAAAAATTGTCTCACACAAAAATGGCGATCACAAGAAGGAAATGTGCACTTCCCAAAACATTTTTTTATTTTTTCAATTTTTAGAACAATTTCAAAATTCTAAAGTACCTTTGTTTTGAAGGTTTATATAAGTGACGTTTCTAAGAAATTTTTCTACATTTTTCTGTACACATTTTCAAAGGGCTAAAATTTCTTTTCCATACGTTTAGTGTTTCTATTTCTATTACCTTAGTAGGCTGGGTCATATAAATGATAGAGGAACGAACAAAATTGAGACAAAGTCGAGCTGAAAAATTCATTTAATGGATAAAATATACTAAAATCATTTAAACCCTTGAAATCTCTGCTTGTAAATGGCTGTCTGGACAGCGCTATGCTAATGCACCATGAAAGCAGGTCCGATCCTGTTCACTCTCAGGAGATATTTTGCCAAAATGACACAGCCTCTCACATTATACGGTTGGAGGCATTCTAGTTAGTGTTAATCATTTTCTGTATTAGATTAGGCAGCACAAACAAAAATGTGCCCCACATCCTTTCAACAAGGTTATAGATGTTCCAAATTGCAACCAAGTTGTCAAGTTGTGTTTATTTAAGACATTCCTCTAATTAAATGTGGAAGATCCATGGGGCAATATTGAGGAATTATGATCACATTAACTCTATTTATACGATCACTTCCGTCAATTTATAGCTTCTAATTAGAATGTATGATTGTGTTCTACCCCCTCGTGATGTCTCAAATAGCCTTACCGCAAAAAGCAAATCGTAATGAAGAACGTAATTTAAAAGGATTTGATTGATCATTCCGTGCATTATCTTTTTGTTTCATCTCAAAAGTCACCTGAGAATATGACAAGGTGGACCCTGGACATTGGGTATTATAGGCTAATATGGACTTTCTCTGTAAACCCATAACTTTACCTAGAAATACTAGTGTAATAACTGTAGATATGCGGCTGGTGACTCAAAATATTGTAATTCTATCACAGGCTGGTATCGAAAAATTTGTCCGCTGTGACGGAGCGTGCTATTTTGCATAGAAACACTAAGAAATCACACAATTTATTTTCACTCATATGTTTCGCTATACCAAAGAACATTACTTACTCCATGCAATGGATATATCATTTGCGGGTAGCTTTAACTTCTGTTTGAAGTCCAACAACGCTAAGAGTAAAAGCTATTGAAAACGGCGCCGGAGTATCATACTCCAACTCCATACTATGGCACAATATAATGACACGATAATATTAACATATGTTTTCAGCATAACTCTGAAGGTATTAATGAGATTTTGATGTATTGTTTTGTTTTTTTTTTATAAAAAAAATCATGTTTAATTTTATTGTCCGCTGTGACGGAGCAGTTTTAATTGTGAACTACGTTAAGAATTTAAGATTCAAATTATATATTTTAAAAGTACCCTTAGAGGAGAGAACGTCTCAAATCACTTTCCTAAATCATGACAAGTAGTCTGGGAGATCTGGGGTAATGTAAATCTGAAATATAAAAACGACCACTCTTTTAGCATTTTTCGGAGGTTTGTACTGAAATCAACTAAAGTTATTTAGCGTTGCAAAAAGATAACCCACGAGAAGCATAATAAAGCCATGCGCCAACTTCACTTGGATTCCTTTTGTGAAAGAACAGAATAATGTAATTAGGATCAAACGCAACATAAAGCCTGTTTTCATGATTTGACCTTGTTTTTCTACACATAGCTATATTATACATTCAGATACCCATCACTGGCATCGCATCTGTTTTCTGTTTTTCAACTTTCTAAAAAGGAACTGATAAAAGGCCATGAATTATCATGATGTTAAATTATGTGCTTTTTAGAAGTTTATGTTTTGACCGATTAGTTTTTGGGATTTTAAAAAAGAGTTTTTAATGCATAATTTTGCTTTTCATGAAGCAGAAAATTCCAATATCAGTTATCACGACCAGTGTTATCAGAACTAGTTCAAATATTCACACCAAACCATTACCTATCAACCATAACCTTTCAATTCAAATTTCAATTTCAAAAATATCAGTTAATTTGTTCAATCACTAACTGATATGTTTATAGAAAAAACGGGGGAAAACATAATTTCGTTATCACTGGCCTACGTTACATAGTTATATTTGCGTGTCTTATATCAAGCTTTCTTGCAACAGGCTTCCGAAGCCTTGGGCACATCGTTCGATGTTAAGATTCCTTCAGCAATGTTTTAAATATGATATTTTATGCATTTCAAAATCAAACGGAGAGCCCTTGGGATCAGATATAAATGCAAACGTATTCAAACAAACGGAACTAATCCAGAACAACACCAATGCGATTACATCAGTCGAGACAGCTGTCTAATCATAATACTATTTTTCACCAGAAGTTTTTAAGTAGCTTCTCTATTATAGTTTGGATTTTGTCATTCATCATTAAGGACACCGCGATGTTATATTGTGCATATCTAAACTCATCTATAATTTGCTTTGGAATATTAGCCATCCATCATGCTATCTACTGTTTACCTATGCTATCAATTAAAATAGAAAGATAACAAACATGGTGATAAATTACAACCAAATCGTTAAGACATCAAGTTGGGGAAGAGTTGTGATTATTTTTAAACATTTCTCTTGGAAATGCGTCTGCTAATCAGATTTGAAATCCATTAGGACCGATTTCTGAAAATTAGCTTGATGATACCCTGCGAGATAACTGTTAACGGCATCATATATTACATTCACCATGCTGTTCTTCCACGCGAGAGCTTTCCAGTCTTCTAATTTGAACTTGATGATATTCAGGATGAACTTGGGACGGGTGATTGCTCTATTTACTTTTCTCTTGAATTGGATAAAATTATTGTTAAGTTTTTGATCCAAATAGTGTGTCAAGGTATTTTAGAGTTTCAAAAATGAATTGTGAACAAAATGGTGCCAACAAAACTTGTAGACATGTACAGAAATTGTTCCGCACAAATTGACATTGTACGTCTTGTACATACATACTTCGACCGTTAATTTGAATTTTTGACCTACCAGGTGTTTGAAAATCAAGGATTGCGAGTCTCATACTGCACCGATTTTCTTCAAACGTGTTCCATTCAAAGCATAACAAAAATGCCTTTCTGTTGGTATAAGTATTCTGTTAGACAGAGTCCCTACTTTCCAGCGGCATTTTGGTCTCCAGCTGAGAGAAGGGCTTCTATATAGAAGGCGACGTATTTGAGGAGGCTATAGAAGGCGACGCGGATGTTGTATTTGAAGAAGCTATAGAAGGCGACGCGGATGTTGTATTTGAAAAAGCTATACTTAGAAGGCGACGTGGATGGTGTATTTGAAGATGCTATAGAAGGCGACGTGGATGGGGTATTTGAAAAAGCTATAGAAGGCGACGTGGATGGTGTATTTGAAGATGCTATAGAAGGCGACGTGGATGGGGTATTTGAAAAAGCTATAGAACTTAGAAGGCGACGTGGATGGTGTATTTGAAGAAGCTATAGAAGGCGACGCGGATGTTGTATTTGAAAAAGCTATAGAAGGCGACGTGGATGGGGTATTTGAAAAAGCTATACTTAGGAGGCGACGTGGATGGTGTATTTGAAGATGCTATAGAAGGCGACGTGGACGGGGTATTTGAAAAAGCTATAGAAGGCGACGTGGATGGGGTATTTGAAAAAGCTATAGAAGGCGACGTGGATGGGGTATTTGAAAAAGCTATACTTAGGAGGCGACGTGGATGGTGTATTTGAAGATGCTATAGAAGGCGACGTGGATGGGGTTTTGAAAAGCTATAGAACTAAGAAGGCGACGTGGATGATGTATTTGAAGATGCTATAGAAGGCGACGTGGATGAGGTATTTGGAAAAGCTATAGAACTCAGAAGGCAACGTGGATGGTGTATTTGAAAAATCCATGTCGTGGGGCTTATTCTTACTTACCAGAGTTTTCAAATTTTCCCGAGCCAATGAATGAATATCAAACCTACTTGCTACTACTACTATTTTGTCTTTTAGAATAGTAATGATAAATTCAATAAACTATTGCAGGCCTCCTTATAATTAATTTTCATTAATTTTTAATATTCGGCCTACCTATTTGTATTTGTGATGACCATATAGTAATCAATCCACGCTAGCGTAGTTTTTAAAAGCGTTATGATGTTTTTGCTGTCCTGTGATTTTTATAGGAAGCTTTCACGTAATCCCTATTTGATCTTTGCAAAAATTCTGTTTCACTTGTGCATGTTAAAACAGATTTGCCGTTCAGTTTACTATCCTCGTCCAGTCCAGTCGTCCTCGTCCGATTTTTAGCAAAATTTGATTTAAGTCAATATATAATTCGGTGATATAATTGTTGTTCTTTGTAATGTTTCAATCTCTCCTTCGTTTTAATCCCCTGGCCCTAAATTGTAAAACAATATGTTAAAAGTAAGCCTAACATGTAACATTTGTTGATAATAAACAATCAACTTCATTTATTTAGTCTATAAGTTGTTCTCTCGTGTTATGCTCTGCTAGCCGTAACTCCGTGATGTTCCTTGTGCTTGTGCTAGTCTGTTCTTGTAGCTTGTTATATCTCCAGTCTTATCTGATTTAAACTGCTGGATTTTGAAATTGGAATCGGGAAATACTCCGGAAAAAGTGACCAATAGATGGACTGATCTGCCGGATCTCTTCTTTCAAGCTATGGAAAATGAATAGGTATTGCCATCATTGTGAATACATTTTATCCTAATGGGTATTAATTAGGACAAAAGAGTAGTGCGTAAATTAATTAATGAACTCACCGGTGCCTTCGTTAGGTGTTCTTGCTCGAGGTAAAAGGAGAAAAACTGAGAAGTTAATTATCATGTACACCGGTTGTATTGATAACTTTATAATACTAAAATAATGTACTTCCTTTCTTTGCATCGAAAGTTTCTTAATAGTAAAATACAGAGGGGTCTTTGTGATTGTGATGTATCTTTCTAACAGGTGGTTAGTTATTGCATGGTTATAATACAAAATGTCACCGCTTCTCAATAATGCTTAATGGTGAGATGACTTCCAAAACATACTAGTTAAAAGAAGTGGGAAAACTACTTTGGAAATCTTGAACAAAGAGCATATCTGTTTTATATGTCTCTGTTTTAAGGACGGTATCGTTCTGAATATAATATTTGGATTTTGAGACCAGGGGTAGTGATGTATCTCCACAATGAGGCCAAGCTGACTTCTGTTGACAGTAACACCTGAACACACTGTAAGCTTCACAATCCTCTACATGTAGACCACGTAACTATAAATATGGCATATATTATATGTAAGTTTACGTTTTTTCGTTTTTTTCACTAAACGGCACTAAGACTATGTAATGCTGCATGACATAATTAATACTAAAAGAAACGTAAGATGATTTTAAAGATTACATAACCAAAGAAGATGACAACCAACCACTCTTGACGAGTACAATAATCGGCACGGGCAATGATGATACAAACACCACAAAAACACATCTATCTAATATAGCTTACATTCTCACTAGGCGTTTGCAGCATGGATCATAGACGTAAAAGGTAACTTTCTTTTCTTCATCCTAGGTTTTATCATTCTTTGAGTTTCTTTGAATTTATGTACACACAGTCGTAAACTATGATGACACTTTAAATATAGTTTCATAATCCACAGTAGGTACTAGCCTCAATTTCGTAGCTGCATTTCATTGGCAATATGCTAAAAAACCTCCGCTTAAAATGAAGTCACAAAGTCATAAAATGAAAAAAATGAGGAAGAAATTGTCGGGTTTGTAGAATCAATTCTTCGTATATTTCCTATGCATGCGGTTGGCAATGGTTGGTGCAACAGGACTGGACCTCGGGACTTTGCTAAGATGTTTCACAACTGACCAAATTGCTGCAACCTGGTAAGCTTTTTGGGCTTGTATGCATATGATTATCCCATCAGCAATAACTCAAATATCGTTTGCCCAATATCGTTTATATACTTGCCCCATATGAGTTTTGATTGAAAGCCGATTTTCAAAATGGCCACCATTTTCAAAATGGGCACATTTTACAGTATTTTAGGTACAACATTATAAAACTGTAATGTTAACATGTTTTAAACCAAAAAATGAATAAGATATGGATAAAGTTGAAAATATTGGCGGCCATCTTGAATTTAGCGCTGTTATGCGCTACTTTACGATTTTTTATGGGACAAGTAGTGCGAATTTGTTCATAACCATGGTACACTGTCTTTTTGACAGTGTGTTATTTTACTCGAAATGTAGTGGAGTGATTTTGCTGAAATTTTGTATGTCACTACGTAGAAGCATACTACATTTTCTTATGCGTTTTGGCTGATTAGCGGCCATTTTTACTTGTGCTACTTCACATCTTATGCTACAACAACAAAAAGTGATGGAGCGATTTTATTGAAACTTTATTTTTCATGCTTTATGCTATAACTGGATAAGAATTGGAGCAATTTTGTTATATGTGAATAATTAAAAGCATGTTACGCTCTCTTATGACAATTTGGCTAGGGAGTGGCCATTTTCCAAAGCAATTTTTTATGTGTGATAAACAAGGGGTGGTGAGATTTCACAAAGATGACCGTTGGTACTGGCACATTCGATCACAATTTTATAAACAGCTGGCCTTAAATGAGACGAGTTAGAGTTAGTTAAAGTCATGGCTTACTGAGTGTCTAGCGTGGAATAGAAGCGTGGAGTAGAATATGGTAAGTCATGGCCGTTCGATGGGATTTGCCCCGCCTTGGCGTTGCTATTATCTAGTTATAGTTGAACATTTTCGTGATAAAATATCAGGCCTATAACATGGATTCAGTTAAGGTATGTCAAGTTGACCAAATAACTTGACCAATTCACTTGACATTCGACGTCTGAAGAATGAAGATGGTCACAACGGGTCTTGATTGCAACTCTAATTGCTAAGGGGGAAATGTTAAATGATGATTAAGTTCTATTTAAGAAGGAGAAAGAGTGTAATGTTCTTATTTTGAAGGATGGAGATAAGGTCTCCAAACATTGGCCAATTAATATCCTGATTTTGTGATGAACTGATGACAAGATAATAATCACAATAATATTTACTGAGGAAAAAATAGAACTTCCTTGTCATGATAACATCAATTGATTAGTCGTAATGTCTCCTTATTACAAGTTATATCATGTTCGTAAATCACACGTGAGCAAAAAAAATCACTATACTCAATATTCAAGCTCATCTAACTGAAATAAATTGTTTTATGTAAAATGATTATAGCATTTTTTCTGAAGGAATTGTGAGAATATTAGATTTGAAAATCCTAATTTTATTTCCGGAAAAAATCTGATCTTTAGATGTTGAGGAATTTAGAAAAGGGCATCTCATGGAATGATGTGGATTTGTCACTATTCCTTCTGGCTCCTTGTCTAAGGCTGCACTACAGAGGAATTGTGCGGACACCAACTACGTTTTCTGTAGTTGTTATCTTATACTTATTTTTGACAGACTAGATTCCTTATATTTACTTATATTCCTATAAGTTCCTTATACACCTCCATCTAGTCTTATCCTGTCCCTCTTCGAATTCTCCTGGGTGAGTGGCTCCTTTATTTATGCAAATCAGGATCAGAAATCTGTACTTTTCCACCGAATCATTTCAGTCCTTTAAAGTCCCCGTCTAAAGTTTGAAAATATTTTTTTATCATTCATTTACTATTTGTCAGGACTTAAAAAGTGATTTTAGAGATTTTTGAACAAAAAAATTTTTTTGAAAAAAAAGTTGTGAGCATTTCATTTCTCAAATATTCAAATTTCCCGCCATTTTTCAAAAAAGTTGAAATTTCTTAATCATCAAATATTTCTTAATGCATTTCAAAAAAGATTATCTTTTTAACACCAATGCAAAGGTTGAACAAAGGACACACTATTTCAATAATAAAATGCCATATTTAATGGGCCACTTCAATGTTTTAGCATATCAAAAATATTTTGAAACATTAGTGATGTCACTAAGGTACCAAAAACTTTTTGAAAAATTTTTTTTTCGATGTCAATCTTTTCTAAATATGTTAGACTTTCATAAAAAACCAATGTTGATTGTCTAACCAGGTTAAAAGGAAGAATAAATTATGTTTTAGATATCATTGTACCATTGGTTTCTATGAGAACTAAAATTTTGAAATGCATTTTTCTCAGAACCATTTTCATGCACTGATAAGTTTATTTCTCGCTTATTTATGAACCGATTTTCTTAATTTTTTCGGCAAAAAACACGGGAGGATGAATGCTATGCATTGGTATGAATTGTGGCTAATTAGAAGATATGAGTGACCTCTAAACGTTGGTTTTAAATAAATTCACAAATTTTGGAACAAAAAGTCTATCAAAAACCACTTTTTGAAATTTAAAAAAAAAGTTTCACATATCACACTTTGATAACATTGGGTAAGACTACAATATAAGCCAAAGTGGTTTAAACTTTATATGGGGCCTTTAATGCTAAGATATATGTCAGTCTTGCTATCGTTAACAGCATTTTGAACGGTATCTCTGCCTGCACTGGCTCCGCAGCACCTCCCATACCTTCCCTGTGGTTCCTAACCTCACAACGCACGCGGCAATATCTATCACCATTCACCATATTCGCATACCTTGGAATAGCATTTTCATTCGTACTAGATCCGATCGATCTAGCTAAAATCGTGAAACAAGTAAAATACCTGGTACTTCTTCTGCCTAATTTTTCATTTTTGATTATTCTTTGTTAAACGTCAAAATGAGGATGTTGCCTGTAGATGTTATTATTTACGTATTCAAAATGTTTTATTTTCATTTAGGGCCTCAACTTGTGACCCAACCACCAAAAAATTACAACTCAACATATATAAACAAGTAATTATCCTTAAACAATCTAACATGCTTAGTTTTACTGTAACCAGGGATGGATCCAGGATTTCAGGTTAGGGGATGCGCCTTAATTGTTGAATTGGAGGCCGATGGATAACCAAAGAAGGCCAAAGGCCACCAACAACGTGTCAGAGGAAATTTTAGAATTTCGATGTCATTTGCTACATTCTGAACATTTTTGAACATTTTGAAATGTACCAAAAAATTAGAAAATAATTATTCTGCGCGTAATAGGCTACAAAGCGAATTTCATAGTGATGATCAAACTGAAATCGGCCAGAGCTTTATTTTTCATATCAAAAATATCTTCACCTGATATTTGAATTATATCCTTGTAACCATGGGATAATACCAAATAGTTCATTCTGTTAAGGTATATACCTGCGCCTCTTTCAAATGTTCAAAAGTGATATTCACGCTTCAAGGAATATCACTTGTGAAAGATGCACAGATATTTACCTCAAAAGAATGACTTTTTTGTGCAATCTTTCATGACAAGTGACCCTGTTTGACCAATCATGCAATTGCAAACTTAAAGTGTTATGAAAGTTGTTGATTAATAATTTAACACGCAGTTTTATTATGCCATGGATCAGGGCAATGAAACATTGTATACTTTCAGCTGTGTTATATGCATCGAGTATTGTGATAGGCTTTTATATAAATGGAGCTATTCTATTATTTTATGAGATCGGTCGTGAAATGTGTTACCCTCTGTAACAGAAGGAGTGACTGGTGGCGTGCTTACTCTGACCAACAACATATTGGTATCGTATTCCTGGCTATATTACAAATACCAAATATAGGTGGGATATAACTTTTCATGACCCGAAAAGTAATATCATTCTTACACTTCAGATTTAATATAGCCATATCAGATTCATTTTTTCTGATTAACCAATTCCAAGTTTCACGAGATTTTACATTTTCTTGGCAAAAACAATGTTGATAAGACGAATGCTTTGCCCTAGATTGATCATTATTCTGAAAAGATGCGCAAACACGTCCCAAAGTGGCTCCATTCTGCACACTTAAACTAATTCTATTTTCCTGTTCCAGGAGTAGCGTGGATGAACTGGACATTACTTGGTGCATATGATGTGGACTCTCAATACCTCTCTTGGCTTTAACTAAAACTGGATATAGAAGACTCAAAGTTGACCAACATCAAACATAGAACAAATCAATTGTATATTTGTATTTAGTTGATGTGCGTGGGAATTTGCTGACACATTCAATGTAAGATAAATAAATAAGTAAAATGAAAATAAATTATGAAGGCGCTTCCTTGCCTTCTTCAGGAAAGCATCGTTTCATTGTCTTATTTTAATATATCTGGTAAGAGGTCAATGGCAACTAAGTGTTGTTGAGAAACTTGAAGAAGTTTGGAAAATTGAAAAGGCAGGCAATTTCTGGAGTTACCATGACCCTCTTGCCAGATATACTAAACGGAGACAATGAAATGATACATAATGTGAAAAACAAGGAAAACACACATACCTTCCTTCATAATTTTTTGTACCATAAAATATCATGTGTACAAAAAATGTTTTCGTTCCACCATGACCTTAAACAAAATGCTTTGAGTTGATAACTTAAAATAGTGGGATGTCGATGGGGCTTCATGAGACCATAATATACACTATTGACTATACATAGTAACTTCTATACTAGCTACTGTGTTGGTCATATGTTCATTTTTGTGAGCAGTAATAACAATGAACTTAATAAAACTCTTGAATAACTCAAAAGTAAATCTTTCAATTACGAAGAGCTGGGTAGTAGTATGGCATCAATAAATAATTCACCCATGAAAATACCATTTATTTTTTAAAAGTTACATCGTATCGCGTTTATGCACCATTGAAATTAACGCGTTCGAATTTACACGCACCAATGATCATTGATATAACTAATCAACACGGTCAACCGTGCTAACAATAAAACACCAGCGTCGCTGAAAACTAAGGACTCCCGATGGTGAATGTTAAATATGGCCCTGACCCTTTTGACCACAGGTATTGGAAATACAATGCGGATATTCAGATTCACAAACCCATGGTCCTTGATCTGTCCAATCAAAACTGCCAAAGTACCACCTAAACTAGCTGAGCTGAATCCCTTGTTTGGAATTGAGACTTGTTTGCCATCTTGCCTATATCAAAGAAAGGACACACACGTTAATTCTTTGGAGATAATTGAAAGTTTTGTGACCTTGCTCGACTCTGCTATAAAGATGCAAATCAATATCAAGGACGTGGTCAAAAATGATGTACAAAACATTGAGGTCAACTCTATGGAATATCGTGAGAAACCGACAACGTCAGTAACTACTTCAACAACGACCGATCGTAAAACTGTCACCTCCGCGCACAGTGATCAGATATGCGGAACAAAAAATCAACATGGCATTGTACCAAGTTCTCGTCAACTACGTCCAACATACTCGGATGTTTTGCTTGGGATTTCCTTCCCTAAAACAAGGTATTTTTAACTTATACCATTACCAACATTTTGTTCAGGGACAATCTTAGTGGACAAGATGGGGCAATTTATGCTTTGTTCAGCTGGTCGACTATTGTCCTTATTCCATGAACCAATCAGGACTAAAATGTTTGGAACTAGAGTCTATTTCACTGCTTCATTTCGTCAGTAGAACGGCAAAAATAAGAAATTGGGAGACCATTGTGATATAATATATGGAAAAGTATATTCATAATGTACATGAATGACATTTGTATATTTCAGATTTTTTAGTTTTTTGTGCAATAAGCCTGTGCCGTCTTGTAATTTGAAGAATTTCAGCCATGTTAATCTTATTGAAAATAACATGGCAGAGAAACATCCAAATATAAGAGGCCACACACTTTATAAGCCAAACTAGAAGCAATCCAAGATATACAAATGTCATTCATGTACATTATGAATATACTTTTCCATATATTATTGCACAATGGTCTACCAATTTCTTATTTTTGCCATTCTACTGACGAAATGAAGCAGTGAAATGGACTCTACTTTGTACTTTGAATCTAAAAAATAAGCAATCAAAGAACTACATTGAAATTACTTCCTGCGAAAGCTATTTGGATTTTGATATAATAGCTTTCCCACGGAGCATTTGGACAGCTCAATGATCGTGACCTTTGAAATCGAATTAAGTCGATCCGCGGCTTACTTTTGGTCTCTAACTGTGTCTTACATCAGTATCATCAATCCGTGTATTATTGGAGCGCTGGAGTACTTCTTTTTCGATCAAGACTTGTAATTGTTAGTCGAGTGAATCGTTTTACTGCCAAATTCCAATATGGCGGTTTCTGCTCGGACATTTTCGTAAATCTCCGGAGGTTGTCCAAACCTAACTAATTCTCAAAATTCATTTCGTTCGTTGCGTATCTCGCACCTAGCAAACCGCCATATTGGAAATAGGTCTGTAAAACTTTAACTCGATGAACAATTTACAAGTCTTGATCGAAAAAGAAGTACTCCAGCGCTCCAATACTTACACGGATTGATGATACTGATGTAAGACACAGTTAGAGACCAAAAGTAAGCCGCGGATCGACTTAATTCAATTTCAAAGGTCACTATTGATCAGCTGTTCACTTCTCCGTTTGAGAGCCATAAGTTTCAAAATCTAACATGGCTCTCGAAGTGAGTAACATTGAAACAGTATATGTAAAAAATAGAAACGTTTAAACATGTCCTAACGTTTGTATATTTTAGTTTGTTTTGTAGTTTAGCAATCACATCTGTGGCCTCTTATATTTTGATGCTTCTCTGCCATGTTATTTTCGAAAGAATTAACATGGCTGAAACTCCCTATCTGAAATATACAAAAGTTAGGACCTGTACATATGTTTTGCTTTTTTATAAACTGTTGCAATATAGTCATGTTTGCTTATTTTTTAATTCAAAGTACTTCCAAACATATAAAATTTTACAGTACACGCAAAACTCTATATTTCAGAAAAATTCATCCAAGAGATTATAGAGACTGTAGATGTACAAAATAATCTCTGTGAGAGCAATAGAACAGATTTTTGCAAAATAAACCAAATCATAACAGGTCACTCAAAGCTGAATCACCTTCAGCAAAAGTTCAAACTGACATTTCCAATCTATGTGACCACTGTAATCGGGCAGAGACAGTCCAACATTATATCTTTGAGTGTGAATTATATCAGGAAGAACGTGAACTTATGCTCCACAAGGCAGAGACTATACTTTTAGGGGTAGAGAGCCCCAACCCATCTATTGACCTAAAATTGCTCTCAGGATTTAGTCAATCACTAAACAGGACCCAAAATCAAAGTATGAGACATTTGTTAATGGCATACTTAAAAACAACCAAAAGAATATAACCAACCACAAACACGATACAGATAGTGACTGTGTAAACAGAAAATGACTGTATAAACAGATAGTGGCTGTATAAACAGAAAGTGACTGAATATATATACAGTGATTTAATATCATAATTATAATTTCTACTTTTATGAGAGAGACAATCAAGACATTCAATATATATAAAATAATGAAATACAAAATCTGCGCAACAAGTGTAAACTGAAGCACATGAGAGAGCACAAAGAGAATTTACAGTACACGAGACGAACTGCCGAGAAAACAGCGGCGTATGCAACACAACAACAACAAAAATCATATTTATGTACAGTAAACCCGTGGCCTTATGTAATTTAGGGAGTTATAACCATGCTAATTTCATGTCTGAAAAGCATCAAAATACAAGAGACGACGTCATAATTATTTAATTATTTGTCAGCCAAACCACAAACAATCCAAGAAACAAACTCTTTGCATTTAAAATATGAATGTATTTTCTTTATACGTTTTTCTTCTGATTACTTCATTTTTAGATTTGGTTGACACACAAATGCAAGCCAAATGACTTGCTCTGTGTAATCCGAATCACGTTCAATCAAACCTAAAAAGCAATGTCGAACCTCGTTGCAATAGCATATGGAAACATTCATTCATGTCCGAGATGCAGCAAAATAGTTTATGTAAAAATAGAAACATTTATATTTATCCTAACTTTTGTATATTTCAGATAGTAATGTATAATGTGCAGCAAAGCTGTGGCCTTTTGTAATTTAGGGAGTTTCAGTCATGTTAATTTTTCCGAAAATAACATGGCAGAGAAGTATCAAAAAATAAGAGGACACAGATATGATAGCATAACTACAAAACAAACTAAAATATACAAAAGTTAGGATAAATATAAATGTTTCTAGTATTTTTACATAAACTGTTTCAATTTGGTCATTTGATTGCTTATTTTTTAATTTCAAAGTACTCACAAACATTTAAAATTTTACTATAGCCAATCCACAAACAATTTAAAATATACAAATATCGATCTTTATATCGAAAATAAGAATTTATTTTCCATATGACATTGCATGCACTACAGTCCTTGCAATCCTTGGCCAGATAGCTTATGCGCGATTCTGATCAAATCCAAGAAAGTTCAGATTTTCAGAAAAATAGAAACTATGCTGGAAAAATACTGGAAAATGTCCTATCATTTCAATATCATTTTAACGAAATATTTTAATTTTATTGATCAATTTGAACTGAACGTGTAAATTATCATTCTCCATGTAAATGTAGTCTACATCTATCAATTTTTCACCATTGAGTGCACTGATGTAATTCATTGACCTACTTATTTTACTTTAAAAAGTAGGTTACTGATTTGTTTTTGTTTTTTATGCATTATATGAAAATATCATTCTCCACACTCTTTTCCACGTACATTAGTGTACTCTGTAAAAAACTGAAAGATGTAGACAATGTTTGGAAGGAGGCGTTCATATTTGAAAAGTAACATGTGACTCGTGAGGATTGCATCAAAATGACCGAAAATACACACTTACAAAAATAAGGATAATAGGATAATAGAAACGAAAATAGAAATATCAAATTATGACTCATATGTAACGTTTCCATATCATGTTTTGACTTACCTTTTTGACTTTGCAGCAGTGATGTTGCATGCGATACTTCAAACCAAGCCTTGTACCTTGAGAAACCTGCAACCAAGTGTACCCATGGAGCACGTGTCATGGCAGATAGTAAGATCGGATACGCTCATTACTCAGCACAGAGATTTGACAACTCGAATATGAAAAGGAGCGAAACCACAAGTGGGGTTTTCTCATCGTCAGAATTGAAAAGAAAAGAAAGAATAACTGGTCCCGTGACGCCTGCGTATACCACTGAAAACTACACATCACGGAGTAATACATCACATATATTCACAACGGTTATGCGTCAGGCTTCTGTCAAACCCAAAATGATTATGGTCACAGGTCCACGCAACGACAAATTACTTGGTTTAAATAGATATCCTCAATCCAAATGTGATCGAAGTACTAAACTGACACCCAATCCTAGCATAGTACCCAAACGTCAACCATATTCCTCCAGAGGGTCTTTACCATCATTAGCAATGGCGCCTGTTTCTAATCATAAGATGTTGGACTCTAACAAATTGTTAAGCAACCTGAATGAGAACATGCAGACAAGAAATCCACACGCCTGTAGCCTTCAAAGTAGTTTATTACACCAGCAGGACAACAGGGAGAGGAGACAGTACATACCAGGGTACGAGTCCCTTCTCTCCCTCACAGCTCTTACCCAGAAGATAAAGAGCGAAACGGAGCGTGAGCATGAAAGCATTTTCCCGAGGATCATCCCAAGAGTTGAGCAACCTATGACACCAAGCGAAAACTCTGACGGCTTAAATGCATCAGCTCAGGAAGAAGACAATATGACCAAAATTAAAGAGAATGATGTCAACAACAACCACTCTAAAACTATAGCTATGTATGAACCAAAGTCTTCGTTAATCAACTATGCAATTAAATCACGATCTCCAGTGTGTATACCCAAATCCAGAAAGAAGATCATTCTGTCCAAAATCACAGATGAGAGTAAACTCCGTTCAACACAACAAGACCCCGGAAGTCCCCCTAATAATGCATTCCAACGGGTGAATCTACCTTACCAACCTGCCAACACATCAGAATCTTCCATTTGCATTGAATCTGATCAATTAGATGAACTTACGGACGCTGAAAGTAATGATGATTCTGATGATAACGCTGCACCCTATGCAATTCAGACAGAGCCAATTAGCTCAGAGAATGAGCAAAGTTGTGATTCCAACGATAACACACCGAGGAAGTCTCAGAAAAGAAAGATCCCAAGAAAGCCGGCAAATCCACTAAAAAGTCCGCCGAAGTGGGATCCATCGTTCAGAGGTGTCACAATGCAAATCAAAACAAAGTTGAAGCCAGATGGGTCACACTTGAGTATATCCTGCTATTTTAAGTAAATGTTATTTTTTATTATACTGACATTTCTTGTAATTTCCTACGTAATGAAGTCGTTTTCTGTGACATATCCATGGTCCCCTAAAAATAACCGCAACACACAAGATTAAGACCAATTAAGGGGAGGCATCAAAAGATCGATGTCTGATAGAAAACTAAATAAATCTAGTTTGGGGGAGGGGGTCAAAGCTATTTCAGTTTGCTATCCGACAAATTTCAACATTTAAACTTTCGCAATTTCGACTCGAAATGCCTTGGAATGGTTTAAAAATAAAGACTTTACCAGATGCCTTCTTCACCAAGATGCATGCAACATGGAATATTATGCCTATTGTTTTAAGAATCATAAATAAATTATAGTACTGGCCCCATGAAAGTCCAAATTGAGTCGCTAAAACATGTGAAAAGTCCGCGATCAACTTTCATTGTATTTAGTTTTGAGGGGGAGGGTCCAACTCAAAACTAGATTTATTTAGTTTCCTATCAGACATTGAACTTTTGATGCCTCCCCTAAGAACATTTAGGTGGGCCAAAAGGCAATAGGCAACACGAATTGAAATTGAATTAGAAACATTTATTTCACATCATGCACCATATAGTAATTTGATATCCAATCATTTGGTGTATAACATCACGCAGTTTTTGTGAGGTCGGTGTCCAATTTCTGGTCGATCGGCAAATATTGTAAAAATAAAATAAAATATTTTAAATGGAAGTATAACACGAACCAATGGTTACATTCAGTATACTTGACAACAGACAATGCATAAATCAATTTATTCACGATTTTTTGCGGCAAATCATGGACCCCATTATTATATACCCCTACCTCACAAATAGGTGTTGTTAATATCTCCCTAATAAGTCAGTGCATGGGCTTTTCCATGCTAGTTGAAAGCCCATGGTCAGTGTAACAATGTTCCATACCAAAATATTGAGAGCTGAATTCTCTTTATATTACATAAATCACATTATTGCCTTAGGAGTATATTTTGTTTCACTTTTAATTCATGTGTTGTTTTCGGCCCACCTTGTACATTAATCTTGGCAGTTTTTATGGATACTTTTTTTTACCAGACCCCATGCGAGATGCGACCTTTGTAGTATGATAAAAACGTTTTGCCACATTGTTGCAAACGTTATCATTCAGCAAAAAACTTCTATTAATCTTGTCCTTGAAATTGTAATGCGAATGTTATATCCTGAATATCAATGACATATCGAATGTTTTCTATCAAAGTATCATTTTTCTTCCGCGACATAGAAAAATGCCATAATTACGCGACCTTCCTGGTCGCTCTGACTCAATACTTTGACAAAAAATGATATACCGTCATTAAGGCTTATAAGAAGCTTTCCAATGGTGACTATTGAATTGAATATCTCAAGGATAGCCATTTCAAGTATACCATCTGAATCACCTCACCTGGCCGTTCGTAAACAAAAATTATGAAAATACGTTTTCTAAATAACTGTTAAATTTTCTACAGGATAAGTTTCAATTTAGTTGTAGGAAAATTCAAAGTAAATGGAGACGACACCGTAGATACAGCCACCAGCCCCAACGCTGCAGCCAGTCCACGTCCGGGACGACGGAATGGGGACCTTCTGACCCAGAAGAGTACGCCAATTCGAGCAAAAGAGAAAACCGGTTGTGTTTCTACTACTCCAGCACCACTGGTGATTATTAGCTTTCCATTCAGGTTCATCATTTGTCTTACCATGGAGGTATTCGTGTATATGTCCATCGTCTTACTCTGTTCATGATTAAGATCCTTATTTGAATTATGATTAAAAAGAATAACCAGGATTCCGGAATTATTTTTTTGATATAATAAAGCAATTGTCCAGTAGTAGAGCGGGCATTTACTTGTTTAATTGAGGATTCGTCCTAAAAAATGAAATAACGAAACCAGTCATAGATAATTCGGTGGAGAGACGGACAATCTGGCATGACCTTACTCATTCCATAGTTTATGGTCAGATGTGGACTCTGAAGCTTTGAATAACAATGATCTTTTGTAGGTAAGCAATGTGCATCTTGTAGTGCCAGAAAGACACCTCTATGGCGTGATGCTGAAGATGGGACGCCATTATGCAACGCATGTGGGATACGGTGTGTTTTTAGTTTTGATTTTTACTGTCAACATTTTTCGTACTTTTAAAAAGAATTATGCAGTTACCAGGCGCAAACGCATCCCGTAGTAGCATGAACGTTTTAATAATGTCAGTTCTTTTGTTGCAGATACAAGAAGTATCGAGTCCGATGTGTTCATTGTTGGCACATTCCAAAGAAGGATAGTAAGGCCTATCCGGATTGCCCTAACTGTGGTTGCCAACTGAGATACACACTCGTCAGGAGATTCGATCCATTACTGCCACTAAAATCTAGTGGATGAAAAATTCCATTCGGAAGAAAAAATTACGCTTGACGCAATGCGTAGATCAGTTTTAGACGTGTTCAGGTGCATAGGGCACGCGAGGGCCGCTGCATATCAAAGTAGATGAACCGTTAGAAAATTTCAGCACATTTTCTGAAGTCATTTTTGTTACATCAACGAAACAAGATCACGGTATTAAAACCTGAGCTTTCTGAGAGATTTCTGATCATAGTGATGATCTACACGTAGTACTCTACGCGTACAACTATAAAATTTATGTATGGTTGCTGAAACAAAGGATTACCAGATGTGATCATATCATTTCCAGTGAAGTTCATCCAAGTTGTTATTCTAGGGACCACTCGTATACGACAACGTATGTTCACGTAATGTCACAATCGAGGAAAATATTCAACCAGTTGTGAGTGTAAACTCACTTAAATCGTTATAATTTTGCATGGGTTGTAACAACATATTTCATAATCAAGAAGTTTAATAAGAATTAACTGAGCTCCAGTTAGATCTATTCTGATTTAATTAATCATGTATGAGTCTGAAATAAGAGTTATTTCTGACTGAAATTGAGCATTTTATTATAATTTTTATGCTCTATATGTACACACACAGGCAATGTTTTCTCATTTTTGTTACACTTTTATTGTAACAGTTTTGCCTAATTGATTTGTTTTGTTCTTTTTATTTCAACGACTAACAAGCTATGTTTTGTTTTGTGTAGTTCTTAGTATTTTGTTAAGTTCATCTTATACTACGTCGGGTAGACGTATATCAAAAGTAGACTCTCCACTTTTAGTTGTAAGTTAAGTTTATAATGACAATGAACGTTCATTTACACAGTTACCATCTATTGTGTAGCTCTCTAATGAAAGGTGCGTTTTAGTTGTAAATTTCACATTTTCCAACGAGAAAGTACACAATCTTGTATACGAAGCACACGTCCTCTTAGAAATTGTAACACTTGTACAAGAAATTGTCCAATAAACTGTGGACCCCCCCCCCTTACCTATTTAACCAGAACAACACAGTTGTTGTTGAAGGGGAGTCTCACAAAGGCTTGTAGCTAGACTGACAAAAAAATTAACTGAGACATCTCCACATTCTATGCATGACTTCACATGGTATAAATTATTTCTTGTAATACAAACATTGACTGTTGTTTATTTCAAGATTCAATACTTGTTATTATAGCCTGATGTTTATCGTCTAATGTGTATAGCCTAATGTTAAGAGTGTAATGTGTATTTTTGATCAGAACATACCAAGCTCAACCCTTAAACAGTTAGGCTATAGAGAATTACACCAACGGTTAGGGGGGCAGATCTGCCCCTTCCCTGTGATCTAGGAGACGACCAATCATAGGAGAATGTATAAGGTATCATTGGAAAGCTCATTCCATTGCCATTATTTTGAGCTTAGTTATAACTATATTTAGCCATTAATGATAAAGAAATTCATATTCTAAGAACATAGGGGTTTATCATTTCAAGTCAAAACTACTGACAATTTGGGTATGTCAGCTTTAACTTTCCTCTTAGGGGGGTTAGAGTCATACATTTTCGCGAAAACATGCCTAATTCAATTTCAAGAAAAGTCAGAAAGTTTCAGATCAAGAGACAAACTCGGAAAAAAGTTATCAAAAATAATATCCCAGATCTGCCTCCCCTAACCGTTTAAGGGTTAAAGCCTTGGTCACATTTGCTCTATAGCTGCCATACAGCTGGTGTACATGTACATCTGTAGCTTCACAAAATCGTTATAAAAATTGACATGTTACTGCTTCTTCCCATATTTCATGATGCATATTTCTTTAGATTTTGGGAACCAATGACCACCGTACGCCCGCCATGGAGCGAATGTGATCCCAGGCATTAATATTCACTTAGTTATAGAAACATGTAGAAATTAGACATAAGAAAAACATGATATTCTTTGAAAATCTATTTTTTGATACATGTTATAAAATTATTTAAATGAAATTTTAATTTCAAATTATTTATATGGCCAGACACAGGTTATAATCATGAAATATACATATGTTATTGTTGTTACTAATTATGAGTTCTGTTAACTTTTGTAAACTACTGGAAAATATTCTCCATGGGAACAGGGTCCTCATGCAAGAAGTATTGCAATTCAACTTTTGTCCCATTGGTTTATTATCTGGTCCAAAGCAGGATCATGATACTAAATAGAGTTCGTTATCTAAGGTAGCATTCAACTGCCAGCTGGCGGTTTAACCTACTTTTTATGCCAAACTCATTTGATATGAATGGAATAGTGGCAGGTATTTTTCATATTTAAATGAGTTGGCCATAAAATAGTGGGTTAATCCATCAGCTGTCAGTTGAATTAGGGAAAGATACCTAAGATGGTGGACAAACTTTCAACGACATCAATAAACCTTCAATTTCAGCTAAACCAAGTAAAATCTGGCTCCTTCTGCCCATAGCAGACACACACACCTTTAAGTGAACACACATTTTTCATATTTGTGTAAAACAGCATTTATTTTGGATTCACAAAAATTCATTCCATATGTACCTCGTTTTCAACTTTACATCCATTGTAAAAATTGTCTAATCCTATCAGCTACAGTTGAGTTCTATTTCTGTCTCTCTCTATACTCCTCTAGGATTCGCAATGTAATGGCCAATTATACCTCATCACACCTTATTTTCCTATGTTATGTTGTTTGTCACAGAAAACTGTTCACAAGTCCCATACCCTCACATTCTATGAAGTTGACATCATCTTGGTCATCAATTACTTGAAACTTCACCTAGAAAGATAGGTCTTGTTGTGAACTTTTCAAACTTAAATAAGCATAGTGTGTCTATTCATATCTATATCTATAATGTGTTTTTGGTAAAAAAGAATTGCTCTATATATCTTCTGGTCAATTTTAAATCTGGGTATCAAAAGTACAATCATTCAAAAATCTAAGATATTTCAGAGAGTACCAGTTCATCCAATACTTAGGTCTATTTATTTTTTAGAATTGTAAAATATTTTCCATGTGATCCAATGGGAATTTTTATCGAAATAATCTGTTATTTACACAATATTAATATCTGGTAGTAGTTAACAAAATGGTTTGGTTTAATGGAGCTGTCACACTGTTTCGGCTCACCGTTCACCAAAGAGTGAATACTTTGGGCCAAACGGCAGGTCACGGCATGAACACGTGGTGGGCAAAACAAATGGTTTTACAGCAAGATATCCTCCATCACACCAAATACAAAAATTAATGCCCAAAAGCAGCCACATGGTGGGGAACGGTGAGTCGACATGGGTAATGTGAAAACAACTTAACTTACTTGAGTAAGCATTTGTGCTATATGAATTGCAGTCTTTGTATGAAGAGATATTGGACCACAACTTATCCGGGACTTCCCTTTTGCTAATGCCATCAGGATAATCAACTTGAAAAAATACATATAATTTCTTTAAAAACTGTGAATATTATTTACTCCAATTTGAGGGTATTTTCTATTGAACTTGAATTGAACGAAAGTATGTTGATCAAGCAATACAGAAACTTAGCCGAATGTGCCTGGCATTTTGCATGATACATTTTGGCAACCATTAATGTATATTTCATTGGATATAGTTATTACACTAACCTGATCCTGGAGATATTCATCTACTGTTCCCCCATACATGAGACTCTTAGTTAGCATATCACAGGCAGTTTTGGCTACATCCTCAGATGGAATACCTATTTGGGTATACATATAATATATGGTTTTTTGAAACAGATATCTCAAAATATTCTCATTTATGAAATTTCAAATTATTTTAGTTGGAACATCAGGCAAATTAAAAAATATATTTTAAATGATAAAATAGCCATTGAAATCTGTAACTGATCCAGAATTAAGTTCTCTGATGTCTGCCTATTGCCAATAAGTTGTATCTCAACATGTCTTAAAATGAGCATTATCACTGTTTTCTCGACTTGAAAGTTAACTTCTGGTTTATCAAAATAAAGATGTGATAAAAGAAGTTTACTGTACGCCCGGTATTATTCGCGAGCTTTAATTTCGCGAATTTTGCGAAAACACGGTTTCGCGGCTATTAAATTTCGCGAATTTCACAAGTTCAGAAGTGCGTGCCGGGCTATGTTTGCCCTTTCTGCGTCGTTGTACACTTTATATGTTCCACGCTTGGACTTCATGTTATTTTTAGCAATTTGAACTTCAGTTTCTATAATATCGTCGATGTCATTATTAAGCCTAGGCCCATTGGTAGTAGTTGGCCTGACTAGCCAACGTAAAATAGACATGTTGGTGGAAATCATCCAATTCGTCTAGTATTAATAACACTAGACGAAACGATTTACACAAAACGAAATGCATTTTGTAGTTCTTCTTACAGATGTAGGAATGGAGGGATCAGAAGTTGACGAAATGCATCAGAGCCCCGGGTAAAAACAAATTCCCGGGGATTTAATTGGCAATTTCGCGACGATAATTTTTCGCGATTTTAACACCATCGCGAAAAGCGCGAAAGTTAATCGCACGCGAATAATACCGGGCGTACAGTATATAACACTTTCAATCCTAAGTCTAGACATCACACCTTACCTTTCTTTCCTAAAGCAGAACCAGCATGTATGCAACCATTGGTTGATTTGGCACTCACACTGGAAAATAATGAAATATCTTAGGTACAGAATAGTTGGAAGTCTAATGAGAAGCCACTATTACCATGGGCTTTCAACTAGATTACCCACAATATATTAAAGAAGTCTATGTTTTCACCATAAAAATCACATGATCTATGGAAAAAACACAATGATGTATTAAAGTCTATGTTTTAACCACCATTAAATCACATAATGTATGAAAAAAACATGATGATGTAAAGGTCTATGTTTTCACCATTACTCACATAATCCCAGCTCCAGTTCCCACAGCTCTGTTCTCTGCTTCCTTTACTGATTCAATATCCACCGACACATTAGTAAAACGTTTCTTTAGATGATCTCTTGCTGAATTTGCCATAATGTCAGCGACCTGCATTTAATAAGCATAAGCATAAACATCAACCAATACAAGAAACATTTTTCATATTGTGTTGTATTAAGGTGGTTAACAAAGCATGAATGCTATACATATCTCAGTAAAACATATATCACAGTAAAACCTGTGTAAGTGGTTCTGCCAAAGAATGTTGCATTTACAAAGCTTATATTGTGAGTGTGAGTGTCAAGTCAAATTTGATTGATTTTAAAGTAATTATAATGTCTTGGTGTATTATTGATAGTATGAATCTCATACCACTGAAAACTAATTATTTCAAATTGATAAATTGTTTTGTATTCCTGATTTCTTAGACATGAAGAAACAGTTGTGTTGTTGTTTCCAGTACAGAAATAACTGTAGGAGGTTAATCCGATGATTTTTTGAAAAATTGACTGTTCCACCATGGGCTTTCAATAGATTGAATGCCCATGGTTCCACTTACAATTGAAATTAAGTCAATTGGTTTTAAAAACAGGACTTTGAAAAAGTGTTCCACTTGCAATGTGTTCCCTTTTCAGGGATATTCAAATTAACAGGATTTACTGTACACACATAACACACATGTTCTAAACATCTATTCCTATCATAACAGACACTTTCAGAAATAGTTTAATACTTGGTTAAAAACACCAATAAAACAAAAGTTATAATAATATGCTCAATTTGATTTTTCATATTTTAGAACTCATACATGTACTTTTTAACTTATGATGCATATCCCAAATATTTATATCCTTTACATACCAGAACACTGATGAGAATGATAAAAATGTTATTACCTTTATTTTTTACTTATTTTAGTAAGTACCTTTTTTGGCAGTGCACCTGCAACGAAAGCTCTCCCAGATATGCTGTCCACCTTGCCTAAGTCTGTCATGTCTACTGCATTGAGTTGTTTTATGGGATGGATTGTTATTCTAACTTCACCACCTCCCTTTGGATAATATCCCCTGAAATGCAACATCAAATACTTGTTATGAACTTAATGGTGATTTGAACTAAGACATTTCTAAAACCAAAAAGTTTTAAATCAAACATTGTATTTTGAAAGGAACGTAACCATTAAAGAGAAGAATGTGAATATGGATGCCGCATTGAATAACCTTATAAAAACAGTGATTGAACAATGAACTCATTCCAGAAAAATGATTATGAATACTATTTTCTCTGTGTATGCTTATTTAAAAGAATGAGGCAGATAAATCCAGTATGTTTGTCTGAATAAATGTTTCTTTTAGATTCAGCATTTGAAAATTTGGAATATTATTTTCTGGGCTCACCTTTTAACAATATCACAGTCAAATTTTACTCCGAATCTCTCTGCAATTGGCCCAAATACCTACAACAATAATTCGTTAAATATCATAATATTGTTAAACAGATAGATATCATGTTGTTCTAATACATTGGTTAGTACAACTATGACAGACAAACACCATTTTCCTCACTGTGAGCTTTGTTAATTTTAAATCTAAGAAATATTCAAATGAATCATGAATATCCCGCTTTAAAGAGCAAAATGGCTTCCATGTAATTTACCCAGTATGGCCAGAGGATATTTGTATGGAGCAGCTATTCCTCAAAGAACAAAATATTCCAAATCATTATGGGCAGTTTTCAATAGATCATTTTGAATATTTCATGCTGGAAATACCAGAAATGTAAATCATCATTTAAAAATTTTCCAAGGCAGAAATCTGAATTAGAAAGGTAACACAATATTTGTGGCCTAATCTGAAATACTTTGATTTGCACTATATAATAAAGGCATACTTTGCAGGTCTCAAAATTAGATTGCAAATTCCCACATTTTAATGACTATTTTGGATTTTCAAAGGCTGAACATACTTGAATAACCTTTGATAAAAACATAATATGGACAAATATTTGATTAATTGATTAATAATTGATTCTTTCTGGGTTTTTGCCCTTTCTCCCATCCCCTCCCTCAATGGTATTGAATCAGGTCAGCAAACTCATGATGCATGTTAAATAAAACTGTTTTCATCTATTTCATTCATACAGTAATACCCATTATCTTACTCTAAAATAACAGACATTTATTTTAGTTTTTGTACCTAAATGAACAAAATCATTCTACTCGTATTTTGAGTTATTATTGGGACAGATCAACAGATAGATGGCTTGTAAAGGATATTCTATGATTTTGAGGAATATCATTTTTATCTACGAGGTGATATTGATATCTGCCCGAGAGAGCGAAGCGAACGAGTGCACATATCAATATCGAGTAGATTAAAATGATATTCTGAAAAAATCATAGGATGTTCTTATTATCCTACACTTACTTGTAGTTCACTAAATGTTTAGTATTATTGAAAAATAAGTCCATGTCAAATAGTTCAATTTGGCGGAAAAATCAATAAGCGGAGTATGTCATCACAATAACCTCTGCATATTGTTTTCTGGAGTATATTGTGGCGATATCCTCCGGTTATTCATTTTGCCAACATCAAATTTATTTTTTAATTTTAATATACATTTAGTACACTAAGTGTATGATAATACAGTTTATACCACTCTAAGTCCAATTACAGTTGTATAACATGGGTCTATAACAACGATATACAGTGGAGAGTGGTATATCGTCATCGTATACAACTCCTCCGTATACACTCCAGCGTATACCACTGTAGAAGTGCATTCTGGGAACTAATGAGCCACGTCATAAATGGTTCGAGATCAACATCAGCACTATTGAGTTGGCTATGGGATGGTTTTTAATTGTAATGATTGTGTTTGAATCAACTGTAATTGAACTTAGAGTGGCATAATAAGATTATACAATGGCTCATTCTGTATATCGTGCATTTTATACTCTCGTGAGAATATAATATATTCACTCGTTCGCTACGCTCACTTGTGAATATATCATATACTCACTCGAGTATAAACACGATATACAGAAATAACCATTATATAACCTCATAATATATTTTATTAACAAAGAATCTGTCAAGATAAGTGTCACTATAAATAAGGTATAAATCCAAATGTGTAAATGTGTTACTAGTAAATTATTTTGAAATTAAATCAACCCAAGAATATATTTTCAGGCAATTCCAAACTTTGCCAAACTTGTGTATTTTTTTCTTAATTATCATTTTTCTGAGGTTTAAGAATATATTCACATTCAATATTCTAACATCAAGAATTACTCATGCCTTATAGATTGGAGGCACTCTAATTGTAAAGAATATAATATATAATAATTAATATAATATAATTGTATATTGATTGGATGTAATCAAATATGACCTGCTTTTTTATACCATGCTATGTGTGTTTTTCACTTACATGTACTTGATGTATTGAGGTGGCCTAAATATTTTAACAGTTCATTGGTTCCGCAGGCCTAAGTCACTATATGTGCTTCAATATGAACATCATTACAGAGGGTACAGTTTAGCGATGAAATTAGTGTGGCTTAGGCCTGCAGAAGCACTGTAAAAGCGAAGTTGAACAAAAAATATAGCTCATGATTAGGGCAGCCATTTTGGATGTTGACTATACTAGTGTACAAAGTGGTTAGGGCAATGATAACCGATCTAAAATGTCAAGATAGGGCCGTCCCAAGGGTTAGAAGGAGAATTGGGGTGACTGATCCTTTAATTAAGTAATAAATACCATGGTAAAGTAGTCTATTTGAGGGGCCATCTGTGCATTGGTGCCACCCTTGAGTGTCAGTGTAGAGGGGCCATCTCCAAACAAAAGGCAGGGAAGAGCTGCTTGAAGAAGTAGGCAGATGCTCCTGGAAATAGAACAAGTAAACAGTTTAGATAGATTATTATAATAGGGGATTATAGACAGAATATAGAGGATTATAGATAGATTTTGAAGGGGTAGTGTCCAAATGTCAACAGTTGTGGAAGAAGTTGTGGAAACTAATTTCATTAGGGGAATGGGTAAACAAAAACTTAATTTCAATTGATGAAATAACATTCTAAGGCTCACAGAATGTAAGTATTGCATTCTTTATTTAGCGTGGATGAAATTATCCATGTTCTTGAAGATATATGTTTATTTTCTGTAATTATATTTCGAAAAAGTAACTGTATCCATTGAGTTGCCATCATCAAGAAAACTTGAGTTCAATTTTTCAAATCTGCCTCAAACTCTTGCACAACTGGCCCCAGAGAAAATGCATTTTCATGCAGTACATACTCTTTTCCCAGGTTAGGGTAGTTACAGTAACTATGCAGTCAAAGTAATAGATGAGGGAGCAATCATTAAGATTTTCCCATGTCAGTGTTCAAACAAAATTCACACATTGCTAGGCAAGGTGTGTGAAATTCAAGCCAATCAGAACACGCTATTTGACGTAACTACATTCCGTTATATAACCAAAAACGTATATGTTGTATGGTTGTCAAGGCTAGGAGATTGAAACTGATGCTTTGCCAACTTGACCCTTGCAAAAATTTCATTGAAAATATGTTCTTTTAGTGTTTTTGTATCTTTAAGGTGATTTTGTAGAAAATATTTTGCAATGTGTAAAAAGAATTTTAGCCCAAGACACATTGTGGCTGCTTCATTCCACTAAGTGTTTCCTTAACTTTGCTTTTCCACTGAGCGGTCATGCAAAGATTTGGAAACAACACCTTCAATGGAATGATTCAGCATACAATCCACTGAGTCCAGGGCTTAAACAATAAATAATCTAACTGGTGACACAAAGATCAACTCTCATTTATGGCAAAATTGAACAGATCCAGATCTAAACTTGTGTCAGAATGTTTTAATAAAAGTTTACCATTTTGCAGTAATTCAATAGTTAAATTGGCATTATTCTGTTTTTACCAAACCTAATCACACAAACAACATTTCATGACAACCTTTACTTAGTTACCCAGCAGTTCCTGTATCTGCACAATATGAACCAGCTCTGATCCTCTTGCCTGGAGTTAGAGTGACAGTACGAGATCCAACAGCTCCCCCTTGAAGATCTCCCCCACACAACTCTGCTACCAACTTGAGGCCCATCAGATGCTGTGGTCTAAAATAAATAATTAAAAACAAGGTACACTGGCTAATGTAAAAATCTATGGTTAATTTCATGCTTATTTCATCCAGTAATTCTGTTATACATGTACTGAAGTTTTTATCACAGTCTATTGATGGTGCAAACTGCACAGAAAGGCATGATTATATAATAAAAAGTATTGGGGTATTTAAGGGTCAAAGTTAGAGATAGTCTTGTATCTAATCTAATAAATTCCCTTTTAATATTCACTAACATGATATGACCTATACAGTACAGACCCGTAGCTAGGATTTGCCAAGGGAGGTTCAATTTTTGAAGAATTCTAGGGGGGTTCACTTTTGACAACTTTGGCCAAAAAATGGCCAAATTACTTGAAAAGTGCTCTGAATGGTGAAAAACTTGAACTTAAACCCTCCTGGCTACGGGCCTTCAGTACACACTTTGTCCTGATAGTTGTTCTTTACCTTAATCCTGGATTACTTCTAGATGAACGGACATTGTTTACTGTAATACGTTTTACCAAGAGACAACTAAGGGCTGCTGCATTACGTAGTATCTGGCCACCCTGCAAATATCATGTCATATAAAATATACTGTCTACACTGGCACCAAAGTAAGAAGCAATTATTTTCATAAACATAACCAAAAATCTTATATCAGAAAAAATTAGAATATTGATTTAAAATAAAATTTTGTACTTACAAATTCCTAAATTTTTCTCTCAATTTGAAATTATTCCATCCATGGTAAAATAATTGGTTAAGAATTTTTAATTCTATTAAGTTTTTTTTAGTTTTTTTTATTCATAGAATTTATTTTACAAATACATAAAGTACATAAACATTATACACTTGTAGTGGCTTTGCTGAAGGCATTATCAGCCACTTGATTAAGAATTGCAGTTAAGTTTCTGTTAATTAAGGCTCCCTCATCATAGTGAGTGATGCAAAATTCATAAATCGGATTTGGAACACCTCATTTTTGCAAATGGACCATCAATATACACATGTGCCATGAAGATTATGATGGGAAGTTTCACTTTCATAATCTAATGTATATAATCAGCTTTTAGTAGAACTTCCCATTATCCGTATGAATTATGGATTTAGTAATTTAGGGAGTTTTTTGATGATTTAGCTTCGAAATGGGGGGATATACCTACAACCTACCAATGGTGGCTTTGGCCCTTATTTTTTGATAATTTGGTATATTTGATATTGGGCCATTTTAGTTGGTATGGTAAATGTAAAGCACATGTATGGAAACATATTTGATGGTTTTTGATAATTTGTAAACATGGTTTATACACAGTTATTAGAAGAAAAATAAAGCATCTGCATTTTAATTGGAGTGTGTGGGGGGCTGCTGCCACTGCCTATAGGGTCCTGGAAACAAAGATATAGTAGCGTGAGTAGGGAAAAGAGGTTCGCCCCATAGTCTCCCAATATCATATTGCATGGCCTACCATGGTTATGTTAAAGCCTGATATGATCTTTTGATTTACTTAGAGGTAGTTCAACGTCGTAAAACTCAATAATGGTGTTCTTTACTATTTGGAATTTTCTTGCCGGGGCCATAAGCCATGTCAGATAAGAAACGAGGCCCAGGCTAGGTCTAATGTTGTTGGACTAATTTAGAGGGAAGCCCGCGCGCATCCGACACTCTTATTACCCAGGGAACACCTGTGTGACAGGCCTTGCAAATATGGCATTGTCACGGTTATACCAGGCTTTCATCTACATCTACATCAATAATCCGCAAAAGGCTAACTAGATAACGGCAACTCCACAGAGTAGCAAATTCCAACGAACAAAATATCAATTACCGAATTCCAATCAATTATACTCATTACTTTGGTTAAAATTGAAAAATTTAGATTTTAGAATTGCGAATTCCTGCAAAGCAGCCATTTTGAATTTTCTGAGGTTCAAATCTGAAAAATAATACCATAATTGTGATCTACTCCAAAATTCGTTCAATTTGAGTATTATATATCCATACTTTGGAGGGATCGAAAAATTATTGCGAAATTGTACATTAGACAGCCATTTTGAATTTCACGAGGCTTGAATCAGAAAAAAGATACAATATTTGCAATCTACTCTCAATTGCCTTTCATTTGAGTATAATAAAGCTACACCGTATACTTCAGAAAGATCTAAAAATTAGCAAAAATTTCTGTTTTCCTGACCCCCCATACACGACCCCTGGGGGTCAGGATGAAAAACACAGAATATATGTGAAATAGATAGATGTTGCGAATATACTACCAAAATTTCAAACAATAATATTAATTACTTTGGTTTAGAATGAAAAATTTATGATTTTTGTGAAAAAGTCCCGTCATTTTTAAAGCGATGGCCATCTTGAAAAAAAAACTTAAACTAGTATTTATCAATATACATCTTTCCACCAAATATGAAGAAAATCTGTCAACTAATATTTGAGTTATCTTCCAGACGGACAGACGGACGGATGGACGGACGGCTTCACTATATCCCTACCGAACTTCGTTCGTTGAGATAATAAGCCTATTTAAAGTGTCTCACATATTCGATCAAAACTTGCCATGCAAACATAGTCTACTTTACTGGCCCCCCTTGCTGTAACAAGGAACCCAAAACACATTAAAACGTAAACATAAACCAATTAGTCACTTCACTTTGAAAGTGGGGGTGTTAGCAAATGTGTATTAGGCCATAAGAAGTAGATTCTTTGTTTTGCGTCCTGGCAAAATCCAAATCATGCAAGGGTACAAGGAAAACAAACACAAACTCAAGAAAAAAACACAAACTTGTTTGCTGAGAAATGTATACATTTTATGGGCATAAAAAGGGATGACATACCAATTTGCAGTGATTACAAACACATACCTATACATTTTATACAATATATTTAAACTTCAAGGGTAAAAAATAAGAAAATACACAATGTATGCCAAAATAATTATAACACTGTCAATTTTGACGCACATCAAATTATCCGCCATTTCGTCTGATTCTGATTGAACGAAATGTAATGGTACTTTCAGACCCTTATGATTGCTATTTTGATGTGTTTGTTTTTTCTGATTTACATGTACTCAAAATCGTGCAAGCAAGGGGACGCAAAGCAAAGAATCTACTTCTTATTGCCTTAGCAGAATACGCTGTTTGCATGGACTAACACAATATCAGTGGTCATTTACTGTGTCAACTTAGTAACCCTTGCATATCGTGCTCACTCAAGTATTGAATATTTTTTTTATGATCTAAATGTTTGTGGTTTATAAAAAAAATGTGATATATTTTAGTTAGAAATACATTAATTAATATATTCATTCAAACAGTACTAGAATGCGGGAAGAAAGAGCAATGGTGACAAAATGCAGACAGAATTTTCCGTAAGGGTTTCAAACATTTCTGAACACAATCATACATGTACTTCATGTGTACTGTTATTTTTAGTGCTGTATTTATAGATATAATTTCACTTATTAAAATCATATTTTCCAGCAATGACTTCAAATTCGGAACCACACCCATATCACATTTTCTTCAATAACTTCAAACATGTGTAAACATTGACCATGTGTATATAAATTCAGATTTCACGAGCTCTTTCCTATTCGAGTACCTCATACACCCCTGCATGGATTTGAGTTGGATTCGCCTTTTATACGTGAACCGACACACTCGCAAACGCTGATTGGATAAAGATTGCGAGAATCTTTAAAGCAGATATATAGTTAACAGTGATGAATAGAATGCAATTTGAACCAACATTTAAAAAATAATCTCACGATAACAATACCAGGGTCATGACAGGATCCTTGCACAACTTAATAAAAACACTGATCACTGATAACATGGTGCCAGGCATAAGTCTAAGTCGAGACCCTATCTGTTGCAAGACTAATGCCTGGCACAACCGTCACCATGTTATTAAGTGTTTTTAAGTTTCTCAAGGATCCTGCCATGACTGTGGTAGTGTTATCATGATAGCCTGATATAACCGTAACAATGCTATATTGTACATTGCATGGCCTGTCATGACTGTGGTAATGTTAAAGCCTGATATGACCGTAACAATGCTATACTATATTGCAAGGCCTGACATGACCGTGGTAATGTTAAGTTATATTAATTGACATCTGTAATGAAAAATGTCATCGTTTATCTTTCTTAATATGTAAATCTAGACTACTACTACATGTACTACTACTTTAACTCATAATTCATTTCCACAAACTATAATTCTAATCTCATTCAAGAACATTGTTAGTTGTTACCAATAACTTGGTGACGGTTGTGCCAGGCATACGTCTTGGAATAGATAGCATGTGTCTAAGTCTTGCAATAGATAGCACCTAAGTAGCACCCACACCTTATCTTGTCCCCCTCTTCGTTTAGAACGTATAGTTGGGGACATAAATAAATGACAGGTGGATTTGCTGAAGTGAGGATTTCCCATGTTAAAAATAAGAGAATTTACAAGAGGCCATGAATCAGTGGATGAGATTATACAAAATGTAAAATATACAAATTTTAAGGGATATGTATCTAGACAATATTGGAAATTATGGGCTTTCAGACCACCATAATTAGGAAATGGTGATCGAAAATCGACCTGTCATTTATTTTTGTCCCCAACTGTAGAGATAGTCTTAGATAAACCACACCATGTGGAGAATTTCTCACATCACAGTCACTATGGCTACATACTGAGACTACTTACCCCTTCTAAGACAGATCCATCTATTATGGCAATATGCCCTGGATCTGATGCTTCACACATTTCTTTGATCGTATGAGAAGACAAGAAGCTATCTAGTAAATCACTCTTTTATTGTGCATAGAACTTTGCTGGAACTTTGTATATTTTATTAACTTTCATTTTCCTCGCAAGATGGCGGTGTGGTAAGAGTGATTGGGTGAGTTGACCTTGAAAACTCACCGAAGTTCCCATACTGTTTCTTTAATTTTCACATGGTATTTTACAGATATAATGTTAATCAAAGAGTTTAAAATTAATGAAAAATATTGTCAATTAATTTGAATCAATTTATCTTCATGTTTTATCAACTTAGATCTGGTATAATATGTTTGTTTACCTTTTGTTGACATATAGGGGGTACAGCAGAACAGCTTATTTGCATATTGCAAGATGATCTCGAATGGCTCTCTCCGTGCACTTTGAGAGCGAGCAGCATGACAAATTTCACTTAGACCTGATGAAGGCAAGCGTCAACAACCATTTTAATAGAGAGGTAATATATCTGAGTACTTGTTGTCAAAAGATCAGGTTCGCTTATTAAATATTTGTTGTGTAATAGTACTTTTAGTTGGCATGTTTTTGTCATTTGTTATGGAAATTCTGACGGACAACGATCACTGTTTGGCTTTGATCAGATGCTTCCTCACCAAAACAACGAGTGCTTGTCTTGTTATATTTTATTGATTAAGTCAGAATCTTGTTAGAAGATTCATTAGGAAAGAATGATATGTATGAAAGGCTCGTTATGGACATGAAATATGTTGCACGAATTGACATTTTATTGCGCAGTTTTTAAGAATGGCGCGAGATTCTAATTTTAGCATATGGCCTTGACTGCTTCAAATGAAATGTAAGAAATTAAAGAATATTAGGGCTATACAGGTAGGCTGCAATCTTTCGTAGTATTGCAGATTGTATTTCTAATGGCCATGCATTCAGTTTTAGTAAGTTCATAATTGGTGCTTTTCCAATTGAAGTGTTTCTACATTGAGCAACACACTCCGGCGCGCTGGGTAGAGCTAGTACTAGTCCAACAACATTAGACCTAGCCTGGGCCTCGTTTCTTATCTGACATGTCTTATGGCCCCGGCTAGGTCTAACTTCCATGATGATTTTGCCCTTGATGCGATCATTTAATCGTTCAGCAGGTTTCGACATGCGGAACTAATTAAACTCCGAAAACATGGTAATATTACATAAAGAATGTGATTCAAGCATGCATACATACCTTATAAATACATACACACCATCCCGTACCCCCCTTAGACCATATTGATGCATAATTACGAAAATATTGGAGACAGGTTTGGAATTTTACGAAAATATCGGTCAGCTCCGGTAACATCGAAATTGCAAATCGTATCAGGAATTAACCGTCATTGCGACACTGCATCAACAAACAGTAGGTTTGCAATTAATAACGATTTTGTGTGTATGCAAGCGCTATATAAATCAATCAAAGATACCTGCTATCCTCAAAAATGGTTATTTTATCCCGAGTTATCGCGTGATAATTATCAATCTATTTGACAACAATTTCGTTTCAATAGTTTAAATTTTAACCCGGGACGAACAGACACAATGCCGGACATGCGGAAATGTAATTTTAGAGATTGGTAAGTTTAACCTCATTTTACTTGTATAAATGACCATTTAATACAATAATATTGTGTTGAATCGCTTGATGTTATGTGTTTTTATATTGTTGTCAAGTATCAGTTGCATGTTATCGCGGAAAAATGGTTTCGGTGGATCCAAAACTTGCATCAATGGAAAGAATAGTAAAGAGGTTAAACTCAATAATGGCCCCAAGAAAATTCTTAATAATAAATAACGCCGTTATTGAGTTTAACGACGTTGAACTAAGCTAGTACCTGAACGACAGAACGACAGTCGGCTGAATTAAATCTGTCGAAAGTTAAAATCAGCTGTCGTTGTCGTGGACCAAATTACCCGGGGAATAGAACACATTTAAAACAGTGTCACTTACTTTAGTTTCTGTAAAGTTTCATGCACGGCTTTTAGCAATCATTCCTACTTATTTTCTTGTTTGTGTAATGTCATCCTATATCTATCCTGGGGTTGTGTTTCTTTTCCCCAATACGGGAAAACATTTTGAATAAAGAATTTTCCGCCATTGAATAAGTAGGGCAATCTGCAGCAGTTTCGTTTTTGCTTCAATACTTCGTGCATACCTAATAGTTTGAAATAATTTACAAGTGCGCATGGAGGCTTGGAATTTAAGCCAATCAAATTATTCATTCTAATGCTCATGAACTTAATTCTGAACCAAGAGGAACTGGCGCAGATTGCCTCAAATGCTAAAATCGCTCTTCAAAAGCTCTTCAAAATAGATCAGTGAATAATTTCAAGTAAGGATATTTCAAGTACTGTAAGCATTGATTATATAGACGCTAAAATGATGGTGTTTTGTTATAGACACACGGGGCAAGTTGTTTTAGCTCATTTTCGCCTCAAACGAAATCGTAGATTGAACACAATTTTACTTCCGGGCTTAGCCACAACAGTTTGCTATCGGCAACAGAAATAACACTGTCTTTATTAACAATGGAATCTCACTGTCGTTCAGGCACTAGCGCTGGGATAAGAAATGCCATTTTAACTTATTGCGCATTCGTGCAATGCGTGTTGTTCTTAACGTACACATGGGCATTAGTGTTGTTGCGATTAATCATTACATCGCAACATTCATCGCCAAAAGTAATTATGGCGATGCATCGATGCCTGAAACAAAACATCGATGTTTTTACCAAAAAACAAATCTGCTAAAAGTTATTTTGTAGCAAATGTTTACTTAGAAATTCACGAGACCTCGCGTGACCTTAAAATGGCTGCAATCTAAATTCAAAATTTTTGTAGTCTAATAGAACATTGATTTGCTGCGACAACAGACTGTATTGATTTAAATAAAGTAGGGTATTATAAACACTACTCAGCACAGTGTTTAGTCGAAATGGGCTCAATTTTTCTCTATAAGAAATTTCAATCCAACTTCCCAGAGCTGACGTCGGACATAAATCTTGATCCTGGAGTCAGTTTATTAATACATATAACATGTCATTCCTAAATGGTACGTACTGTTGTTAGCTTTATCTCCAATCACTTAAAGGAATTCTGGGCGATAAAAATAACAAAATATTGCTTCTGGGACAAGATCAAATGACATTTTCTCCCAGCAACACCAGAACATTGGCTTCATCAAGGAAGGAAAACCCAAAGCTGCAAACTCCTCCAGCAAATCACAGCCCAGGCCTAGTATCTTAGCGAGCGCAACAGACTGGCAACTCCAAGTAGACCTTCACCAGAAACTTGTCTTTCCTCAGAATGTGGCAGTAACCACCTTATGTCCAGTAGGGGTGGGACGGAACAGAAAAACTTCGGGACGGAACGGTATTTAGACCTTCGGAACGGAACATTTTCGGAACGGAACATCTGCCTTACCCCTTCGATCCAGTCTTGGGAGACCAAAGTGCTTCCAAACTGAGCTCTTGAGGTTTTTTGGAGCATTTTCTATCGTAAAAGTTTCGGTCGGTGCTGCCATTATAGAGAGCCTACGAAGTCAAACTTGAAATGAAACGAATTAAATATTTGAAACAAAGATAAAAGATCGCGATGATTGAAATATTATTCATATACACTGCACAATGAGAATAAATATTGATTGTTTTCGTTTGCTAAAGTTGTAGTTCTAGCTCATACTGACTCTTCAAATTTGGAGGAGAATCTCTCGTAAGTTTTCAAATTTATTTTTGATTTTGACAAAATCAGCTTATTTACGATCTAATTGGTGGAAAAAAATGAGCTTGAGGTGTTTTGTCCCGTTCCGAAAGTGCTTCCTCGTGTTCCGAGTTCCGATACAGAATCCAAATACCACGGAATGGAACAATTTCGGGTAACCGTCCCACCCCTAATGCCCAGACATGGTTATGACTTCAAGCTCGACCAAGACTATTCTCATTATCGGACTGATAGTCCCTTGAGAGGATAGACTGGAAGTCTCACACGAGTTAAAAGCAACAAAATATCAAGGCCTTGCGGAGGAAGCTGAGTCCAGAGGTTCCCTTCCCTTCCCTTGATCATACATTTTTGGATGTACGATTTTTGGTTTCATGTCCGGTCTTCTCATTATTTCATTGCTCCTACTACTAATACTTAAATGGGAACTGGATCTGGCTTGAGGTCTTTCCACAAGTCTCTCGTCAGCACCATGAAGAGATCAAAAAGGTTTAAAGGGGTTCCAGCCAATACACCTGGGTACACCCATGCAATATCCCCATCCACTTAGATTGTAGCCTACTCATTTCCAGAAGTCACATTTTTCTACGGAAAGTCTCAAATAGTTTTTCAAATCATAAAAAGTAATATTCAAATCAAAATTAATCTATATTTTGCACAGGGCCTTTAATGTGTTTGATAATAAGTAACAATCAAAATTGCTAATCAAATCTTTTGTACTTTCAGTACCAGTATAACCAAGGTAACAGCACATCAATGCCGGGTGACACAGGCAACCATCAATCACTCCATATTGGTGAAAGGAGTAAACCACCAGGTTTCAAGAATGGTCAGGTGAGCATGTTTCATAAGCTGAAAGCATAAATTGTTGTACTTCTCTGACTTCTCCAGGGTTTGTGGCGATGTAATGTCAATTAATTCGAAAATATAAAAGATAAATGCCTTAAATTGTGTCAGCTACTCCTTGATTAATGTTTAATTAGTGCACCAAAATTGAAGTCACCCATGTCTTATATCTCCCTCAAAAAATGCTCATGAGTTCTGGGACACCTTGTATCTGTTAAATACATATGATATGTCGTGATCTCCCCAGGATTTTTTCTCTGGTGGGTGCAAAATTATAATTTTTACATTGTTCCTACCAAAATTTGTCAAAATATGCCAATTTTTCATGATTTTTCTCATTAGCTCACATGGTGAGCTTTTGCAATCACTCACTTGTCCGTCCGTCTGTCTGTCCGTCCGTCAACAATAGTGGCACGTTTTAAAACCTCTGTCGATAGGATTCCTGTTTTAAGGTATTTCTGTTCAACATCAATACAGAAAACCCCCCTATGACTCCTAGTTCAAAAGCTCGCCTATTTTCAAAATGGCCGTCACTTTTGTCTCGCGAAATTCACTTTTGACCCATTTCCTAGCTTTACAAATAATTTCAAGTGTCCTACATTGTAGAAATCCATTGCAAAGTAAAAACAGTAGATGTATGAAATAATTTTGTTACGAAAAATCAGCGAAAAATTATATCCATTTATTTATTTTCAGCCATTTTAGTTAACATTGATTTGTCCATCTGTCTCGCAAAATTCACTTTTGGACCATTTACCTTAAACCCTCTGTCGATAGGATTCCCATTTTAAGTTAATTTTGTTCAACATCAATACAAAAAACTCTCCTATGACTCTTGGTTCAAAAGCTCGGCTATTTTCAAAATGGCCGTCACTTTTGTCTCGCGAAATTCACTTTTGACCCATTTCCTAGCTTTACAAATAATTTCAGGTGTCCTACATTGTAAAAATCCATGTCAATGTAAAGGGTAGATATATGAAATAATTTTGTTACAAAAAATCAGCGAAAAATTGTATCCATTTTTTTTTTTCAGCCATTTTAGTTAACATTGATTTGTCTATCTGACTCGCGAAATCCACTTTCTGTGGCACGTTTTAAAACCTCTGTCGATAGGATTCCTGTTTTAAGTTATTTCTGTTCAACATCAATTCAGAAAACTCCCCGATGACTCCTGGTTCAAAAGCTCGCCTATTTTCAAAATGGCCGCCATTTTTGTCTCGCGAAATTCACTTTTGACCCATTTCCTAGCTTTACAAATAATTTCAAGTGTCCTACATTGTAAAAATCCATGTCAATGTAAAGAGTAGATGTATGAAATAATTTTGTTACGAAAAATCAGCGAAAAATTATATCCATTTATTTATTTTCAGCCATTTTGGTTAACATTGATTTGTCCATCTGTCTCGCAAAATCCACTTTTGGACCATTTACCTTAAACCCTCTGTCGATAGGATTCCCATTTTAAGTTAATTTTGTTCAAAATCAATACAAAAAACTCTCCTATGACTCTTGGTTCAAAAGCTCGCCTATTTTCAAAATGGTTGCCATTCTTGTTTCGCGAAATTCACTTTTTGGCCATTTCCTAGCTTTACAAATAATTTAAGCTGTCCTGCATTGTAAAAAGCCATGTCACTGTAAAAGGTAGTTGTATGAAATAATTTTGTTACAAAAAATCGGCAAAATATTATATCCGTTTTTTTTATTTTCAGCCATTTTAGCTAACATTGATTTGTCCATCTGTCTCGCGAAATCCTCTTTTGGACCATTTGCTTAAAACCTCTGTCGATAGGATTCCAGTTTCAAGTTATTTTTGTTCAACATCAATACAAAAAACTCCTCTATGACTCCTGGTTCAAAAGCTTGCCTGATTTCAAAATGGTCGCCATTTTTGTCTCGTGAAATTCAATTTTGGCCCATTTCCTAGCTTTACAAATAATTTCAGGTGTCTTGGATTGCAAAAAGCCATGTCACTGTAAAGAGTAGTTGTATGAAATAATTTTGTTACAAATTATTGGCAAAAAATTATATCCGTTTTTTTTTCAGCCATTTTAATTGACTGAGAGACAGATGGCTTGAAATAATTTTGTAACAAAAAATCAGCAAAAAATTATATCCGTTTTTTTCTGTCACCATGTGAGCCCAGTACCCACGGTACTAATTTTTTTCAAATGGGTGCAAAAGGATTTACAATTCTTTTATGTCAACAATCATGATTTGAACGTTTTCTAGATTACACAGAACATAGATCAGCTACAGGACAACATACAGAACCTCATGCTGCAACAGACCAGTGGAGGAGATGCATTGTATTCACCCTGGTCCTTGGATACTGATTCTACTGGTGGTCCCAACATATCTACCCCAGCTGGGAAATCATCTGGGCTTGCTGGTCTGTATGGCTATGACCCCAACGACCCCCATAGTCTTGACAGGAGTACTAATAGTGATAAGTTTGGACTGGGAAGCAGTACAGCATCAAGTTCAGGATTTATTGATGATTTGGTGACAAAGATTTTGGAGGAAGATCATTCTTTATTCAGCTTGAACGATCTGAATGAAAGCATTGGAGGATCCAGGAACCAATCAAATACCTCAGATGTATTTTCATTTGACAGGTAGGCTTATTAAAGATTATTTTAGGTACTCTTAATTTGGGTACTGTTTTAATTTGACGGATTGGTGGATTGAAAAAATCTTCCAAATTAAAGATCTGCCAATTTTCAGATCTATTTAGGGAATTTGTAATTTGCAATTACTGTATTTGCCGTAGTAGGCGCCCGGGTGCTTAAAGTAAGTCAAAACAGTTCAAAAAGTTGTCCTTATTAGCGCCCATATGAGTCCCGCCTGAGAAAAGATGCTGGAGTTTCATTTTCAGTTTAGAGAAAATGGGGTTCATACCTATCCCACTCTTTTTGCTACACTAATGGAATATAAAATATGTACTTACATCAGTATTTTACTCGATAAATCTATATAGGAAAACGGACTTATACCTGCTGAATCGAATTTGAATTTTTTCTCAGCCTTGTTTTGGAATTACATGTCGGGACCTATTATCGCCCACTTGACTTCTTACGTTTGACTACAATGATCGTTGATTCTTCAACCAGGGACTTACCCTCGGGCCTCCAAAAGTCTGGGGGGGGGGGGGCGCTAATAGGAACATGGGCGCCAATTAGGGCAAATACGGTATTTCACTTGTGTAAGTATTCTTATTTGGATGTCAGTGCTATGCCAAGACTTATTGAAAGCAGAACACATGAATCTGAAATATTTATTTCCAGATCTGTGATAAAACTTGAGCTCAGTCCTGTCTCTGCCCAATTAAATAGCCGCCAATATTTGAAATTGAGCAAATCCGCCAAATCAAGTAGCGTCAAATTAAGTGTATCTACAGTATTATGTTTATGCTCTATTCATTTGAACACGGGATAATATGGACGTTTTAGAATTTGGTGGCCATGTTGTTCAAAAGCTCATGAAAATTTAAAACATTATAAATTGCCACCAAACTGTGTCACATGCTGTCAGCCTCTAGTGCTATACTGTGGGGAACAAACTTCTGCATCTTAAATATGCATATTATGTGTGAGTCAAGTCACTCCTAGTTTTCTGCAAGTTGAAATGATTAATTCTGCAAGTGAAATTAGTGACTTCAGCAAGGGGAAAAAGCAAATTTCTTGAAATTTGTAATATGAAATTATGTCATATCATTCATTGATGTAGATTAGATTTGCCTAAAGGAGACAATATTACAATTCTACAGCCTGGTTATTTTTATCAAGTTATTTTCAAAATGAAGAGAGATATGATAAAATAAGTTTTGTTCGATGGGATTTGGCTATTAATATTTGAACAGTCATAAAGGACTTGATTTAGGGTATTAATGTAAACTCCAAAAATGTGGGGATGCCAGTTGTTGCATTGTTTTGAGTTGCACAAATTTAGGCCTAGCACTTGTATAGTACTACTAGAGGTTATCAAACTATTGACACTTCAAATTGATACACTAGAAACATCAGTGATTTCAAACTTTGAACATTTATTTCTTTAATATGCAGCAACATGATTACATCTCTCAAGAATTGCTTGACAGATTTAGGTAATATTATTGATAAACTGATTCATTATTTAATGATGTCCTTAAAGTGAACAAGGTGAAATAATATTGAAGTTGAATCAATCTTGAGTTATGATTTCATAGTTGAAATCTAATAACTTTAAATAAATATTAACTTTCTGTATTTGGTAAACATTCAGTATTGACATTCTTGAAATCACTTTTACAAAAAATATCTGAATTTCAGTTCACCCGGCTTTGACTTTAGTAGTGTGTGGTCCAGTGATGGCGCCTCTCCTAGTCTACCAGAGCCTGGCCGTAATAACTCCCTGTCTTATGGAAGCTTTGAGCTGGCTCCAGGCACCAAGACCAGCCTAAAGGAGAGAGATCTGTCTTGGGAACTCAATGGTAAAGACACCACTCATGGCCACCAGCCATCAGTTCCAGTCAGTTGTGACCAGTTCAATGTCAGTAAACCTAGTCAGAATGTGTTCAAGGGTCAGGCTAGAGATCAGTTTGTACAGAATCGTAGCATGTCAGATGTTGAACAGAGCTCCCATGTGTCTCAAGCACCAAGCCAAGGAGGACGACAGCAACATCATAGTGACTCGTACTATGAACAGTTAAAAGCTCATCAGGATTCTAACTTTGGTAGTCAGGAACAACGGCATCATTCCAGCTCATTTTTCTCAGAGCCCCCTCCCAGTGTTAGTGGTGGTGTTTCCAATGCAGGTTCAGGTGTTCCCAATATAGGCGTAGGTGTTTCTAACATGGGTGGAGGTTTTGACCAATGGAATACAACAGAGCACACCCAGGCCATCATCCGCAAGCAGCTCAGTGAACAAATGCAATCAAATTATTCTAAAGAACGGACATTTCGCCCGATAAAAGCTCAGCCAGAGATGTCCAGCTTTGAACGAGGGGTGCCTATACATGGTCGTGGACGTGGCATTTTGAACCAACAGGGTACTCCACCTGAGAGAGAACCACAACCGGGGAGAGGTCGAGCTAAAGGTATGGCACTCAACTTGAGTTCAGGTCACAGTAACCAACATCAAAATAACCACACAGTGTGGTCCAACCCTGGGACTCCTGTCTCCATGGAAGGAACCCCTCCAAAGAATGATATTCATGGCGTAGCAATACCTGGTGCAAAACTACCATTCCCCTTTCGAGAGAACCACAAATTCTCCTCTCATGGCAACTCTCAAGATAACTCTCCTACTGCTATACATGGCTCGGAGAAACATCGTATGCTGCAGCATGCACAAGCTCAAGCTCAGATGGCTATGCGCAACAGGGGGACACCAACTAATCAGCACCCTGTATCAGATTTTAAGCATTCTCCAAATGAGCAACAATTGACACCAGAGAAGATGCGCCATCAACAAGGACCTGGAATGATTCCATTGACAGATCATATCGATCCTAATTCTCCATTTGCCAAAGAGTTGTTCAACCGTTTAAGTCGAGGTCACTTAAGACAGGAGGATGTAGTTCCCCAACACCTGCCTCCTCAATATTTCCATCCTGAGCATCTCAAGCAGCAGCAACAGCAGCATCATCCCAATCTCATTCCTACACATCATTCTCCCCACAACCACCCTGGTTTACCCGAGGGCTTTGAATTCTACCCTGCGTTTGATCCATATCTCAATGGAAGATTGAATCATCCCTTCTACGGCCATCCAGCTGCGCATCCAGAGATGTTTTATGAAAATTTGCCTCCTCAGTTCTTTGGACTGCCTCACTTCATCCCAGGCTTCAAACCACCAAGGTAAATTATTTAAATTCAAATTTAAGAACAGCAAATTATTAGTAATTTACATTAGTACTGTATATTGCCGAGTTGACATGGAAGATTAATATCATCGGGGTTTCATAAAAATTAAGAAAAGTTTTTTCTTCAATACCTTTAGGGAGTGTATGACCTTGAGAGTGGAGTCTGATATATGTTAGACAAATGAAAACTCATTTGAATTAATCCCACCAATACCCAGTTGCATATAACTGGTTATTTAAATGATACAAATTGCTACTTTTGCCATATTTTGCAGAAATCAGCTTTTTCATCATTTGAGAACAAACCAAATGGTGCAATTTTTCTATGCAAGGCTGTCACAACATCTTTATTTGCAAATGATACATTTGTAACTTTGAAACTCATTCTAAAAAAAATCTCAATGAATGTGCAATAGATATAAAAAATGTCTCAATCAGGCATTAAAGATGATCTTACACTGACTTATATCAGCTTTAGTTGTTCAATCCTGTCTTATAATGTTATTTCAGGAGGACAGGGCCATCAAACGAACTACATATCAAACTAGAGGAATGCTATGATCAATTCAAAATGCTTGAGCGAGAAAGAAAGAAGGTAATTTCTCAATGTTTTGTGCTCTTTACATGGTTCAGGTTCTTTATTACATGATACCTCTCCATGTTTCACATAAATTCAGTGAAATTTGCTTTGTCAGATTTGGCAGTTAGAGTTCTTAAATGGTGACTCATTTATAATTCAAAGATTTAATTGTAAGTTTTAATTTCATGGTGATTTTCAACTAAACTGATTGCTGTTAGCTGATCTGATAGATAATAATGCAACAAAATTGATTGCTTGTGAAGCAAAACTTTCTTTTTTTATAAATTCCTGAACTGATTATTAGCTTAAAGGTTGAGCTATTGTAATCGCCCATTTATTAATAATATTTTTCAGACTGAAGCTGAGCTGGCAAGGCAGAACCCTGGGAAGAGAATCTCAAGTGCCAATAACACAGTTATCCCAAGACTGCCCTCTAACCCATCCAGGGTTGACAGATTGGTGGTAGATTCTCTTAGAGAGCATGCAAGGGTAAGTTGAATATGTCCATTGACAATCCTTCAAAGGTATTTGATGTTCACATGTATGACAAGATCCTCAGTGAGTAAATGATAACATTTTAAACATATAATTTTGTAAAGACAGGGTAAAAGGGAAGGAATCCTGAAATTTCATTTTTTCGTTTGTGTAAGTAAACATTTATGGAAAGTGATGTTTGAAATGCTTTGTTCACAATCACAAAATTCTCCCTGAAAAGACTTATGCTTATTTGTACAACTGTAGGTGACTACCCTTGTTGCCCGAATGGAAAAGTTGCGCACTGAACCCATCCACCCAAACATTTACTCAGCTATGGACAAATGGATTGAAGGCATTCGCAAGGTACAGGCCAGGCGCAAAGAGGAGATTGTTAATGCAACTAATAGGCACAGAAATGGAGGACCCAGATATCAAGAGGAAAAGGGTATGATTACATGTTCAATAGGATATACTGTATTTTATACAAATAAACATAAATTTAAATCTTGAATATTCATTGACATATAAGTTCAAATTATCGACAAATAGGTTCTCAATATGAATTTATATTATGGGGTTCTCTGAGATATTAAAGCAGTTCTACAGAGTGTCAAAATCAGTGACTTTGACAATAAATATTTATACCTATAATTTCAAAATTCCATCAAAGAGAATAATCACGTAACAAGAGAAGGTTATTCTAAGAGGTGCTCATAAGGGAGACTCAGATGTTCATTGGAGATACTCCATTGACATTCTCGCTAACAAAATCTCTAATAGGGATCATCTCTGCATAAACCCATTTCCAACAAAATCACATGTGACATGCCTTACATTAATAATTTTTTTTCTTTGTTATAGATGTGCTTGCCCTGGCAGCAGCTATTAGTGAGCTTACAGAACACACACGTCATGCACGTACTGCTGAGTGGTGTGGCCTACAGATGGCAACTAAATTGCTTGTGCCCAATGAGAATAAAGAGGGAGCCGCTGGACCTCCCGTGGCTTCAATTGAGCAGCTTCAGGCGAGTTTACAAAATGCACTGGTCCCCAAAGAGGATGACCACAATAATAATAGCAAATAATGTATTCATTGATTCATTGACAAAGTTGCAGAGACTCCTATAGCTACAATTAGATTGGAAATAGTTGGCACATAGAAAGAGACATAGTTTAATGGAAAGGAATGGATCAAAATAATCCCCTTAGAAAGTTGGAGATATCTCGTTATCTTACCTATACATAAGCAACTATATTCATGTAAGCTAATGATAGTTATTTAATAGTTGTTTTAATGTGGGTAACATAAAGAAATCTCTGCGAGGGGAGTGTGATTGTATAATAATGTAATGTAGGAGTAGAGGAGCAGCTGGATGGAGATTATTCTCGAAATATTGATTGGTGCCATGTAGGATCAGGAAGAACTCTGTTGGAGATTGAAACAAAACAATTATTTATTTTATATATTCTAACCAAAAAAATAGTAAGATATATGTAGAAATGTTGCTGTTGATATTTATTATTATTATATTATGATTATATATATTTTTGATTATGGAGTGTGAATATTATATTGGATTAGTGTAGTGTAATTCATAATGGAGATTTTATAGAAGGGGGAAGTGCACTGTTGATAGATGGCGCTGCTTGTCCGTCATGTGTCTGCAGGACAGTTCCCACATCTTCATTGTGTTGTAGTGCAGAATTGTTACTGAGTTAACTTCCATGTCATTTTTTAGTTCTGTTGGAAGGACAAACTTTGTATTCTATTGTATATTCTAGTTTGCCAAATGAATTGGATTCTGTTATATGTAATGCTGTCGCACAACAAACCCGCTGTGCAGCCTAATTGGAATTTTAACAGAGCCTATCTTCAATATATATGAATCGGTAGAATGGTTCATTTACATAGAAGATAATGCTATGAACCTTTGTAAGGTGTGCTCATGGTTACAATGGCATTTCACAGATTTTCTCAGGAAAACAGAAAATTGTCTTAAAGTATACATTTCTAGCATAGCAAGGTCATGTAGAAAACCTCTTCCATCGAATTTGCCAAAACCATAACCATCAAGGTATTGCGAAGTATGCACTACTCTAGTGTTTTAAGCAATAATATGCCTTTTGTATGGGTGAATGGGTCTAATTGACCAAGGGTGTATTTAAAATGTAGTTGATATTTAAATTGCATGTGTTAACCAATGGCTTGATTAAATCAGCACCCTCACATTCTTCGATTTCAATATTCTCAACTACTTAATTAGTGCAATTTTTACTCATAACCATATAAGTTGTTGTAAGGTAATGTTAAAGAATAATGCTATGTATCATATTTATAAATTATTTGCATTATTAGCTGAATGGATTATTTATCAAATATTATCATAGATGAAATATCTGTATATATGAATTTAACCGGTGATCAATGTTGATTAAAGATAGAATTTCAGCTTAATGCAGGGTTAGTGGTGTACCAGATATGATGTTTCCAAGTGTTTGAGTATAATGGACCTGTAGCTACATACATGGCAGATCTGCCTTTAGCTTAGCTGTAAGAGAGAAACAGTTAAATTAAGAATTTTCTGATTAGAAGTGCTGTATTTTGTTGTACAGATATGTACAGTATGTAGCTGAAGGAATCATTGGGTCTGTTAACTGGAAACATGCTAGATGAAGGACAGATTGAATTGAACATTTCAAATCATGATCTATAATGTAGTGCTTTAACATGTCTCTCTTAAAGATTCTAAGTATGGTGTTATAGTGTGTAGATAGTCTTGTATTGCATGCAATGTACAAATAGTTGAATGTTATTTATATTTAATATTGCCAGTGGCCATTTTAGTGTGGGACGGGGGATATCTGCAACTTCCTATTTTTGTTATTTGAAAGGGCCTCTGTTGATGTGCTCTGTGTATATGGATGTTACTTGTATGCCCCATCCCAAGTGTTGTGCAAGTTGGCATACACAAGAACAGATATTTACATATGTACCCTAGTTCCAATGGCTATAGTGAAAAAGCTCAGGGTTGTCACTCTTACACACTTATTCTTAATAAACAATGAATTAAGAAATGATTAACTCAAAGCTTTTATACCATGGCCTGATAATATAATGTATGAACAGTATAGGCTTAGAAGGATTTGCTTAAGTCATCCTGTGTCAAAATGATTAATTATTAAATGCTAGTCACCATGTCTGAATAGAATTTCTTTAGAAGAGAAATGTCCATTTTCTACTCACTGTATAATAATATGCTTGTATTTATAGTTCACAGTTTTATTATTAGTGTTACAACTGTCGTTGCAATTTCTATATTATATAATATGTTAATTACTAAGAGATTCTAGGATATTCATGTTTTTTTTATTTAATATTGCCTGATTTTGTATGCTAATAATTTACGAGTGCTTTCCAAATTGTGGAAACTCCTGAATGAAACAATGTTTAAAAAACATGAAAATCTCAGCATTTTTTAACGTGAAATTTTAACTTGTCTCATTTGTAGTTTGTTTTATAGTTTTTGTGTGGTTTTTGTGTAAGTCAGAGAAATGATCTCTGATTGAATGTTGCCCATGTTAAATGTGACATGTTTTGGGAATAATGTAGAATATATTCAGAAATAGGGGAAACAGGGTTCTCAAAAGAACAAAAACCAATGAGTACTATGTCACTATTTAGTTGTACAGTCTTCTAATGATTTCAATGAAACAAATGCACGAACTAATTGTAATGCATGAATTATTTATAGTCCATGAATAATGTATGTGAAGTAATGGACAGTCTTGGACATAGACTGCGGAAAGGTGTGTACCATGGACTGTGGAAAGTCCTGTAAGAAAGACTGCTAACTGTTCTGTAACAAGACAGTTAACAGTCCTGTAATGTAGACTATTGCTCAAGAAGGTGCCTTTAATCAGTGAAATAATTGTGAAAAGGCTTGAAAATTGAAGTAGACTGTTTCCTTTTGGCCTTTAATGAATATTGTAGAAATATTTCAAAACAATCCAATTGAATTATTTAAGTCGTGAGAAAATCATGATCTTGGAAAACTAACTATTTTGCTTCTTTGTACTCAGGTCTTTGTACATGAACAGCTTGAATGTTTTCTCAGTGATTACTTCACAGAATGATATTTGAAGTTGTGCATGAATGGAAAAATAATATTCTATTGTATATAATTGACCCCAGTGTAATGGGTGATGTAGTTTAATCATTGTTTCACCGCCATTTGGAGGAATATTAGTAAGAAATAACCACTTTGTGATTTTTTAAAGGCTTGCATTGAGTAGTCACTAGGCTCAAATATAACATGAGGCTAGTGCACAGTGGCATTAGGAATTTCTAATTAGATTTAGTCTGTTGAGGTAAACATGGCACATAAGTAGTGGCCTGTCATTTATGCCAGTTTAGAAGTAGCATAATGGTATAATATTATGCCTATTAACAAACTCAGTACATGAACTTGAATCTCTATTTATTTGATTTTTAAGATGGTCTTTAATGAGGCTAAATGGAATTATGATGATTATGAACTGATAGTGGAACTGAAAAAATTCTTACATAGCATCCCACCTGTATAACAAATGCCTGAGATTTACTAGATATATGATTTATGTATCATCTTATAGCTATGATTCACAAGCTACTTAGATATATAAAGTAGGTCTTAAAACTAGAGTATTGAGAAGATGTTTGTTACATGAAATGCATACATTAGCCTCGGGGCTGTGAAGTCAGGTATTGAGTAGCTGCATGATTCACGAGTCATGTAAATTAGCCTCAGGGTTGAAAAGTCAAGTATTGAGTAGATTTATAATACACAAAGTATGTACAATTGACCCAAGGCTGGAAGTCAAGTATTGAGTAGATGTATGCTGCATGATGTATATACAATAGCCTTAGGGCTGGAAGTCAAGATTTGAGTAGATGGAATGTAGATGATACATGAAATATGTACATCAGACTCAGGGTTTTTAATACAGTCAAGTATTGAGTAGATGTATGATACATTGAGTATGTACAGTAGCCTCAGAGTTGAAAGGTCAAGTATTGAGTGGATGTATGATATATACAGTTTGTACATTAGCCTCAGGGTTGAAATGGGAAGTATTGAGTAGATGTATTGATACATTGAGTATGTACATTAGCCTCAGGGTTGAATGGTCAAGTATCGAGTAGATGTATGATACATGAAGTATGTACATTAACTCAGGGTTGAAAGGTCAAGTATTGAGTAGATGTATGATACATTGAGTAAGTACATTAACCTCACATTTGAAAGATCAAATATTGAGTAGATGTATGATACATTGAGTAAGTACCTAAGCCTCAGAGTTGAAAGGTCGAGGATTGAGTGGATTTATGATACATGAAGAATGTACATTAGCCTCAGGGTTGAAAGGTCAAGGATTGAGTGGATGTATGATACATTGAGTAAGTACCTAAGCCTCAGAGTTGAAAGGTCGAGGATTGAGTGGATTTATGATACATGAAGAATGTACATTAGCCTCAGGGTTGAAAGGTCAAGTATTGAGTAGATGTTTGATACATTGAGTAAGTACATTAACCTCAGATTTGAAAGATCAAATATTGAGTAGATGTATGATACATTGAGTAAGTACATTAGCCTCAGTGTTGAAAGGTCAAGGATTGAGTGGATGTATGATATATGAAGTAAGTACATTAGCCTCAGTGTTGAAAGGTCAAGGATTGAGTGGATGTATGATACATGAAGTAAGTACATTAGCCTCAGGGTTGAAAGGTCAAGTATTGAGTGGATGTATGATACATGAAGTATGTACATTAGCCTCAGGGTTGAAATGTGAAGTATTGAGTAGATGTATGATACATGAAGTATGTACATTAGCCTCAGGGTTGAAATGTGAAGTATTGAGTAGATGTATGATACATGAAGTAGGTACATTAGCCTCAGGGTTTAAATGTGAAGTATTGAGTAGATGTGTGATATATTAGATATGTACATGGAGTTGAATAGTCAGGTATCAAGTATACATATGAAATATATAAGTTGAAGCAGGAATCGTGTTGCAGTATTATGGATAGAATCGGGCTACAGTAACATATAATGTAACCAGAAAGGGTTTATGTGAAAGACAATGATAGAAACGGAAAGAGTTATTTTTGTAAAGATCAACTGCTGATATATTATCACAGAAAGTATGAATGTCAGGTGCCAATATTTTCAAAAGTTAATTGCAAGACTATAGATGCAGTTGTATAATCTTAGTTTGATATGTTGCCAAGTTGATTTTTGCTGCCGTAGATGTTCAATTAATAATACAATACATAGAATTGATAATCAGATAAAACATAAAATACAGTCTTAATTCAATGTAAAATGCATTTAAAACTCAATCCTCAAAGCTATCTACTGAAATAACTGCCTGTTTATTTATATAGTTTAACAGTTTACCATTTATAATTCATTATCACTCCATTTGTTGGATGTATATAGCCAGTGGGAATATTATGCATTTATAATGGTAATACAATTTGAATTAGGATTTGTATTAAAAATCTAAAAAATAGAGTTTGGCCAGGCATGGACATTTTCACCAGCTTGCATTTACATGAATACCATTTGTAGTTTGAATTTGTATGTATTTGACTCACATAGAAATGGCTAAATATTTTGCAATATGTGTACTTCCTTGTTTGGACTCATCAAAAGGAAGAAACAAACATTCCTAATACATATTTATCACAAGTGCGTGTGCAAGTATAAATCCATCACACTTAGTTATATAGGATATTATAAAGTTGGATTATTGAAATACTTGAGCACTAAATATCACTAGTATGAATTAAAAGTAATTTAAATGAAACAAATTGATTCAAAATCAAGACTTATCTGTGGCATTGATGATGCACCATATTATCGCTTTTAATATCCAAACGCAAAAATTGAAAAATTGAAAATCAAAATAGAAACCAAATAATTACCCGCACTATGTACAAAATATATTCAATATGTGTGATATAGTGGTGTATGTTTCTTTTTGCATCTTCATTTGGAATGAATGGTTTCAGTCAGTTTTGCATTGTTTTAATGTGATGAAGGGAAGTAAAAGTAAGATCCTAGTTTAGTACAGCTCTCAATTTGAGAATCACTGATAGGCATTTCGACGTGTGGATTGGCGTATGGAATCCATCAACGATAATATTTTTGTTAGACTTCACAAATTATATTTTTCAAATTTATGTTGTTCTACAGTGTCTGATTGGGATAAAGTTGTAGATTAGTTCTTGAATCAAGTATATACTCACCAGTGTGTACTTAAAAGTATATACTCACTTGCATGCACTCACTGCAGTATATCTAGTTGTATAGGATATGTTATGTTTCCAAGTGTGGCACACATAAATGATAGCACAATTACGCAATTTAGTTTGTAAATGAATTTAGATGATAGTGATTAATATATTTACACACGTATCCAGGACAGTTTCAGCTGGTCACAAACTTATTCTTCATACATCATATAGGAGGGAGTAGAATTTGAAACTTGCATCAGCTAAAATTAAAACAAGATACTATAACTTCTAGTCAAGCAGGTTCACTGAAAGAAAAAATTTCTGGCAGTTAATACAAGGGTTGTTCAAAAAGTTTTGCACAAATATATCTAATTATGAAAATAATGAACCAATCCTATTCATAGTTGGTAGGTATGTGCGTCGATATTATCTCCTTACACTCTCAAGGTTTCATGTATATACATCTACTACTTAATATTCTATGGTTGCCATAGTAACCAAGGCGATGACACAATGGTTCATATCATTTTGTAAACAGAAAAATAGTAATATATAAAGAACAATATTACTAATCATGCTAAATTTGCTTACATAAACTGTCAACTTAGTTTTAAACAATATCTAGCTTTGTTCTCATGGCAAAAGTGAATCTTATATCAATATTTCGCATCTTGTTTTCTTTGATCATGCCTAAGAATGACCGTAAACATACTCTTCAAACATCTTGAAAAAATCACTGATTTTATGACATTATCAAAGTTCTCATGAATTCATAAAATATTGGAGAATATGGCTCAAAATATCATTTTAAAGTCAATGTATCTCAGGAAGGGCATTGCTTATTGTCCTGAAATTTGATATAAATTTCATGCAAAAATGATAAAATCTCTTCTCTTGAGAAGCTTTCGTGCAAAACTTTTCGAACGACCCTAATACATTTACATGACGTTTAAAATGGAGAAAATGTATTAAAATAAATATAACTAACTTCGGGTAATTGTGCATTTTAAGTAGATTTAATAGAAGATAAGTGTAGTAATGGTCCCCTTCTTTTTTGTGATTTTGAAGTGAGATGTTTGGTTGGAAATCATCAAAGTACCCATACCATATAGCGTTGAATCCTGTTTAACTTGTATGTAAAGATTAGATGCTAGAGATGCTGATATTAAAATAGTGTAAATTATATTATTATATTTATTATTATTATTATATATTCAGGGTGATACTTAATGTAACCAGAATCAGAAAACTGTGTGCAGCAAAGTAATGCTTAAAGGCCAAGTCTCTATTTTTGCAAATATGCCCTTGTGGATTGTACTTTTAACGAGGGCATATTACTGTCATGCAAAGATATGATGTATCTGACAATATAGCGGACTGAATAATGTGAGAAATTGTCTGTAAATTATAAGATTATTGACATTGTAATTGTATAATATACATCTAATCTTGGAGTTGGAGCATATGTTAAGCTTTGATTTCAGAATGCATAGTTCGTTTACTTTGCATGGGCTTTCAAAAAAACTTTTCACAAAAATTTTCACAAATAATAAGTACATAATTTGTTGCATCAGCATAGTCATAAAAGAAAAAAAGTTCATTCTTTTTGAATTCTGAACTGAAAGCTTAAATGATATTGTGAAATATTGTGTTCACCAGAATGTAGGTTAATAGGCAGTGTATAGCAATTTGTTTAATTGCTATATTATTTATTTGTTATTAATTATTTAATCATTTGTGTAACCTCATTAGGCTTGTAGTTTAGCTACAGTATGTCTTAAATATCAGATGAACTATTTATGTAATTTGTAAATTGCTAGTGTTTTTTCACCCCAGAATATTCTCAAATAAAAATGTCTTAAAGCAGATATGAAATGGTATTTTTAACCTTAAGGAATCAATATATTTTTTGATAAATGCATTTGAACATGTTTTCTCATCAGAAGTGTGAAAATTATTTCACTCTAACGATCGTTATAGCTGCTTAATAAGCAATATTCGAATTGGTTGTGACGTTATTGGCCCCCACGTGATCTCCCACTGGCCCCCACGTGGCCGGTTTTGGTCCATTAAATCATGACGTCATAATGGCAAAATGTTTTGTTATTTGTTTACACAATAATCATATGGTTGCCGTGACGTTGTGATTACTAAGGAACCAATAAACCATAGCTATATTTTGTATATGACGTCACTAATCACGTGGGGGCCAATTTGATTGATCAGTTAGTTTTATTTCGTTATCTATGACCGTTAGCAGTTATCTAACATTTATTTTATAATGGCTATCGCAAGAACCCTACGTTGGGCTTACAATGGAGAAAACCGCATTTCTGTAGCTGCAAGTTGAGAAAAGCTATTTCAGTTGTCCTTTAAGTGAAAGGTATGTAGAGAAGTAACACGAAAAAAATAAAAATTTTGAAACAGTTATCGAAGTAATTAAACATCTGCATAATTGTCAAGACGTCTCCATGGGGATAAACAACACTAGCAATATCCATAGCAGTGTCATGAATCTAACTTCAACAGCTCATAAAAATTACATATATTTCTGCAAGTACTTGCATGGAATTTGGAATATTTATTAGATATTGTATTTATGATGTCATTGATAATGATAGTAGGGAGTAAGAATGAATGTGCAGACCCTAAAGGTGTCCTGGCCCATATGTAAGGTCTTTCTACACAAAATCAACTGGTATTGGAAATTCACCATCTGTTTGAATTGCCAACATAGAAATATTAAGTCATAAAGAACTAAAAACTATTTACGAGGATGATTGTCCTCAAAATGTACAATCCAATTGCTATTTTCCCTTATATTAAGTTTAAGTCAAATTTTGTGGTATGCAGTGTACACAGGTAGTATCTTGACCCTAACATACATGTATGTATGCTTTGCTTGTGGCATCATACGTGAGGGACTATGTGTATTAGCATTGGAAATCCCTTGTAGAGCTGATGATACCCAAAGCAAACCATTTGTAAGATGGGATCTAGAAAGTACCCGGGATTTAGTTAAGGGTGTATTAACTCCATTTATTATTATTTGGAGAGATATTCTGTTAGTATGAGTTAGTAGTAGGAATACACTGGGTTATTAGTCCTAGACAAATGTATAGAAACATTTCATATTTTTATATCTTACACAGTCTTGATTTGCCAAATATTTATTATTTATATGCGTTAGTGTACTATAGTAGTACTATACTATTACTATTATTAATCTGGAAACCTTTGGTGTTCCTTCTTGCATGTATAACCTCACATTCCAAGTGAACTCTACGCATTCTTGACTTTGTTCAATTTTTGAGTGTTTTAAAATGGGCTGGGACTAAGGATAACAGAGTAATGCGCTAGTAGAATAGTATAAAAACTAAATTTATTAAGGTGGTACTGCACTGTAAAAAGTTAAGGAAAAACACATTTTCACTGCTGATGTTTTGTCGACCATTTGCCACCTCTAAAGAATACTTATTACTGTTGATCGTCATATGCATTCAGTACATATGACTATGACATACCTATTAAAAATAGCTCAACACATCTGAATAAGAAAACACACATTATGTATGCAATTTTTGTAAAAATGAATTATGTCAGTTAAAATCTTGAAATAAAATGGATATAGGTACTGGCCATTTACTAAATGAGCTTTTCTTTTCAAGATCATTCAATCCTGTTAAGTGCTCACCACCTTAAGGTTGTTTCATGAAAGAAGGGTCTGCTCAGATTTAGACACCAGTGTATTGTTAAAAGTAAAGTAAATGTCATAGTTTGCAGGACATACTGGAATAATATTTAGATTTGGGATTATTGATGTTTGGAAATAAATGAAGATTGATTTCAATCTAAAATCTAGTGTTTTGTTTGCTGTTGAGATAACATTAGAGTTATTTTCTATCCATTTATAAATTCATTCTGTAACTGAAGACAATCTTGACTGAACTTCAGATATCAGACTTGGTCATTGATGTCATCTATTGTTTTTGGGATTTGCATGGTGTCAGTTGACTGCATAGATGATGCTTGGTGTCAATTGACAATTGATCCTAATCACCAGACACACTCTAAGTAATGACTTACTTGAAAAGCGCAAATCTGTATTTTATGGGCGTAGCCAGGCATGCGATGAATAAAATACCTGCAATTAACAGTAATCGCATCACCAATAACATGTTTTGTTATATAACTCTTCCATTTCTTATCTATTCTAAATTATCTTGGTACCAAATGAAAGCATATTGAATGCCCTATCAGATAAAGTATAATTTATGCAAATTAGCTTTGCATATCTTTTTTGATGTCATAATGGCGATTTTTCCTAATACTTTGAACAAGTTATTAAAATACAGGTTATAAATACACCCTTTGAATTATATGAAGATAGTAAAGTTAAATATCTTCATAGAATACAAATGTAGGACAGACAGGCTTTATTTTGATATATTAAACATATCTAAATCAGTCAAGGCTATATAGCCTACGTGCTTTTAATTAGTACATAACTGGAAAAAATACAGCAAAAGAAGACCTATTTTATGGTATTTTACAAAAATTACAGCAAAAGAAGACCTATTTTATGGTATTTTACAAAATATGAACCAGCCTTATGTAAATTATGGGGGGTTGAGATGGAAAATGCTGATAATGCAAGTAAACCCCAGACCCTACTGGATCCCTTGGTATCTTTAGAAAGCTAAGCATCTCTACTACATATTCCACATAATGAGAAGTTCTGACAATGGTCCCATTGCCATGGAAACGAACACTGATTAAAATACCTGCTATTAACAGTATTCAAATCACCAATAACATGTTTTATTTTCCATTTCTTATCCGTTTTAAATAATCTTTGTATACCAAATGAAAGCATGTTAAATGCCCTTTCAGATAAATTATAATTTATGCAAATTATATGGTTAGGCCATAAGAAGTAGATTCTTTGTTTTGCGTCCTGGCAAAATCCAAATCATGCAAGGGTACAAGGAAAACAAACACAAACTCAAGAAAAAACACAAACTTGTTAGCTGAGAAATGTATACATTTTATGGTCATAAAAAGGAATGACATACCAATTTGCAGTAATTACAAACACATATCTATACATTTATACAATACATTTAAACATAGCTATTATTCAAGGGTAAAAATAAGAAAATACACAATGTAATGCCAAAGTAATCAATGACACTGTCAGTTTTAACACACATCAAATTATCTGCCATTTCGTCTGATTCTGATTGAATGAAATGCTATGGTACTTTCAGACCCTTGTGATTGCTATTTGGATGTGTTTGTTTTCTCTGATTTACTCAAAATCGTGCAAGCAAGGGGACGCAAAACAAAGAATCCACTACTTACGGCCTTATTTCGCTTTTTACATTAACAAAATATGTTCTCAAAAATATCAATCAAATGATTCGAAAAATTATGAATAGGGACCCCATGTCAACATTTTTTTTTACAAAAAGGAGGATCTTCATTTCCTGATTTTTACTGCATAGAAAGATTATTCCATGAGGGGTCTAAAACTTCTTCAAAAGTAGAATGGTACTGAAAGTCTAGTTTTGAAGATATATATCAATATTCGATGACCAAAATTATGCTGAAAACAATGGATAGCATGGGGTTTCCCTATGTGAAAATAACCTGGGATATGTGATTTTTAACTTTATCACATTTCAATACACATCCCCTTTAAGAAGTTGCTAATACAGAGTAGAATAAATGTTTGACTATATATTTAAATTGAAAAAAACAAGATCCTCTTTTTATAAAATATAAGCCTAACATTTTTTAAAAGTGACAAGGGTCCTAATCCATGATTTTCGAGAGAGTTGGATTAATATTTTTGTTATCACAGGGACTTCACTTGAAGGAAAACATGGATTTATAGACAGAGAGTACTCATGGTGAAAAATATGACTGTCAAGAATCACTTGCAATCCTTGCCTTTCTACCTGGTCCTTTGGTTCAACTTTTAGATCCTAGCTATGGCAAGATTTAATTTATTCAACTTTTGATCAATTGAAAACTATACAAATCTAGGATGATCATCCTAAACAAAATATATGTCTCTGAATAAGTTTTAATAACATTATACTAGAATAGTAGTTAAAATCAAATATATTATCAGTCCCGGTAATCGACACATCTAAAGTCTCTTTGGCATGAAAGTTCCAATAGTATTTCGTGCGGTGCTGTTATGATCATGTGACTTACCATGCTGTACAAATCACGTGATATTTATTTTTGAAAAATGGCAGATGGAGGAAATGAATTGGCGTGGGACTACACAGAGGAAGAAAGTGATCTTCTTGGTGGTATTCGGACGGGCAATTCAATATTTTATAGGTGAGTGTGTTCAGTAAATTACTTATGAAAATATCTGTATGTCAAAGAGTGTACATGTTTTTGTAGACAAGAGTAGATCTACTTAGTAGACTGAATTTCTGAAGAGTCAAATGTCAAAGTGGCCATCTTACCAAAATTAAAAATTAACATGTCAATTATTTACAGACACCTGTCATTTTTATGTCACCACCAAAAGTGGTGACATATTGTTATGGTCTCCGTTTTTTTGCGACGGCGGTTGGCGTCCGGCGGTTGGCGTCTGTAACAATTTCTTACAACTTCCTATAACTTAACAAATACTGTTTAGACTGACTTCAATTTTTTTCTAAATCATCTACATGTTCTCAGAAGTTCAAATCTGACTTTAGATTTGACATTTGACCTTCAATGACCTTCTCAAGGTCAAAAAGGTTTTTTTTCACATTGACTAAATTTTTTTTCAAAATCATCTACATGTTCTCAGAAATTCAAATCTGACTTTAGATTTGACATTTGACCTTCAAATCTGACTTAAGATTTGACATTTGACCTTCAATGACCTTCTCAAGTTCAAAAAGGTCAAAAAGGTCTGTTTTCAACTTGCTTCAAATTGACTAATTTTTTTTTTCAAAATCATCTACGTGTTCTCAGAAATTCAAATCTGACTTAAGATTTGACATTTGACCTTCTATGACCTTCTCAAGGTCAAAAAAGGTCAAAAAGGTCTGTTTTCAACTTGCTTCAAATTGACTTAAAATTTTTTTCAAAATCATCTACGTGTTCTCAGAAATTCAAATCTGACTTTAGATTTGACTTAAGATTTGACATTTGACCTTCAATGACCTTCTCAAAGTCAAAAAAGGTCAAAAAGGTCTTTTTTCAACTTGCTTCAAATTGACTAAATTTTTTTTTCAAAATCATCTACATGTTCTCAGAAATTCAAATATGACTTTAGATTTGACATTTGACCTTCAATGACCTTCTCAAGGTCAAAAAAGGTCAATAAGGTCTTTTTTCAACTTGCTTCAAATTGACTAATTTTTTTTTCAAAATCATCTACATGTTCTCAGAAATTCAAATCTGACTTTAGATTTGACATTTGACCTTCAATGACCTTCTCAAGGTCAAAAAAGGTCAAAAAGGTCTGTTTTCAACTTGCTTCAAATTGACTAAAAAAATTTTTCAAAATCATCTACGTGTTCTCAGAAATTCAAATCTGACTTTAGATTTGACTTAAGATTTGACATTTGACCTTCAATGACCTTCTCAAAGTCAAAAAAGGTCAAAAACGTCTTTTTTCAACTTGCTTCAAATTGACTAAAAATTTTTTCAAAATCATCTACATGTTCTCAGAAATTCAAATCTGACTTTAGATTTGACATTTGACCTCCAATGACCTTCTCAATGTCCAAAAAGGTCAAAAAGGTATTTTTTCATCTTGCTTCAAATTGACTAAAAATTTTTTCAAAATCATCTACGTGTTCTCAGAAATTCAAATATGACTTTAGATTTGACTTTAGATTTGACATTTGACCTTCAATGACCTTCTCAAGGTCAAAAAGGTCTTTTTTCAACTTGCTTCAAATTGACTAATTTTTTTTTTTCAAAATCATCTACATGTTCTCAGAAATTCAAATCTGACTTTAGATTTGACATTTGACCTTTAATGACCTTCTCAAGGTCAAAAAAGGTCAAAAAGGTCTGTTTTCAACTTGCTTCAAATTGACCAAATTTTTTTTCAAAATCATCTACATCTTTTCAGAAGTTCAAATTTGACTTTACAAGTTCTCAGAAATTCAAATCTGACTTAAGTTTGAACTCATAATATTGTGAGCAACTAGGTGGTGACATTTTGTCATGTTAATGCCTTGTCTAAAAAGATGTTAAGGTAACGCATATCCTTTGTATAATTAACTGAGAAAGTACACAAAACGGAAAATATTATTAGACTTGACTACTACAGTATTTTGAAAATTTTGATGAAATTCACTTTTTGTAGTTCAATACTCAATACAGTTCGGGACATAAATAAATGACAGGTGGATTTGCTGAAGTGAGAATTTCCCATGTTAAAAATAAGAGAATTTTCAAGAGGCCATACATCAGTGGATGAGATTATACAAAATGTGAAATATACAAATTTTAAGGGATATGTATCTAGACAATATTGGAAATTATGGGCTTTCAGACGACCATAATTAGGAAATGGTGATCGAAAATCGACCTGTCATTTATTTTTGTCCCCAACTGTACACACCATATTGTGGGAAATATACATGCATTCCATGTAATGTACCTTATGCACATTACAATAGTCATGATAAGCTTTCAAATGATACTATTTGTGCATATCCATCGACATACATTTTGTACTTTACGATATCTCGGTCTGACAAAATATGGTACAATATGGCCAGACAAGAGTTTCCAGACCATTTCAGTAAATCCATGACCACAATCAGCACTTTACTCAGCACCATCTATCCTATTATACATAGAAGAATGTTCTATACCTGGTGAGGGATAGATAGTGTTGACTACATGTATGTCCTGTGATAGAAGCCATAGAAGCGTGGACTTTCCCACTGCTCAACATGGATAGGGTTCTTCTATATTGTTTCTTCATGTAACAAGTTAATTAGTCAAACAAAGGGCAACATTCTAAAGGTACCTATTTTCCGTGAATACTATAGTGAACAGTGCATGCATATTTGGTATTGCCAAACCAAGCAGGTGGAAAAGGTATTAATTACTACCTCATCTTGTTGTAATGTCATCAGAAACTTCTCTTACTATGTATTGGGCAACTGTTAATATCAACTGTGTATTGGTTTCAGATAATGGGGTCTGGTCTTCCAAATGTTAACTTTAGTTCATAGCCTTGGCAATAAATTTTAAAGGTGTGGCCCTTGTAATCCTTTAGATTTTATCCAAACAAAACAGTGTAGCGGTATTTATTACTTTTTGGTCACAAAAGAGGTTGCTTTATTAAAGACAATACATTATAGGTTTGAGCTATAAAGATGCTTTTTAAAACCTTTCATTTTAACATGTTTTACTCATTTTGGGATCTACAGTCTCTACTATCCCTCGGAATACAATGTAGCTCTCACAAGCTTGAGATAGAGTTTTACCCTTTTAATTCTATATCAACTTGTTCTATAAATTATGGCCCACAATGAAACCAATTTTTGGCACTATGTGTTTATTGGAAAACTGATTTTTAACCTCTGAAATAATGTCTCTGATTTTAAATCTATATGGAACAAAATTATAAATCCCTCAAATGCATATTAACATAGTAGGTCCTTCACAGTAGGTCATTTGATAACTGTGTCATTATATATTTGCTATTATCATTCTTATCTATGTTTTGACTTTTGGAGACAAACTTTATCATCGGACAAACAATAGAAAACTGTTCTTCAATAAACTGAAGGTATAACTTTCTATAGTTTGCATGTTATATTCTTCTTGAATTTATTTGAAAAGTAATAAATTCATTTTTAAAGGCAATGTAGATTAGATGGCTCTGGGAATAGAGTTTTAGAAGATGGCATATTATACTGGACCAAATATAAGCTACGCATGGTTTGTATACATGTTTATATACATGTAAAAAACATATGGTAGGCCTACCTTAAAATATGTTGGTATATTTTATAAAATGATTGCTTAAATTTTTTTCAAGAGAAAAAGAGGATGTCAAACGTTTGCAAATTATATATATTTCAACGCTTTGATGATGTATAGCAAAATGTTTAAATCACTCAAAATGCATCAGAATCTTAATTTACAAAACCCATACCTCGACATATGGCCTTTCATACTTTTGACCTATAAATCTAAACTTTAATTATGAAACTAATATTTGACCTTGAACCTCTCATATTTAGATTCTTAATGTCTAAATCTCAAGCAGCTACATGTACCTAAGAATAGTCACTTGTTAGTAAATTTTGTTACAATGTTTACTCATTACTAATATGATGAAGAGAAATAATTAAATAATTACTATGATTAATAAAATGTTTATTAATATAATGCCTTTGTTTATTATTTCAGTGTAAACAATGAAGATATGGGTTACAAATTATCTCCTCAACAAGTACAGTATCTTATTCGCAATCTCGAGGACAGCACTGACCTTCTCAAGACCTATCTAGCTGAGGTATTGTCATATTTACTTTATACAAATAGTGTCTGCTTCAATATATTGTTTGCCATTATATTAACAGACAACATCTCAAGCCCTATCAAGAAGAGGTATTATATAGGTATTAAATATTTATCAAATAGTGTTTGTCACCTTCCAGCCAATCAGAACACATCCTGCAATCATAATGAACAGCCAAGAAGGCAATTACTGGTTGAATTTCATTCTTTAAATGATGACGTACAAAATCGTTTGCTACATATGAATAGAATTGCGGGTGATTAAATGCAGTTGTGTCTTGTATGCTAGCCTTTGAATTTGTGCTACTACCCTCATTCACGGTCTCCGATACTACCCAACGTAAATCGTTCCGGACTTGTTTTTCATAACCATTTGGACTTGATTTATGGAAAAAAGTAGAGGTAGGTTTGTAAATCTGGTCATGAACTTGCTTTCACTTGACTTTATATAAATTATAACACAATTAGATAACTTACCATACTATATACCCTATCTTCAGGCACACGCAAACGCCTTTTTGTACGAACCGTTTGCTATAGTCTTGTTATTTCGGGATGTGAGCGATTCTGCAAGTGTTTTCACCTATTTTGCCTGATAATCACCAGCCTGCCTTGTATCCAATGAATACACCGATTTATAATGAAAGTAGCCATATTGTGAAGGAAAATCATGATTTAAAATGGTTTAAATGAGTAGCAATTGTCGAAAGAATATTTTTTAGATTTAACCATTTGGACGTGACCTAAATATTCCAGTTAATGATGTTGACTTGTTATTGGAACGTTTCTGACTTGTGTTATTGGAACGTTTCTGACTTGTAGAACACAATGAACCATTTTTAAGTGTGGAACAGCTCAATAAACTTTATAGATTTCCAACAAAATAGTGGAAGAAGTTGTCTGAGTGATACTATCTAAATGATCATCATTAATTAAACGTATTAAGAGATACTTGTCAAGGTTGAATTAGGGAATCATTACAGATACATGTTCGTTACTTGATACTTTCAAGGGGCAAGAATGTATGTAGAGAGAAAAGTTGATTTTTTTACTTGTTCTTGTGTTTTGCCTCTTCGCTTTTTTAAAGACTTCACTCGTCGCTATTTTCAATTTGTCTATGAAAAAATGTGAGCATAAGTTTGCCTCGAATAAGACTTTAAAACCATCTTATTGGCTTCAAACTGACTTCCATGCTTATATTAATGCTAAGCAAGAAGTTTAGTGAAAGTTGAGAAGAAATAATTAGTTTTAATCGTTATTTACTGTTAAAAATCTACTGGTTTGCCCCTAGATTATTAACAATTTGATTCATTATTATTTGTTATAATTTCATAATTTGCCTCACTGCATGCAGGTTTTTGCCTCGGATTCTTCTTTAGACTTTCCCCTTAACTTCCAATGCACTAAATACGTTCAAAAAGCTCAGCGTCGCCTCTTTTAAATGGCCTGGGTTTTGACTCTTTTTAATACGAGAGATGTGTCGCCTAAGACAGGATTTGCTGTAAACTTACAATAATAATATTAGCCCCAAATGTATTTTGAAAAGAATATATAGAAACACCATCGATCGCCGAAATACGATCTATGCCCGCATATACATGGATTCCATCATCTTTTTTATTTGACACATGGCCTTGAATCGCATGCGCTTCTGAAGAGGACTGGGTTCAACGTATTCTTCCTCCTATATCGAGGTGCCATCATCAAATGACAGCCTTGAGCCTAATTTATCACACATCCGGAATCCATAATCCAGTGTTTTGTAACGCCATGTGCCTTTATCGCGAAAAGGGACGTCAAGCCTGAATAAATCGGAGGGATGGTCCCTCTTGAAGTGTTCAAAGAATATATTTTTATCTGCACTTTTAAAAGTACATTCGTGGCACTTGTTTCTGGGAACTGAAATTACAAAATCTGTGAATATTTCGTACAAAAACTCCTCTAAAACATAATCATACTAAATCCAATTATTCCAGAAGCATAGACAATTCATCAAACAATGGAACGTATAAATACCATTACAAGACAATTCCTAATCGTTATTTTTTATCACGTTGTGCACAATTCGCAGTCGTTCACCTAGTGATTATAAGACAAGTCCGTGTCAGAATAAGGACCATTCGCCGTCGTTAACTCCACTTTTTACATTACGGTCATTTATGGAAATTTGAAGGTACAGATAGTTAAAATATTAACACGATCTTTAATGTAGAGAATATTGTTCCACGTTATAAATGACTTTTTTGTTTAAACATAGTTAAATGACAATAATGCAGATTTAGAGCATATTTCTGGCATTTCTGTTATTTAATGCCGATAAATATGAACTATGATGGCACGATCGCCAAATTAGATATGTGGGTATGAAAAAGAAGGTTTTAAGTAGAAGTTAGCGTATGTATTTTTCTAAACGATTGAATTATATTACATTTTTGAGCCATTCTGGTGAATGTCTCATCTCATTCTCCTACCGAAATGAGTCCAAATGGTTATGAAAAACAAGTCCGGAACGATTTACGATGGGTAGTATCGGAGACCGTGTCATTCAAAGTCTCATACAAGACCCTCATGCTTAAAATCACTGACAGTTCATTGAGCACTGGGCTTAAATCCTTTAATTTATTGTTCATCATATAATAGACAATATCTCAATACATTGTTTATAATTATAAACAGATACATGCAGTGTATAAGTTGCTTACATGTGTTATTCATGTCAAAGTATAAAACAAATGCATAATATGATGTGCAGGTCCAAGTTGCCAATCGACGACAGTCTACTAGTGAGGGGAGATCTCAACTATGTAGAAGATGCAGGTCCTGTTGCACATGGACCGTTCCTGTCAAACTTTTGGACAACCTCTTCATCATAACAGTCATTCTTCAGGTACATGAACTGAATCATTACACCAACTTGTACTATGTGACAACTTTCATAGTTTACAGTTTAAAATTGATTGTTACAATTTGGGGCGACTTGAAAATCACTAGTGAAATTATCAAAATACAATTTGTAAAATAGCTAAAAACTGAGGTATTGGAAGCTTTACACATAAGTGGAACATTTTTCAAAAATCTGTGTGTTCTATCAACTTTATATTATATGTACATTTGTAAGTGGAACACCTTCCAAATAGAAGATAATTTAAATGTGCTAAAGGTGTTTCACTTTAACAGGCTTTACTTTCAACTCATGCTAAAGATACAGTATGCCATGGCCATATAATAGGTTTCTCTCCCGGACAATCAATGATTTCCCATTAAAATTGCCTACATACCTTAGATATCGGATCTAGAGACCAACGTATGGGTATAGTATTGCAGATATATTGAGGAAATCAACAGAACAACCAACTGTCAGAATTGAACACAACTATGTTCAATCGGGGCAAGTGGGGGAAAACCTTGTCAAGTGACACGAGAACATGCGCTTCGGCACCTGGGTACATGCCTTGAGCCAGGCAGCCAATTAATTTCAAAGCCATTTGTTAATTTCTTTTAGAATTTCCATAACTGCCATTCACAGAGTTTCTTTGGTCACGTTACCATATCATACTGATAAACAAATTTAACGACCAATCAGATTACATATGGATTTCTCCGGTTTATTCAAGTTTTGACCAGTCAGCACAATCGCAAAATTAGCACATAAAGCAGCACATTTGGCGCTTCTTCATAAGTAAGCAGATATGTGAATATGTGGTACGGCTCAATATGCAAAAACAGAGGGTCTTAATTGTGCTTTCCTACCACAACAACTCTCTTTAAACGACATGTTTTTCTGTTTGTTTCCCATGCAGGCATTGAACTTAACAGTGTTGACAGTGATAGACCTGTGGCCAACAAAGGAGGAAGATGCAGCGATATCTCACAGTTTCTATGCTGTAAGTATCTCAATTATTCTCTTTTGATGTTTTGTAAAAGATACCATTCAATGATGTTTTGCTCACAGAGCATTCCATCCCGTGTCTAATTACCTCTATAAGTTAAACATCCGCTAGTTGAACACTTTTCATAGTCCCAAGACCAACTGACTCTTAAATGAACCTCTATAAGTGGAACACCTCCCGAGTGGAACACCATTTAGAGGTATTAAAGGTATTCCACTAAGACTTAAGTTGTACTGTTAGTGCATTTTTAATAGGCCTCAGTATCTACTAGGGCATGCATTACCAATCTGGGACGTACAGGAAATTAAAAAAGCATGTATATCATTCTAGTTGAAAGCCCATGGTGAAATATACTTCATTTTTCACAAATTTTCAAAAATCAGAAAAATATTGATGCTGTAATTCACAATACAGTTGTTTATTTTCAGAGTGTGATTGTGATGATTACTCTCCAGTGCATTAATCTAGTTATACTCATAGCTACTTCAGGTTAGAGCAACATCATTTCTACAAAACTTGTAATCTACATTGTAATCATACAGACTTGATCAATAAAGAAAGATGACAGTAGTGGTCTCTCGATTTACAGTGAAATCTGTTAAGTGGAATAACACCTCTAGGCCTCTTACTCTGTTAGTGGAACACTTTTCAACTATAAATAGAAACCAAAACTGACATAGATCTTTCTGCAGACCAAGTGCTTGTGATATTGTTACACTCATCACATAATTCTGTTTTTATTTAACTAGCAATAATGTTCCGGCTAATTTCCACTCCTGATCCGGAGTTTCAACTGCCTCAAAGTCTGCAAATATAGAACATAGAGCTCATAGTTTTTAATGTCCAAATAAGTTGCATGAGAGCACTGTATGCTATTAATTGTCAATGTCAAAGTTCTAAACATGTTTACATTTAAACAATATTTAATTACCTTAGATAACATGAAAGAGTTCAAAGCTTCTGGATTGAATTTGACACCTCAGATCTGCTAAGCTAATTGAGAAGGACGAATGAGAAGAGGGGTTATACTATATATAGTTATAGTTCAGTAGGTTACATCTGATTTCATATACCTCTGATTCAAGATTTTTTCTTTCAAGGAAAGTTAACCGAACAGATATTCTCGAATGAGGTAAACAATTGGCTGCTTGCGCAGTCTTACCTTGCTGCCTTGTTATTATTTGCTGGCATATATACTGCAACTTATAGGCTACAGGTGAGCTATTGGGAATGTATACTGCAACTTATGAACTACACATGAGCTATTTTGTATGTACAGTAAAACCTGTATATCCGAACACCTCTCTAATATGAAGACAATTCTTGGTCTCATTTTTAAATCTACAAAAGAAATCCATGATAAAAAGCCTTGAAATGTAAACACCTGCCAATCCTTACAAGTTAAGCCAGTCTAGTTCCATTTGGATTGTACATGTTTTATCGTATTCTGCAACTAACTAGGCTACAGTTGAGCTATTTTGTATGTACACTGCCACTTACATGCTCCTTGAGACCATTGTTATAAATGTACTGTTATGTGCATGACAAATAAAATAACATATTAAAATTTTAACTTTGTAAAAATTGCCATTTAATGATATAAGTTTCATTTTAAATAACGACATTGTATTATATTATGACATCACATATATTTTAGAAAAGCAGTTGGAAGTTCATCAGTGAGGATCTGTATGTTGATCCTGTATTAGTTATAGAACTCTACCTGAAGATGTTCTACCTGTCAGTCTCTACTGCAACTTTGTGTGGTATGTTTTCTTTTTACACACAAATAGATCTGATCATCAAATACACTGAAACAGAAATATTAACTCATTGCTTGTCAAAAGTATTTTTTAGGTTTTCTACTTGTGACTGGCCATTTTGATGAAAAATTTATTAAAATGGCATGTTTTCATATAGCATTTAAATTAATGGACTGTATCAACACCCTCTGTACTGAGTTTTATGCCATTGTGAAGCTGCTGACAATATATTTCAATTGCACCCAACGGTATTCCCCTTGTGACCCGTACAATATTTCGGAAGATTATTGGTACAAATTGTGTGACAATTATTGTACAGCACCCGGGATATCTCTGGATTGGTTAGATATGATTATGACATCATAGATGAGATATATCGTGGTTGGTCAGCAATGAGTTAAGAGGCGTTTGCACAATTTGCACATATTTTGCTGCTTCTAAGTGAGCTTTAATATATTTAGGAGGGTGTTGTATCAAAGTCTGACAATGGTATAAATTGGTAAAATTGCAGTCTGTTAATTAGTGTATTTTAAAGAGGAGACCCTTGAAAAGAGTCGCTACAAAGGTGGTATTATTTAGATGCATGTTCATGTAAATCCTTTACAAGTTTGTATACTTTAAGATTGGTCATTGTCACATGTCACTAATCGTTTGACATTCTTCCATCAGTGATCAACATCTCAAAAAAGGATTTACTGAGGCTGCAACATTGTCTTTAACATTGAAAAGGGCGATAAAAATAGATCTGTAATAAAGATGCCTTCTTTATATTGGCCCAAAACCATTAGTCTTTAATGATAATATATTTCTTCTAATTTTGGTATAAGGAATTGCAGATATAGGTATTTTTGTTTTATTTCAGGTTCGTGCAATATAACCCCTAAAGAATGGTACAACTATATTTTCGTCTCTCTACAGGTAAAAATCTCAAAAGACAGGGTTATGACATAAGACAGGGCAATGATTCATGGTTCATATAAAGAAAGCGGGGCATATATCATGTACTTTTATGTACATATAGCATGCATTGATGCATAGAGCCTATGTGTAGCTATTTTATCATTTTTACTGTTTGTTGTAACAATTAGAGAACTTATTTTGGTATTTACTAAAAACTAGGAAATTTTATACAGATAATATAGAATATTGTATTTTTGCTCAATTAAATGTGATGAACGCAGGGATATCTATAGATACAGCCAATAGTATGAAAAAACATAACAAACAAGCCTTGTCTCAATATCTATTTTTACTTTTCAGATGCTACTTAGTTTTGTGTTTTTTGCGTCGATTTTGTCTCAAACAATTGGCTCACAGAGGTCAGCACCCAGAAATTTTGAAATACGACGAAGGGGGTCAGGTCAAAGTCAGACAAGTTATGCTAGTAATGTTGTTGGTAAGCATTTGTTTTATCTCATTGATATTCAAAAAATTTCTTTGATCACTGTAGTTATTGTTCATTTGATGCAATTTGCTATACTTGATTTAAAAATAAGATCATATAAGCTAAGAGCAACGAAATCATTGGGAATAAGCTCTTGTATAAAGAATTGAAATTAAATTATAGGAAACCATGGGCTTTCAATTAGCCCATGGGGAAATGTATAGAGATTATATGATTTTGTAGATGAATCTTTCAATGCAAAAATGATATTGAGCAAGTATTTTTTACTTTTTAATGTGAATATGCAATCTTAATTCAGTAGGATTCAGTTGCTCCAACTAGTACTTCACCTTGATATCTCTAGAAGATAATATACCTTTACAATAAACTACAGGGTGTCAAATAAATATGTTCTTCCATCTTAGCTTTAACATCCACACAAGGTTGCATAACCTTTTTGTCTGCATGATATCTGAATTTTCCTTTATCACATTCAAATATGGCTTCATGGATCAACTTCACAAGAAGTTTCAATGGACATATTTATTTGACACCCTGTAGATTATAAACCCTACCATCTCTTACTACACTAAAGAAATATATTGGCCAGATCCATTATGTCACAGTTTATAGTTGTTGTGAAGCAAGATGACATCCATGATGTCATGTTTACAAACAAAATTCAAAAAGGTCTTCCAGAGTTAGCTATAAGTTAATCCTATTCTTGCTTCCGAGACAATGCTACTTGCAGCCTGTGACATCATGGATCAATGCTACCTGCAACCTATGACATCATGGATCAATGCTATCTGCAACCTATGACATCATGGATCAATGCTACCTGCAACCTGACATCATGGATCAATGCTACCTGCAACCTGACATCATGGATTAATGCTACTTGCAACCTATGACATCATGGATCAATGCTACCTGCAACCTGACATCATGGATTAATGCTACTTGCAACCTGTGACATCATGGATCAATGCTATCTACAACCTATGACATCATGGATTAATGCTGCCTGCAACCTATGACATCATGGATCAATGCTACCTGGAACCTGTGACATCATGGATTAATGCTGCCTGCAACCTATGACATCATGGATCAATGCTACCTGCAACCTGACATCATGGATTAATGCTACTTGCAACCTGTGACATCATGGATCAATGCTACCTGCAACCTATGACATCATGGATCAATGCTATCTGCAACCTATGACATCATGGATCAATGCTACCTGCAACCTGACATCATGGATTAATGCTACTTGCAACCTGTGACATCATGGATCAATGCTACCTGCAACCTATGACATCATGGATCAATGCTATCTGCAACCTATGACATCATGGATTAATGCTGCCTGCAACCTATGACATCATGGATCAATGCTACCTGCAACCTGTGACATCATGGATTAATGCTGCCTGCAACCTATGACATCATGGATCAATGCTACCTGCAACCTGACATCATGGATTAATGCTACTTGCAACCTGTGACATCGTGAATCAATGCTACCTGCAACCAATGACATCATGGATCAATGCTACTTGCAACGTATAACATCATGAATCTAGCCAATATGTTTTTGCTTCTTTGGTTTTAGAAAAGAGGGCATTGTTTTCAAGAATAGTCTACTGACTGAATAAACAAAACAAAATGACACCCTCAATTTTTCAATGATATATCATGTCAATTAATTCACGTGGAAAACAATTTGCTCTTGAAACCCATGCATATATAATTTCATTTACATGCTTGTAAGACAAATATAATGTAGTTTGTATAATTCAATGATATATTTAAATGGAATTGATATATTTTCAGGAACATATGGAACTATGGCTACAACCCAGAATGAGAGAAAACAACAGCGTCCTCGTTCCACAAGTTAGTAGGCAAAACTCAAAATCTACAGGAACCATATGCAATTCTGCAGAGGCTTCACCTACCATAACTGTGTATCTAGCATTGCAAGAATATATTTAGCTGGACAATGGCACAAACATTTATTCCAACCTACTGCACTTGCAAGGATGACCAACAAAAAATGCAAAATTTTTTTTGTAAGAGAAAATTTTTGATGAAAAATCTTGACTCTGATGGATGAAAAATATAAATTGCTGAATTTTTCGAAAAGAGATCATTTTTGAATTATAAGTCGAAATATGACTTTGGTTCTGCTTATGTTACCATATTGCCTTCTCAATACTCTACATCTGACTTTTTGATGGGGGGGGGGGGGTGATGCAGAACAGAATAACAGAGAGATTAATATCTAAATTCAAAATAAGTTTTTTTTGATGCAAATGTATTATTATTGTACATTTTTGACTACAATCGACAATAAAATGAATGCTTTAGTTCCCTGGCCTTTATACCAGGTCTATTACTCATGTTAAAATCCCATGGTTTTTTCTTATCTACACAATCACTGGTGATCCACTCGATTACGCTGGTTACCAAAACGAACCGTTTTGGTAACAAAATGTCGGAATGTCGAAGGCACGATTTTTCTTTTTTCCTTATTTCACGCGTTGTAGGCAGAATCCCCACGACGTTTTTTCTCACAACGTGCATCAGTATCATATGTTTTAGAAAATGTACATGTTTGCGAAAAAATAGCTCAGAGGACAACAGAATCGTCGATTTACTTCCTCACTTAAGTTACATAAACGGTTTTTTCGAAAAACAGTTAAGATCTGCACTTTTAACCCAAACCGTTTATGTAACTTAAGTGAGGAAGTAAATCGACGATTCTGTTGTCTTCTGAACTATTTGTTCGCAAATATGTACAATTTCTTAAACATATGGTACTGATACACGTTTGTTTTAAAAAATGTCGTGGGAATTCTGCCTACAACGTGTAAAATAAGGAAACGAGAAAAATCGTACCTTCCGGATGTTCCGACATTTTGTTACCAAAACGAACCGTTTTGGTAACCAGCGTAATCGAGTGGATCACCAGTGACAATGTTCAAATATTGAAGTACTGTAGGCTCTAGGTTTGAACCTAAATCACCTACCGAAAGCCTGAGAGATCAGTTGAGTATAGATCGGGGGTATAGATGAACAGGGAGATCAAAATGGGTATAGCTAACCTAAATGCAATACTTAAGAGGTAAGAGAGTTTCCCTCACCTTTTGCCTAGCCTATTTTTAGATGCTGGCTATACTCCTGAGATATTAAAGCATGTATGTGCCATTTTTATTATTGTGTGAAAATGCATGATAAAGTATAGTAAATAAAGTTGTTTTTTGATAAAAATTGCCAATATTGCCTTAACTTTTCTTTATCATAATTAGTAAAACATTTGGATCACAAAAACGGCTTTGTATAAAAAACCTCCTTCCTCATACCCACCTACCCACCTACCCACCTACGTGAAACATGATACATTCATTGAAGGGTTCAATTTTAAAGATTATTTAATCTCAAAATAGCTCAAATTATTAAGATTTCTACAATTCCGGCTTTATTTTATGACTAGACAGGTGACAGATCCATAAATAAAGGCATAAGGATGCATTTTAATGTGTAATGACCCGAGGGCGCCCACGGGGAATGAATAACAACGACCACGACCATAGGTCCAACAAGCCAGATAAAAAAATTGAAAGAAAGTGTGCTAAATTCGATGCTCCGAGTGGGAATCGAACCCAGCTGGGATGTAGTAGCAACTTGCTATCAAGGGTCATTACAAATGCATCATCTAAATTCATCATAAACTAAGATTTAATAAACTAATATCTTTAAAATTGAACCCTTTCAAAGACTGTATCATGTCCCACTTACGTGGGTAGGTGGGTATGAGGTAGGAGGTTTTTTATACAAAGCCCACAAAAACAGATGAATAAATAGATAAAACCTGAATGGGATGTGGAAAGTAATTTTAAGTGTTAAATAGGCCTTGAAGAATAACCCCTTTTTGAAAGTCAATTGATGGACCAGTAGGGGAAGGGGAACCTGGGGCAAAAATGCCCTTACACAAAATCCAAATGTGTGTAGCACAAGGGCTCATTGTATCTGTAGTATCTGTCAATCATGGCAAAATTTGGTATTTTGATTATCCTACCAAATGAAGTTTGAATAGGGATAATACTAAGAGGAGGAGCTAAGGGGAGCGGCTAAGCCATATCTTCATATTTGGTCTCATAATTACCCCTTACACACCCCTTTTTATTCGTAACCACATCTATTATCTGTATGCTACATCATGATGCATGGGCGGATCTGGGAACCAACAAGGGGGGGGGGGAATTTTGAGCCACTAAAACCAAAAAGGGCCCCTTTTTGTGAAATTTTGAGGCCCATTTTCTTCAAAAAGGCCCATTTTGGGCCCACTTTTTTCTGGTACCACCCAAGGGTGGTGGTGGTGATGGTGGTGACATAAAAACACACATAAAAAGCTAAAAACAAAAGTACATCATCTCTTCGCTATATCGGTTTTTATTTCAGCTTTAAATTCTTGTTAGAAAATACTCCCAGCATACATCAGTTTTCCCGCGGCGTCATCTTTAACGTGATTGGTCAATATTGCCGCGAAACAGGATTAGCGCCAATATACGAATTTTATTGTTGACGAAAACTTCTAACTGATATTGACCGCCTTCCTGAATTTTTTTCCAGAAATTCTATTTTTACCCAATTTAATCTCCGGAAAAGTAGTCAGTAAAGAGCAAACAATGTTGGGGAACAGTAATTTCAGGACTGGCAACAGGAATAGTGAGTATTTTTCTTGATTTTTGAGTTTGAAATGAAAATAGAAAAACAAAAGACAGAAAATTCAAAATCGAAATGCATCAGATTTGAATTTCATATTAGGACTGGCAGGCTTCTCCTCGACTTCTCTTAGCGAGTACATTCATATTCGATTTTATTTTGATAATACTTGATCCTGTGATCTAAGATGATGAAAATGTATGGACAATATCATGTCTTGGATTTTTACTAGAATCAATCTAAAGATGCAGCAAGATTCCTTGCACAAATGGGAGTTTCAGGGACACATAACATAGTGAACAGAACACGGATAGTGGGAAGTCCTCCATCTAGGAGGTATAATATAAGTAATATATGGAGGGCTTCCCATAACCGTGGAACAGAAGCCCCCCATGTTATCTATAGGTCAGTATGGAGAACTTCCCATTATCCGTTGCCCATACACATAGGAGATTTTCCATCATTTGAAGACAGTCTGGCATAATGTCCTTTTCCAAGTCTAAATATTGCAATGCATAGCCTACATTCAAATTAAAATGTTTTGTTATTTTATTTTCTAGCATTCACATTCAACAACTTTGATACATGTGTACTGCCAGATAATGGAAACAAGAAGTTTACAGTAAGTACATGTAAATTGATCTTAGCCTAAAATCGAATCATTTTGTGTGTGTGTGTCGACTCAACATGGGATTTCGAGAGAAAAAAGCCCCTTCATGAATAGAACAGGATGTTTTCAGTTTTAAGTCAATTCAAGGAGTGGTTTGAACTCCGCCTTGAAATTCAACTTCTTAGAAATGACGTTACTTCTTGTAAAGGACTTCGTGTAAATGCGTGTGCCAATAAATTAAGAGTATAAAATATGTCACTTCTTAGAAGTATGTAATATGCATATTTAAAAAATTAAGAAAATCGGTTCATAAATAAGCGAGAAATGAACTCATCAATCGATGAAAATGGTTCAGAGAAAAATGCATTTCAAAATTTTAGTTCTCATAGAAACCAATGGTACAATAATATCTAAAACATAATATATTCTACATTTTAAGCTGGTTAGACAATCAACATTGGTTTATTCTCGAAGTTTAGCATATTCAGAAAAGATCGAATTTTTTTTGCCACCTGAGTGATTCATCAATGACATCACTGTCTCAGGTTGCGAAATATTTTTGATATGCTAAAACAGTAAGTGGCACATTAGATATGGCATTTTATTATTGAAATAGTATGTCCATTGTCCAATCTTTGCATAGGTGTTAAAAAGATAATCTTTTTTGAAATGTATGGTGGAATTTTGTTTTTGGAAAATGGTTGGAAATTTGAATACTTGAGAAATGAAAAGCTGACAATTTTTTTTCATAAAATCTCTACATTTTTTTTTAAAGTCATGACAAATAGTAATTGAATGATAAAAACATATTTTCAAACATTACACAGGGACTTTAAGCACAACAGGGAGGGAGATTTGACAATAAATGGACTTATTTTATTTTATAGGTATCTGTCGAAGGTAACATTGGAAGTGGAAAGAGTACATTCCTTAATCATTTTCAGGATTCTAAAAATGTTGAGGTAAGCACTGATAGTTTTTATCTAATTTTTTGAAAAAGTATAAATACAAATTAAATTGGTACAATAATACAGTGTTTTATCAATAAATACTCTTCCAGTAATCTGGAGTTTAAAATTGTATTGGACAACTGGGAAGATTTGTGAAAATTGCCCACCATTGAACATATTCCATCATATTGTTTTTGTAGGTAATCCTTGAGCCCATACATATGTGGAAAAGTGTGAGAGGCCACAATACTCTAGTAAGTTCAGATATGCAATGTTTATATTGAAAGATATGTCACTTAGCGAACAAAAGAACTCAACAGAAGGGTATGCAACTTCCCATATTTCATAAGTCTTGTCTTAGGTTTTCAAAATCGGAGAAAAAATACTTCCTGTACAAATTCTAAGAAAAATCTTATTTTATACTTTTCATGTATGATTTAAGAAATAACTCAAAAATAAAAACATGATCATCTGCAAACAGTTGATAATTTAATATAAAATGGAATTCATTATAATCATATTCAAAATAATACTAAAACGTAGACATTCATCTAAAACTCTTTGAAATATTATCAAAAAAGTGAAGCATGGCACTGCTCATTTGAAGTTCTAGTGTTTATAACAGACTTGCATACCCTTCTCTTGAAAGCCCATGGTTTAAGTGTAGTGTTAGTGAATCCTTTCTGTAAGGGATGTCTGTCTACAAGAAACAATGATGGCCCACACAATATAAGGTGTTCCAATCATATAGACATGCTTTACAATAATTGTATTATAGCATTTTATACCAGCTAAGATTAGACAAAAGCATTGTTTACAAATGAAAACTAAAATTACTTTGAGTTTATTGCGTGCTGTAGAACATTGTTTGTTCTCATTGCAGGAATTAATGTACAAGGATGCCCATAGGTGGAGCCTTACATTCCAGTCATATGTACAGCTTACCATGCTACAAGTACACTGTAAAAAACATGTGAGTTCTAAAAGTATTAGTATTCAAGAATTAAGCAGTGCAGGATAAGCATTCTTGTGGCTGGTATTTTAACTAAGGTTTTATTTTGCAACTTTAATATTCTGTTAAAGCTATTTGAATATATATTCAATATTCAAACATGACCGTGCTCTAATTGGGTTTCTCTACCAATCAGAATAAATAATGACAGGCCATTCAATATTTGGAAATTCTTCACTCGTTGGACAGAACGTCGGTATAGTTCAATACGTTCAGTTCGTGCTTTGTACGACATTTTGTCCAACTTGTCTTGTGCTGAATTTCACCATATTGAATGGCCTATCATTATTTATTCCTTAAATATAACACTTTAAGGGGATCCCAGCAGAATCCTTTTGTAGTGAAAGGACTACTTTATTCCATTTCACATTCACAAAAATACATAAAACAGCAATTACTGACTTTCTCTATAAATTCATTTATAAGAGTTCTTTTCTTTTAGACGAAGCCAGTAAAGCTTATTGAGCGTTCTATCTACAGTTCCAAGTACTGTTTTGTTGAGAACCTGTACAAGAGTGGAAACATGCCCCCTGTAGATTATGCAGTGTTGTCAGAGTGGTTTGACTGGTGTAAATCTACACAAAACTTAGATTTAGATCTCATAGGTATGTTACTTTTGCACCCAGTTTCTTTTGAATACCATTGTATACTATAGTTCTATAAATGAGCCAGGGCAATGTACTGTTTATAATAACTTTGATCATCCAGCCTACTAGGGCAAGTTGGCTAATAAATTTTGAGCAGTATTAAAAAATACATAAAAATTTATCATAAAGATAATAGATGTTTCTTATTTTGCTTCCATATATGAAGTGTATTTTATTTATTTTATTCTAGTATACCTCCAAGCAAGTCCTGAAACCTGTATGGAGAGAATCAAGTTAAGAAACAGATCTGAGGAGTGCAATGTGCCATTGGTAAGCACTAATAAATAGTATATAGAATAGAAATATTAATTGATGCAAGCTAGAACTACTACATATGAAAGTACAAAAATGTATTGTCCACTAGGGTGGGTCAAGTATAGTTTAGGATTCTGGAATTCAATATTGCTACCAACTTGTCTGCCACTTAACATTTTATGTCACCACCAAAAAGTGGTGACATATTGTTATTGTCTCCATTTTCTTTTATGATGGTTGGCGATTGGCGTCTGCAACAAATTCTTACAATTCCAATAACTTAACAAATATGTTTAGACTGACTTCAATTTTTTTCAAAATCATCTACAAGTTTTTAGAAGTTCAAGTCTGACTTTATATTTAAGATTTGACCTTTCCAAAGTCAAAAAGGTTGTTCAACTTGCTTCAAATTGACCAATTTTTTCAGAATCATCTACAAGTTCTCAAAAGTTCATATCTGACTTAAGATTTGAGATTTCACCTTCAATAACCTTCTCAGGGTCAACAAGAGTATTTTTTCAACTTGCTGCTCTAAACTTCAAATTGACGACATTATTTTTTCAAAATCATCTAAAAGTTCTCAGAAATTCAAATCTGACTAAGATTGAACTCATAATATTGTGAGCAACTGTGGTGACATTTTGTCATGTAATGCCTTGTATGAAATTTTGTACACCTTGGTGTTGCTTGTTTCATTGTAAAGTTAAAATCTTTAGATTAACATAGACAATTTTTTGCAGGAATATCTTGAGAGTCTCCATGAACTTCATGAAGATTGGTTGGTAGGATCAGGAGAGTTCAAGCCCCCCTGCCCTGTATTGGTATGTACTCATTCACTACTGTATATCAAATATTGTTCCATTAAAATGAATCAATGGGAACTAAGACTTGAATAGATGGCAGTTCACTAATTTTCTCTAGTTGTGGATGGCTCTTCACACCCGTCCCATTGGTTTATGTGTAAGCACTGCTGTCTTTAAAACAGTTAGATAAATCAAATCGCTATCTGATTTTCTTGTAAATTATTTAATAACATGTTTTATTTATGAATTGGATATTTTCTTATGAGATTTTTACATGTTTAAGTAAACAATTAAGCCCACTGAATTTTTCACCATCTATTGACCGTCCTTATATCTTTGATTGAATGCAAAATATGAATTATTATGAAATTACATGTGATTTCAGGTATTAGATGCAGACCAAGATCTCTCAATCCTCCAGAACACATTTGAAGAACGTCGATCTGAGATTCTTTGTGGATGTGTTTGATAATAAATCAACAATGCAATCAGACTAAGCTCAAAATCACAACAGAGCACAATTAATGGACCATCTCAAAGCTTGGATGGCAAAAAAAGCTTATTTATTGAGTCTGAGTAATCCTTGTAAATAGACTTAATTATAAACTATGCAACAGTCTCATTTGTACAAGTGAGCACAGTCAATGGACCATGGCATCTCTTAGTCTCTTACCATGAATGGTTCCATAGTTAGTCATGGAATATCAGTGAATTGTGTACTAGCTGTGCTGGTAGCACAGACTTTTACGCTTGGAACAATCGACTAATTGCATATCTCAGAGTATGAGTTGATAATTTTAACAGCATACACATGCACTTCTTTGCCCTCATACACTCGATTTTTAGTCATATTCAGTTGTTGATTTTCCTCGAGTACATAGAATTGATAGAACCCCAATGATTTTAGTGTATTCGTTTTTAAAGCATAAACAGCTGATTTGCTGTATGTCTAGGACAAGTTGCTTTAGTTTTGTTGACTATAAAGGCATACTATTGAAGGAAAATAGTCATCAAAAAAAGTCATGAACTTGCATAGTTTTCTTATGCTAAGATCTCATTATGTAGTATGTACATAGAATTTCAATATCAAAAATTATGTGTGTATGTTATGGCTGTACCTGCATATTTTATACAAATTGTTTTAAATTGTGAATTATTTTAATGTGTACTATTGCATTTTATTCTATATTATCTACATTTACGTTAGTTGTAATTTTAGTACATGGAGCATGCTATAAATATGCAGTATGACACTGATTTAACGGTTTAAAAGTTGTCTAAAAGTGATTGTTTTGTGAAATTAATTGTTTTTTGACTTCCGAATATAAAAAAATGATTGATGTTAATATTTTTTCAAACAAAATTGGTAATATTGAAAATGGATTCTTTGGAAACAAACTTATATGAAATGCCTGTTGTTGTTGAATTGTAAATACATCATTGATGCAGTCATTCATTGTATTAAATCCATTGATTTCATTGTATTAAATTCATTGATCAATGTAAATACATACATATTGCGTTCTTCCTGTCTCACATCAGTGCAATCGTTTATAGTAAGGTGTTTCCAAAGTTATTCCCTTTATGTCTTGATGCATCTGAGTTTCAATATTTTTTAAAGGGGAAAACAGTTTTTCGTGTGGTGATGGAATTCACCATGTTTTTAAGTACCCGATCATTACATGTCTATTTACGGGTTAAACTGCATAAAAATATATAGTATTAAAATATTCATTATTTGTTTTGTTTCTAATTTTTCTTCATAAATTTTAATGTCATTTTGGATTTTTATGTTACCACTAGAAGTGGTGACATATATTGTTATGGTGCAACTTTTTTGTGTAAGGTGTTAACAGTCGGTGTCTGTAACAAATGGCAGGTAGTGATATTTTGCATTAGCTTGAGACAAAAAATTAAACACCTAATCTGTTGAAAAAATTAGCCAAAGAAAGCATATGGGTCGGGTATATTTTTTGAGAAATAGTAAAAGAAATTCCATTTGGTACATCATGTCGGATTGTTGACCCATGTTCCCTCAGCATACAGATTTTAGGACATGATTGTTGAATGAATACTATTTTCATTAATACAAAGTGCCATGTAGATACCTGTATTATCAATTAATTTTATGTCGCATTGAATGATATAACATTTAAGGCCAATGTCATTTAAAGTATAGTTAAATTCAATTTTATCCAGGGTGTTCCTATGTTTAAGGTCCTATAGGGTCGCATCAGGATAGGTCCGAAGCTTGATGAAGCAAGATGTCATGACGTGGTGGTAGGAAAAATACATATATCGTCTCAAAGTTTTTGTGAACGGTGTTTGGCGTACGGCTGTTGGCATTCGGCGGTCAGGGTCTGGAACAAATGGCAGGTTAATTTAAATGCCTTGCATTACACCAGAGACACTCTGATTACACCAACCATAATTACACATGCAAAACGCAGAAAGCATGAATGACACAATGACACGTTGTTTGAGTGTACGCTATTAGGTTTTAATGACGATAATACTGAAGCTCGAATACAATTGTGTTCAATCCATCTCCATTGAACTTCAAATATCATAACACGGGAAAGATTAACATAATTTCTAAGTTTCATTGTCATTTGTATTCCTTACACAGTACAAATGTACATGTGTTTGGTTTCTGAAAATGTTGCCTCAATTTTATGTTTGAAGGACGTCAAACATATATTTGTTTGAATGACCTTAGTTCTAATTTATTTCCTGGTATCCCCATAAGCAGGTGTATAAAGTCGTAATCAATTTTGTAACTAACTAGTCTATTTAGTGTTTCTATATAAAAAAAACCTTCTATGACAAAGCAAAATTCTCGGGCCAATGGACTTAAAAGTATGTTAACATTTGGTTATTTTTTAAATTCGAGTCATTATTATTGTGTATTTTCGATTCCTTTGAAAATACTGAACACCAGATCTAGACCAATATATTTTGCTTATTTATTCACAGAAAGTGATTCCCTTTTTTAAGGTAAACTCGTGTCCTCGTGTTTCCCGACAACTCCAACAGTCAAATTACGCGATGTCGCTGTTTTGCATCGTGGTAAGCCACGCCCTCTCCATCTCTATCCTTCTGCGATGCAACAGAGAGAGATGCTATGAATATCAGAATGCTGTTTTGTGTTTTGGATAATGTACAAATAAGTCAAATGGCCAAAATTTATATGAACAATAAATCCGAACCTCGCATCTTTCAATTGACCGTCCTGGCACAGCATTGTTTGAAATAACATCTAATTTTTCTCAAATGAAAACTGAATTAAAATATTCATGGCTTCAATGTATTAAATATACAATCCATGCACGTTTTCTAATATAACAATGATTAGTAAATTGACAGTTAGAAAACATTTATCCAAATATACCCACGCCTTTCATACATTTCAATTACAGGGACTTTTATTTATAAATCAATTACTGCGCAGTCATTGTGATGTATTGCTGACGCATGCTTGTCAAACGTCTCTCAAGTCTTATCACTAGACTTAAATTAAACTTGAATATTGGTCGATTGCAACCGTTTGTTATATCATTGCCAATTCTAATGAATTGAATCTTGAAGTGATGCAGAAAAATAAAGATACGATATTTCCATAAATGCATCAATCGGATGCTTTTAGTTTAAGTTCTGGTAAAATACCACATTCTTCAGACTTAGTAAAGGTTTCCTGGAATAAAATATCTCAACGGGATATGAAAACGGAAACAAAAGCCAAGTATTTTCTAACCATTTAACGTCCACCAAAGAACATGTAACTTTGGTCCTCAGTAGTAGTTGACTCTTGAGTCTCAACAGTGGTTGTCTCAGGTGTCTCCTCAACAGTTGTTGTCTCCGGAGTCTCAAAAGTTGTTGTCTCTGGAGTCTTCTCAACAGTGTTTGTTTCTGGATTTTCCTCATCAGTGGTTGTCTGTGGAGTCTCCTTAACAGTGGTTGTCTTTGGAGTTTCCTCAACAGTGGTTGTCTCAGGGGTCTCCTTAACAGTTGTTGTCTCCGGAGTCTTCTCAACAGTGGTTGTCTCTGGAGTCTCTTCAATTGTGGTTGTCTCTGGAGTTTCTTCAACAGTGGTTGCCTCAGGAGTCTCCTCAACAGTGGTTGTTTCTGGATTCTTCTCAACAGTGGTTGTCTCAGGAGTCTCCTCAACAGTGGTTGTTTCTGAAGTCACCTCAATAGTAGTTGTCTCTGGAGTCTCCTCGGTTGTGGTTGTCTCTGGAGTTTCTTCAACAGTGGTTGCCTCAGGAGTCTCCTCAACAGTGGTTGTTTCTGGATTCTTCTCAACAGTGGTTATCTTTGGAGTCTGCTCAACAGTGGTTGTCTCAGGAGTCTCCTTAACAGTGGTTTTCTTAGGAGTCTCCTCAACAGTGGTTGTTTCTGAAGTCACCTCAATAGTAGTTGTCTCTGGAGTCTCCTCAATTGTGGTTTTCTCTGGAGTCTCGTCAACAATATTTGTATCAGGATCCTCAACAACATTGGTTTTCTCTTGTGTCTCAAAAGGAATGTCCGCTGTCTTGTGTCCTGGTGGTGCACCTTCACCAGCTTTGGTTGAATCGACATCATCTTCTAAAACACATTCATGTATACAAATAGTTGATATGTATCCCACACTTGTATGTCTGAGGTATATAGATAAGATTTGTCTTTTTTGTTAATGCACCTGCCAAGGGAAAGAGAAATAGAAAATAGAAATAGAAAAAGAACAATGATCGACAGACTGACAGATCATCCTATATTATAATTGTTTCAGGATATTGAGATATTCTCTAGCATGGGGATAATACTAATACACTGCACCTCTTATGGGATAATTATATGGAATTGTTCTAAGTTGGATTACATGTACGGGTGGCCCAGCAACAAACGTACCATATTCACAGATAAAGGGTTGTTTCTTCCTACAAAAATCTAACTTCCATCTGTAGGTATTGGTCTTTGGCCTGGAGATTTCAGAGCATTGTTCGCTTGGTCTGACATCAGTGATCCAGTTAACGTAGTCCGCTGTCTCCCCATCACTCCATTGGAATTTTACTACGGAACTCAGACCTGGAGAATACATGTTAAACATATTGTATCATGGTTGGGCGGTGGTTGGAGGCGCGTTGGGTGCGACCGACCCCCCTCTTAATGGTGCTGAGAAGGAGACACGGAGGAAAGAACTATATGCTCTTGTGAAAGAGGTGGAGAATGAGTTAGGTTTCAAGTGCAAGCTCTGGTGATAGAGACGCCCGTGTGTAACTCGAGTCTCTAGCCAATTCTTGGCCACACTTAGTGGCCATAGAATATGGTAACCCGTGTCATATGATACATGTATATTGTTTAGCATTTAAAAGACAAAAAAGTGATAACATCATGGGCTTTTATATTAAATAGATATTCTATTGAATGCCCGTGATTACATCTACAGTACATCTGCATTCGCTCCTTATATTAGACATCATATTTCAAGTAATACATGGTTGATATTATATAAACAGGGTGTCCAGAAAATAAAGATATATAGAGATTATCCTACATGAGGTTTAGGATATTGGGATTATCCCGATTCATTCATTCATATTTATTTTCTCGAATCTTTGATTATTAACAGGGCATACTGCTCCTTCCCTTCTTTAAATCATCACTGATTGCGACTGTCTGCGTTTTTCTTCATTGCAGTTTACAGTTATTATGCGAACGTTACAAAGAATGAACCATGCGAACGGCGATTATGACGAGCGGGCAGATATACTATATCTGCCCGCTCGGAGCGGGACGTATTTAGCTATATCTGCCCGCTGATGAAAATATACGTTTTTACAAACCGGCTTTATGTACCTGTAACACGTTCAAGTATGGGATAAATGTTAATATTTTTATGTTGGCACGATACGAAACTTCACTGATTTTTAGAGGAATGTTAATCTTATTTAAAGTGCGACAGATGATACCTGAAAAGTAAACATTTGTTTCAATATGGATTAACAGAACCATATTATATACATACCTATCCAAATACCTTTAGCTAGGACAGCACCATTTCTTCCACGTTTTAACCATTCATTCATAAATTTATCAACTACCTTTTGACGTTCACGATCTTTAATTGTCAGCAATTTCCCACCAGATCTTTTACATTTCTCCTGTGCTTCCTCAAAGTTCTTTTTCGTTGGATATATTTTGAATGTGATTCCATTTTCAACACGGATAGTCTCTATGCCAATTTTGGTCCTCTTAATTTGGAAAGGTCTTGCTTTTATGATCTTAAATGGTCTTGCTTGTATTCCGATCATGTACGCAAACAACACGATTGTGATGGCTTCTCGCATCAGGTGTAGCCTCATCTAGATAGAAAAGTCTTATTTTAAAGTAAAAACTGCAAAGTAAAGTCATTTTTATGATATTGATAACAAACAATGAATATAGGGCGGCCTACTCTTTCCCGCCATTAGTATTTTCACGGGGAACTTTCAAACAACCATCATTCAACCTCTGTACATTAAAATCTGTTGACCATGTAATCTCAAACAAGGTATTAACATGACAAAATGTCAACACCTAGTTGCTCACAATATTGTTTGTTCAATCTTAGTCAGATTTGAATTCCTGAGAACTTGCATTGCAGATGATTTTAAAATAGGTCAATTTAAATTAAGTTGAAAAAAGACCCTTTTGACCCTTAGAGGGTCATTAAAGGTGAAATCTCAAATCTAAAGTCAGAATTGAACTTCTTAGAACTTGTAGATGATTTGAGAAAAAAATGGCCAATTTGAAACAAGTTGAAAAAAGACCTTTTTGACATTGAAAGGTCATTGAAGGTCAAATCTATAGTCGGATTTGAACTTTTGAGAACTTGTACACCGTGTTGTAGATGATTTTGAAAAAGAAATTGGTCAATTTGAAGCAAGTTCAAAAAAGACCTTTTTTGACCTTTAAAAGGTCACTGAAGGTCAAATCTCAAATATAAAGTCAGATTTGAACTTCTGAAAACTTGTAGATGATTTTGAAAAAAACTGAAGTTACTCTAAACAGTTTTTGTTAATATTTGTTACAGACGCCGCCCGCCGATTGCTAACCGCCGCCCGCCGATCACCAACCCTCGTCACAAAAAACGCAGACAATAACAATATGTCACCACTTTTTGGTGGTGACATTATAAAATGGTACCGCTCGCCGCTCGCCGGACAAGCAACTATTGATGTACGCACAATTCATAATCAATTACATTTGAGGGTTGAGAAGGTAGAAATCGACCATGTTTTGTCGATGTTTTAACGATTAGAAAATAGAAATATCTTTTTTTCTGAAAATTTAAATAAATATTAAAATTACACAATAGGAGACTGAACTATTGAAATGTGATTAATCCAATTGCGTTTCGGCCCTGGGGAACAACATATACAAATTTGGGGAACTAACAGAATTGGTTTATCATGAACCCCTTACATCTACTCAGTCGGACAGTCCCTTGAGGACAGAATTATTGAGAAGTCGAATTCACTGTCTCAACAGCATGTTAATGATGCATTTGACAAGTTTAGGCCAAAATTGAGGACCATAACTGATCAGAATGGTGGACATATTGAGAGTCCGTTTATGTAAATCAAGTTGACAAAAACTTGGTTTTTGCAAGTTTCGGAAAACCTGTTTTGAAACGAAAATGACGTCATCATGGACACTGGTTGACAGACATTATAATAAATTTGAACTTATGATATACCAAATTAAAGATGAGTTAATTCCCTATCCACTGGTATATAATATGACATGTTTTCCTCAAGGAAATCAATATTTATTTTTGAAATGCGAGTGTCTCATTTTTTGGACCACCCTGTATAATATAACCTTAAAATATAACCTTATTGGTATACTTTCATTTATATCTTATTTCAATTTGATTCAGTAATATGATTGCAATTAGGCAGGAAACATATGGATGACGTTTATATAAAATACTGTTCTGTTTTGTTGTATCGTTCGTACGTCCATAGATCTATAGATTGGTCAGCGTGTCAAAATATTGAGAGACACAAACTTGTTATGAAATTAAATAGATCGGATCTCAAAAGAAAACGTTTCCTCCCATGTCGATTTAATTAGATTCCCGATATAAATAACTTTCAAGTCAACGACTTTCTTGAGATATTAAATTACAATTTCAACGAACCCTTATTCATACATACATAATATTAGTATATCCAATTTTATGTCTCATTATCACGCCCGGTGATCGTGAATATGGGACGGAGGGGGGGAGCAGGCAATTTCTGCTAGGAAATTCAACAAATCTGGAAGATTTATTTTTTCAAGAAAAAATTTACTATTGAATTGCTAAATGGATAGGCGCACGGTATGGTAGAATATGTTAGGTTTTCTGGGATTTTTTTTGAAACGATACGCATCTAAGGTATGAGATCTATTAAAAAAGGCGCAAGGCCATCAACAGGCACAAATCAACGTTTTTGCTATCAATAATTCTATTTACTATATTTCTCTTAAGAATATACTCACTATGTCACAGGAAAATTAACCCAAGGTTTTTGCTAGCCTTAATATGCATTACTTTGATATTTTTAAGTGTTCCTGGATTAAGCGGCACTTATCTGCAACCTAATATCAATCAGCTCAAGCTTACATTATCAAATGATGTACATCCTCACCCAGGGTCAGTCCCATATAAAGGTAACTTAAAGGCAGAATCAGATCTATAGGGGGTGACAAAATTACAAGCAACTTGTATAATTGACCTTCCAATCTATTCCTTACAATATCAAATACAATATCTCCCAAAAGATTCACAATATGTTATAAATTGGTGAAGTTATTAATGATTCAAAGTGCAAAAATGAGTGAAACATGTTTAAATTCTCCCAAATAATAAGAATGGTAACCATTCTTATAGAAAAATAATACATTATTGTGAAAATCTTTAGTTTTCCTTGAAAAAAGTATGCACTTTTGTGACTTTTAGAAAATAGACATGACAAGGAATGACATGAGCCAAAAATATTCTAAAATTGAAACAATTTTTTGTTTAGCCTGCTCGCTATATCTGATACTCTCTTTAAACATTTTATTCTCCAATATAAATAGTATGCGGGTGCGGGTACTCGATGCGGGTACTCGATTTGAATCCCTGAATGACCTAGTTAAGGAAATGAATGTATCAATTGTGGGACTTTGTGAGACTGGAAATTTGACCACTATATCAATCAAAGATAATTTCTTGCTGAACGGATTTCATAATCCATTACACAATCAAAATAATCGAGGACTTTTGATCTATATAAACAACAACATTTTATGTAACGAAAGACCCGACTTGAATACAAATTACTCCCTGTGGGCCGAACTGAGAATTAAACATAAAACCTTTTTGTATGGAGTTTTTTATCGCTCATCCTCACAGTCAGTAAATGAGAGAGATGAATTTATGAAACTTTTGACAATGAACATAAAACAGGCAAAATCACGAAATGCAGATGGAATCATTTTGAATGGTGACTTCAACGCTAAATGTAAACAGTGGTTTCTCAATGGGGATGAAGATAGAAACGGAAAAATTTTAAATGATATATTTTTTGATAATGATTTTGACCAGTTAATAAAAGAACCAACAAGAATCACACCAACATCTGCTACTTGCATTGATCTCACAGTCACTAATGTCCCAGGTCTTATAAATTCTTCGACTGTAATTGAACCTATAGGCTCATCAGACCATTGTTCAATTTTTACTCAACTCGATGTACTATTAAATAGAGAGGAAGATCAATTTAAACTTATTTGGAAATATGATACTGCAAATAAAGATGCTTTGAACCTTGAAATTGAAAAAATAAACTGGGCTAATTTTTTTTTACTCAAAACCATGATATGAACACCTAAAATGATCAATTTACTGATACAATTCTTACCATCTTTAAAAAGCATATCCCTCACAAAATGAAAAGAATTAAAGCGAATGATAGACCTTGGTTCAATGAGAGTATATCCCATGCGATTCAGAAAAAGAAAAAACTCTATGTTAAATTCAAGAAAAGCAATCTTCCTGAACATTATACAGCATATAAGAATCAGACTGAAGCTGTCAAGAACCTTATTTTAGAAACCAAAGCAAAATTTACATCAGATCAAATAGAAAGTCTAAATGGAGAAACACATGCAAGTGACAAATTTTGGCAACTTATAAAAAAGTTTTTAGGTCAAAAATTTAGCTCGCCTATTCCTACCATAGAAAACCCTTTAACTGGAATTACCTGTTTGACCAGTCAGGAGAAAGCGACTGAATTTCAAAAATATTTCTCTAATATGTATCACTTAGAACCAGATGCATTGAACAATAATATTCATTTTCCTGACAGATGCAATAACAAATTAGAGAACATTGACTTTGACCAACAGGAAATTATCTCTATAATTAAGGATCTTGACCCCTCAAAAGCAAATGGTCCAGATGGAGTTACAATAAAAATGCTCCAGCTATGCAGGAATACTATTTCTGTGCCACTAAATTTACTTTTTCATAAAATTTTGACCACAGGTAATTTTCCCCAGAACTGGAAATTAGGGGATATCTGCCCAATATTTAAAAAGAATAAAAAGAATGACATAAGAAATTATAGACCTATATCTCTTCTCAGTATTACTTCCAAAATATTAGAACGAATTGTCTACTCTAAGATGTACGAACACCTAATTGAAAATAACTTATTGTATAAATACCAGTCCGGTTTTTTGAAAGGGCACAGCAATGAGTTACAACTGTTAGCCATCCAAAACCTAATTTGGCGCAATTTTAGCGACGGCAATGATACACGTGCAATTTTTTGGGATATTTCGGCCGCGTTTGACCGTGTCCCCCATTACCTTCTTCTAAAAAAGTTGAAAGCGTATGGATTTTCAGGAAACTTATTAGTATTTCTAAAATCTTATTTGACTGATAGGAGTGTCAAAGTAACTGTGAATGGCAAATGTTCTGACACCTCTCCTAGCAACTACATAAACTGTTCTGTGCCTCAGGGAAGTATTCTCGGACCTTTGATGTTTCTCCTCTATATAAACGACTTACCGGACAACCTGACCTCAGAGTGCTTTATTTATGCAGACGACACCTCCCTCTTTGTACCTACTTCCCCAAACAATCCGCAGTCTCATATACAAATTCAAAATGATCTAAAAAAATCGAAGCCTGGTCTAAACAGTGGAAACTAGATTTTAAACCAGAAAAGAGCAGAGAAATGACCTTTTCTAAGAAAAATAATCCAATCTATCCACCAGTTATCTTAAATGATAAACAAATTGAAAAAACTGACATTCATAAACACCTAGGCTTCATTTTTGATAAAAAATTAAGTGGGTCAGCACATATAAATTCTATCTGTGCAAAAATCCAAACAGCTCTTAACCCCTTAAAAGCACTTAAGGGTAGACTAAAATCAAAACAATTAAATATTCTCTATACAGCTTATATTCAGTCCTTATTTGATTATTGTGATATCCTTTACGACTGTGCTCCTATTTGTGACCTTAACAGACTTGACAGTCTCCAGTTCCAAGCTGGTCTAATAGTCTCTGGTGCTCTCCCAGGCTCCAGCACTTCCAAAGTACTTAACATTTTGAACTGGTCCACCTTAACTGAGAGGAGGATCCTCCACTTTAAAACAATTATGTACAAAGCCGTGAACGATTTAACACCTATTTATATCTCAGATACATTTAGGCCATTCATAAACCCTCAAGCAAGATTGTTAAGGAAATCTCGAGATTTCACTATCCCTATTCACTATCCACATAAGTCTCCAATATACAAAATGATGAACCTATGGAATGATCCAGGATCTGTTCCCTTGGAACAAAAGCTCTTGCCAACTATTGCATCTTTTAAAAGAACACTTAAATTAAATTTGTTCCCTGGTGTTGTTTCAACAATTTGTTTAAAATTAACTCGTCAACAAGAACTTTATCTGAATAGAGCCAGGGTAGATTTAATTTTAAAAGCCCAGCTCAAAGCCCACAATTGGAGCTTAGTTGAGTCATCAAATTGTTTATGTGGTTCCCCTGAAACTTTTCCCCACTTCTTTTTCAAATGCCCTCTGAAAGAACAACAAAGAAATAAATTAATAACAGATACTTTAGGGATATATGGGGACTTATTAACTCATTTCAGAACTCAGCAAGACAAAATTCACTTTTTTCTTTTTGGGGACCCATCATTAACCCAATTAGAAATGGATAATCTATTTTCACTGGTTGCGAATTATCTCATTGAAAACACAACCAGAATCTAAATATTTTCCTGCCTATGACCTGTTTCCATTTTTCAACATACTACCCCTCCCCCAGGATATCAGCAGCCCTCCTATCTTTTGTTTCATTGCAAGGCATTCTACCATTTACAGGTGACATCCAGGTTAAAATGAATATTGTACTTTATTGTTTATTTATATAAGGGGACATCTAATGCTTACAGCGCTTTGCCCCTTGTAATTGTATCTAAATGACTTGTGCTTACAATAAATATGAAAGATGTTAAAAAAACTATATTTCTTGGTTGAGTAAGAATGTCACTGTGACCAATTCCCAGTAGTTCTTGGTCATGTCAAAATGTCATAAGAATCAATCCACGGTAATTCTCGTCAAAGTGTCAATGGATTCAATTTACAGTAATTCTGGTTGTGTCAAATGTTACAGGTATCAATTTACTTTAGTTCTTGTGTTACATGTAGGAATCATTTTACAGTTGTTCTTGGTCATGTCATATTGTCACTTGAATCAATGTGATTCATTTTTTGGTTTCGTTGTTTGATTGAAATACTTTGATACTACACAATACTTTTATTTAATTGTATTGTTGTAAAATACTCTCATGATATAAGTTGTAGTTTTGCTCTCCGGAAATGTCATCAGGAAATGGATTAATTCTAATAACCATTCAACGTAACAACAACAAGATGTATCAAAATATTGTGTCGTAAATAAGATGTAAAATATTACAATAAGACCTTGTTTCTAGATAGAATTATAATGACTAAGTCAGCTTTTTAGAATGGCATTTATGTGAAAAAAACAAGCTAATCTCTCTCCAATTGCTAAATTATAAAGCATTTATGATTTGCAATACGATATTATGAAAATAATATGCAAAATAGCACAGAAATTAAACAGTAGACACAATATATGACTCCAATGACGATCAAAAGAATGAGTTATCCAGGGGTCCGTTTTTGGAACCGTCGCAATTTACGATGTTTGTACGAGGTATAGATAAATCTCTGTGTTATGTGATGTAACAGTCAAATGACGATTAAATGATAATGATAAATTATTAACCCTAATAATAATATCTGAGTCATCGGCATCGGCATCATTGATGTCTGCATAACCCAAATTTGAATTTAAAAAAATCTATCGAAAACAAGTCCCTTTAAATCAATCAATTATTAGTTCAATCATCATTTGGCGTAAATATGTAATTGCCGTTCTTTAATTTAATCTAAATCAGAAATGTATGAGTGAAAGTAGTAATGAATCGGTTTTCCATTTTGAAACTGACAAAAAATGGTAATATCCATGTAAAGGTTCAGTCCGAAACGAAATATTTGCTATCTATTTGCTATTTGTTTTGAAAATTGATTGTGAATCCATTCAAAGTTATCTATTCTTGATGAATATTAACATACCGCGAGAAATCCAATAAATAACCCTCATCAAACCTTTTCTATAAAAAATATTCTATAAAAACAGTATGAATAGATTAGAAAAGTCTCACATTACCTCCGAAGTTGAAGTATGTCATTAAGTGATGAACGATATGATCGAAGTGAATGATATAACACGTAATCCCTATCTTGAGACGTCATTACAAGCTCCAGGTGTTTAATACATGTTCTTTTTGTTTTCCGCTTCTTCCAATTCAATCAGATCGCCAACTTATTTCTTGAGAATCAAATTATTTGAATTTACAAATGTAACAAACTTTTAATTAGATATAGATTTAATAATCACTATTGACATTTGATTAATTCATTTGGAGCATAAGAATATAAAATAACTGAATTTTGCACATTTTTGCTTTATTATTGTTTCGCATTAAAACTATTTTCATAGATTTATCTATTAAAATGTCAGCTTGATTCCTATTAACAATTGCTCACCCTTTGATCAGCAACCGTGTGTGTTTTAATACCATTGGCTTAATAACATGAATAAACAATGTATAAAGAATAACAATAAGAAGATACAACCTTGTCACTTCTTAATTTCATATATGACTTGAGATTGACAATTGTCGTGTTCCAATATATTTACCTCATAAGAGAAAACTGACGGCTCACTCCTACACTATTTCATTATGTCACACGCATTGCTATGTTAAGATTGACTGTATCTATATAGGATATTGTACTTTGAGCACGGTAGCCTGGAGACGTTGGAAATAGACCCTTGGAAACAGTAACTTGGAGACAGTAGCTTGGAAACGGCATCTTAAACACCTTGGAAACAGTAACTTGACAACTGTAGAATGAACGCAGTAGCTTGGAGACTATAGCTTGGAGATTGTAGCTTGGAGACTCTAACTTGGAGACAGTAGCTTGGACAATGTAACTTCAAACTTGTGATGCAAAATTTTGCAAAATTGATGCTATAAATTATAATTAAAATACACCAAATTGCCTTGAAATTTCTGATGAGAAATATTTTTATTATCAGTCACACCTCAATTCTGGCCATGTGTCATTTTTCTTCTGCAAATGCCTAAGGATATTTTTATAAGCTAATTGCATAATAAGAATAACAAATAACGATAAGTTTTTACATCAAAAGTAACCAAATGCCAAATCAAAGTATAATGGCCCGCTAATAAAGTTAGATGTGTAAGCGATGTGCTTTATTGCCATGACATTAGATGTAATACGTGTACTTTTTGTTTGGTCTGGAATAATAACACCTTATAATTAAATGTGATAAAATGAATAAAAAACAAAATTCAGTTATATAAGTACGAAACATGCTTATCGATCCAAGTGTTCAGAGTAGTTTAAAAATATTTTCTCAGATTGCTGAAAAACAAAAATTTTGCCTACAGCAATTTATCCCACATTTCTTTGTTTTAATAAGACTCTTTTGTCTCTGTGTATTTGGATTTTTAAAAAGTCCAATAAAAGGACATTCCTTGTCCTTGTTCATGTATTTCATAGCTGACGTTTCTATTCAACTCTATTATATTGAAAACACATCTGGATGTGACTGTAAAATTAATGAACTTAAGTTATAAAACTTGAACACGTTAAAAAACAACAACTCTCAGGAGTAGCATATCCCATTGAAAAAAACATATTTCTCAAATCACTCTTCATTTTGTATCATTTTTGGCAAATCTTATACCCATGATGTGACGCCATATCAGAAAATCTGATAGATCTATGCATTTTGAGCCCGATCTGTCAGCAGGTATTTGAGTAATCACCCGGACACAAATGAACAGAGAGCTGACTAATGGAGGGATGTCTTGTAATTCATAAAACCAAAACTTAGATGTTTCTGTGTAAAAACCGGTAAGATTAATGCACGGACGGACAGACAGATTATCGGCTTCTGTTTATCCTGACCGAACTTCATTGTTGGATAATAATTCGTTTGGATTGGGTTTAGAATGCAGTATGTGACATAGAAAATATCTGCTCTTCAAATTGAGTTTTAAATCGACCGTTCTGAGCAATTTAATTAAAAAATAACAAGGCATTAACAGGACAAAATGTTACCACCTTACGAAGGTCACTGAAGGCGTCGCAGGTCAAATCTAAACTCTAGATTGAGATGGCATTAGTTTTGTGATAATAAGGGGACTTATAAGTATTTATTTCAGGTCGTCTAGACCATTGTTGACTGATTTATAGCAAAAACATTGACTTTTGCACGATTAGCATTTTTACTAGCCTTTGCATTCGTTTGACTTCATTTCTTAAAAGAAAGCTTCGTCGTTCGTAGTTTAACTAGACTCTGCACACAGGGTATCAGTTCAAAAAAAATTCTAGAATACCTAACCTAATTTACCATGTCGTGCGCCTATTCATCTAGCAATTTCTCAAAGCAAGTACCTCAAAAACAGAATTCGAGATTTTCTGGATCAACAAACCGAATATCATTACGACATCAGATAAACACACTTATTAACAACAATATGATTACAGGTAATTCAATAAAGCAAAAGTTTATGAGTTGTATTGTATCAATACAATTGTATTTCTTTGGCAACATGTACAAAAATGCAATCAGCATACTTGACACAAAGTTCACAATACTACTATAGTCCAATCATAACATAACTTGTTTTCACAATTGCTTCAGTCTCATCTTGGTAGCTTTTCAAACAATTCTCAGTTTATTAATCAACATATTTCATTTTCTCAGGTTTTATCCTCTATAGTCTCTGGTGTGGAGGAAGTGTTTAGTTTCCTTCGTTTTGCATAATACTCGATCCTCTCCTCTAAGCTCTCTGGAAAAACAACAAGTTGAATGCAATTAGGTATGTGACATTTCTAAATAAGATCAATATCTATCATAAAGTACAATAAAACCTTGGATTGCAGTTAGTCAAGGCCATAAATACTAGTAAATAAATTATTTATTCAATTACAATTTCACCTCACATAGAATACTTTAATTAATTATGTTAAAACATGATGGAGCTGAATCTACACATAAGTGGCTATTCCTTGGGGAGAATACTATTCCATATGGAGAGGATGAGAAATCCTACAATTCATGATATTTTTCAAAATTATTGAATTGTGAATATTTGACGTATGGAACCAGTTCAGTACAGAACTAATGAAATATGAAAACAAATTGGAATTTGTGAACCCTTAGATTTTAAGCTATTACTAATAGTAGATATTTGTACTTTTTCATAAATGTGCTTCAATGTACAAACATATACATACCACATGTGTGCCTGGTTAGTAGTGGTTGGTATGTTCTAGGTTTGTTTCCAGGTAGAAGGCAGTCTGATTGGCACTTAACAGTAACAGGCTCTATAGGAAAAAATAAGATTTTCCCAGACTTAATAAATTACAATGCTCATGCATGCAGTCATTTCATAGGCAGATTTGGTTTTGGAAAATACATTTTATCAATTATATGAGTCAAAGGGAAAAGAGTAGAGAGTAGCATTCATTTGAGAGTAGAACTGAACAATTTTGTAGTTACACAAGAAAAGATAAGAAGAATTTATGTAACGTGATATTTATTGCTTACATGCTTGCATTATTTATATGAGGCTTTGGGTTTATTTAGTTTACCTAGTTCAGTGCCATCTTTTAGTGCCACTGGTACTTTAGCAAGGTCATCAAGCATATTTTTTATCATGGTGGTCCTGGAATAATGTTGAACATGAAAATAAATCTTTATATTACCAGTCTGGAAAGTTCCATGGAAAATTATTGTAGCAATGGACTTTTTAGAACATGGGACAAGAAGTTTCCGGTTAACTGAACAATTTAGTTTCTTTTTTAGAAATCATTTTATTTAGTCTAAAGAAAAACAGTTTGCATTTTATTATATGCATTTACACTATCATACACAAATGCTTATATCATATAAATATACTAATTCACATGTTCATAAAATGCATCAAAATGATATTCTTCAAGATTATTAGTTATCATATAATTACTTGATTGCATGGGTTGCCCAGAGATTCTGAAGATGTTTTAAGGTGTCACCATGTGATATGTGATCATAGTGCCACGTGACATCTTCATACTGACATTCATACAAGTTCAATGGAAGCTCTGGAAATAAACATTAAATTTTAAGTTACTGATTAAACCTTTGATTTATCTTTTTGGATATAAGGCTCCAACATACTACATTATGTAAAAGTATAACAATTATTTCTAAACTTCAAGAATATTTTAGAAGGTATTGGAATGCTATATTTTGATCTTCCGAGTATACTGTATAATTATCCTTTGCATCTTTGACTTAACTGTAGTTGAGATTGGTGAATTTGAAATATGACTACTAACTACAACACATTATTCTCTTTCATTCTATGTTACTTACCAAGAGCCATAGTGTATTGAGGTTTACGTGGGTTGTTCTCTACATCTAATAACTCATCTACCACCTGAAAACACACACATCTTAATTATACACCTGAGTGTTTGAAAATTGGATGCAAATACACAGTGGTGTGACCGTTATGCTGTTTGGAGCTCCCATATAAGTGTTCTATGTCGAGATACATTTTACATTTTGCTCTCTGCCTCCAGATCAGCTTCAAACGTGGAAATGATTCCATTAATTGCCCATGTATATCATGAAAGGCCAAAAAAGGGCCTAGTCATATCACTGCCCATGTAACAATGAACAAATATATAACATATTACGAATGATATGGAAATTGGTCACTGTACAGGGTATTGTTACCAAACTAATAATGGGATGGATTGTTAATGTTTGAGCTCCTGTCGATCAAGACTGGAAGACCCAAATAAATGATCTTGATTTTGCGAAATTATACATTTTCATCCTGTCATGTGAAGGTTAACTGTATCTTCATTGTATTATGAAGTGCTATACATATTCAAATACTCCCTAGTCTCTTACCTCTGCTTTCTCTTTACCTTGACCTATGAGGGCCAGCACTGCTACAATGCAACGGATCTGGTGCCACAGGAAAGCCTGGCCAACGACTGTTAATGTACACATCCGATAGCCATCCAATCTGTGGTGAACAAACCATCATCAAATTAACTTCTAGCCTCCAGTCTAAACTGGCTGTTGTGCACATTTATACAAATGTGTTCGTCAATATATTTTTAACGAACATTAATTTAGAAATAGTTTTACCTGGTGGGGCTGGGATCCTCCTCTTCTATGTTAACGCTCATGATACGGCGCATGAAAGTAACAACTCCATTTCCGACATCCATCTTGCAGAGGTTTCTGAAATCATGGGTACCCACCAGTTTTTGACCAGCCACCCGCATTATCTAAAACAGAGTAGGACCAATTATGTTTGTCCACATAATATGATAATATAAAAGTGCACACCATTCTTGACCCACCATGTATTCTATATTCATGTCAAAAACCTGACCTTTGTATTTGCTTCAAATTTTGATTTTGTTTTGATGACATAAGGTTCAATGAAATACGTCTCACTTGAAGATATATGTGTATGTATTATATCCCATGACTATATTTCCCACAGGATATAAGCCATATCCAAAACCTTCCATAATGTAACCCTGTTAAACTGTACCTCGATATCCATGTCCCCTCTTGGAAAGAAATATTTGTATGTCCTCTCTTTACAGTCAAATCTGAAATATGCAACAGAAAAGTATAGATGTGCAGGTAAATCATCCATCTTTTCTTGGGATATCATTTTGTACAGGGTGAGCCAAATAAGGGAAACTCAGTCATTCAGTATCCAGCACTTGGAGTATGTTTTGTAAATGGCCATAAAATCGTGACATTTAGAGATAGACCACTGAAACTCAGTAGAGGGAAAGGACATTGAACAAGGTCTAATTGTGCCAAACATAATTTAAACCCATGCTGAATGACTGAGTTATCAACAAACATTTGGTTGGGTTACCTTTTTTGGCTCACCCTGTAATCATTGAAATATAATCTGTTGCTTAATATAACACATGTCAATAATCTGCAAAAGGCTAAGAAGCCCATTTCAAGCAGATAATCTAAAGTCATTTTCAAACAGTTTTTTTTCAATTTAACTTAAACTAAAGGTCTCCATTGCATACCTTGAACTAGGTTCACACTGCATACCAGCACTGAAGGTATAAGTTTATATTTCATACCTGCACTGAAGGTATGAGTTTATATTTCATACCTGCACTCAAGGTATAAGTTTATATTTCATACCTTGCACTGAAGTCTGGTTCCACAGGACTCCAGGCTAAAACTCTAATTTCTGGTGGAAGTACCTTGTTCAGGATTTTCATATATTGGATCTCTTCCTTCCCGTTGCCTACAACACAAATAACAATATAACTGAATGGGTTAAAGTACTATAACTTATTATATATGCCAAAAAAATTCAATCCAAACTTCTAAATTTCATAGCAGACTTTTTAAACAAGGCTTCTTCTCAGAAAATAGAGAGATTCTGCAACTCACTAATAGCATGTTTATTATTTCCGTAAAACATATAACTTACAGTGTATGAAGCATTTGACTATGTTATCATTTATTACGCAGCTCTAGCTCTATACATGTATGTCCATAAGTAAGTATGACGCCCTTACTTAAAGACAACAATTTATAAGATTATCACATGTATGGAAATATAGAGCTGTGCAATAAAAGGTGACGTAATCAAACGCCTCATAAGTTATAAAGGAATATAATAACCAGAACAACGGCAACGCCAAAGCGTAGCAAATCCCATCGAACAGAAATGGCTGGCATTTTTACAAAAGAAATATATAACAAATATCATAAAACAACACACCAGAAAGGCCACCATTTTCAAAATGGTTGCTCACTAGCCAAGTTGTCATCAGAAGAAATAATATGCTTTTAAGTAGCCACCTATAAAATTTTTGAAAAATCGCACACATGTACTTGTAAAGACAATGTGCCATGCTTAGAGTATTCACATATCAAAATGAACAAAATCGCTCCACTACTTTTCAAGTTATAGTAAAGAATGTAAAAATGACAGCCATTTTTTAAAATGGCCGCCTACGATCCGAAGTGTCATGAGACAGTGTGCAAGGCTCATGAGTATTGACATATTAAATATGAACAAAATCGCTTCACTACTTTTCAAGTTAAAGTAAAAAACGTAAAAATGGTGGCCATTTTTCAAAATGGCCGCCTACTACCCAAAGTGTCATTAGACAGTGTGCCATGCTTATAGTATTCACATATAAAATATGAAACATACCAAATATGAACAAAATCGCTGAACTACTTTTCAAGTTATAGTAAAATACGTTAAAATGGGGCCATTTTTCAAAATGGCCACCTTCTACCGAAAGTGTCATTAGACAGTGTGCCACGCTTATAGTATTCACATACCAAATATAAACAAAATCGCTCTACTACTTTTCGAGTTATAGTAAAATACGTTAAAATGGCGGCCATTTTTCAAAATTTTTATCAAAATGGCCACCTTCAACCAAAAGTGTCATAGGACAGTGTGCCATGCTTATAGTATTCACATACCAAATATGAACAAAATCACTCCACTACTTTTTGAGTTATAGTAAAATACGTTAAAATGGCGGCCATTTTTCAAAATGGCCGCCTTCTACCAAAAGTGTCTTTAGACAGTGTGCAATGTTTATAGTATTCACATACCAAATATGAACAAAATCGCTCCACTACTTTTCGAGTTACAGCAAAAATCGTAAAATAACAAGTAAAGGCCGCTATTTTTCAAGATGGCTGCCATGTGCTTTTTTAATATCTAAATTTGTAGCTTTATTAATGTCCTTTATAATTTTTTTACATTTAAAACATATTGCTATTACAGTTTTACATATTGCACCTAAATTACTGTAAAATCGGCACTAAAATGGCCGCCATTTTGAAATGAGCGGCCATTTTGAAAATCGGCTTTTGAGCAGAACTTCTATTCCCATAGGGTATATGTGTACAAAATATGAACAAAATCGGGCCAACGGTATTTGAGTTATTGCCCGGACGGACGGATGGACAGACGTACGGACGTACGGACGGACTGTGTACGGACGGACGGACGGAGGCGTTCCCTATATCCCTCCGAACTTCGTTCGATGGGATAATAAACATGCTATAAGTGAGTTGCAAAATCTCTAATACCAAGGGTGCATGCACTGATTTCCAAATGATTTCTAAATGGCAATTAACTGAATGATATGAACGATTTTTGGCTCTTGCATTATGGAAAAGAAAGTGTATTGATACTGTAGGCCATCGTCAGTTCCCATGCTCAATCTCTATGTTCTATCCTGTGGGTTCATATGACAAACTTGAGACCCAAGAAATATGTGGCGTCTCATTTGTAGAAATGCTTCACGGAGTGCGCGGGATAGCCCGTGTGCCAATCAAAGTTGAGGAAATTATTCAAATTAGGCCCCTGAATCAATATTCAGAAAATAAAAATGGAGAAATTGTTTGAAAAGATTTGCGGTAAATTTCATCTGATCATGAATTCTTTAAAACCCGATCAAAAAGAAGCGATAGAGGCAATAACAATAGGCAGGGATGTATTCGTGTCACAGAAAACTGGGCTGTGGTGACAAAGGCCCTTCCTATGGATAATGATATTCAAAACAGCGCATCAGCTCGGGTTTGTTTATTTAGTGTATAACCAATAATTTGTTGTGAATCAAGGTGAGGAGAGGTCCGAAGCTTGATGAAGCAAGATGACTGTAGGCAACAAGGGCAAAATTCAGAGGAATTAGAGAACATAATTGTAATGTGCTAAAGGTCATAGAGAGCCTGAATTCTAAATGGAAATATGTATAGGATATTATGACATGCATCTTTTCTGTAAATTAAAGAAACACCCTACTGACCTTTTTTGTTGCTAACATTGTGACCCTCTGGCACTATAACACCTGGACCTTCTGATAGATTACTCCTCAGATCAATAGATATAACCTGGAAAATTGTCAAATGTTTATTTTGACAACCAAATTTTTGATCCATAATCAATTCAAACAATTTTTGTTCCATGGGGAAGCCTTGTTATAATGCAATAGGCAATATGTAACTGTAGGCAGCTTTGTTTTAAATATGTTCGATTTATCTAGATGTGCCAGCCTTAAATTGTGCTTTTCTTATTTAATGTCTTGTTTAAATGTGTTAGCATCAGTGGTAGCCTCATCAATCTGTGCAGAACTCTTGTTTAACAGAGCTGGCATTGTTCAAATGTTCTGCCATAATAATTTACCTGACTAAATGCACTGACTCCTTTATCTGTCCTTCCACACCTGTGATAATTAGATGTTTCCCTAAAATTAGAAAAATACAGTACTGTACTTTTCGTACATATATTGTACTTTATATCAAATTCCATGGTGTTTGAATGCTCAACTTCATTTAATGAAACTATTATCACATGACAGGAATCAGAAAACTTAAGTTAAAACAAGTGAGTGATAGCTATAGATAGTACTAAGATAGTACTTAATTGTTCCTCGTCTCCTTCTAGAGTATATTGGTCATTCACAATAAAGAAACATGCATACATAACGTATATATATACTGTATAAGTATACAGATGTGATAATCATATGTACAAAAATACAATGTGAGCTAAAAAGTCCCAAATACTGTAATTATCTTTATTAATCAAGTAATTATTATTATGAATCATATGAGTACAACGCAGGGTACAACCTCCACATACCTGTTTTCGATTAACCTTGTTTTGTTTAAAGCATCAAACAATGCTGATTCTATGGTCTTTGGAATTTCATCCTGCACTGCAAAACCATGATAGTCCCACCCTACATACAATATCTTCAGGAGGACATGCCTCTTGCTACATCTGAAATGTTTGCAAAGTAATCACGGGGTACCATCGAATAATTTTGGCAACGTACCGGAGAACGACATTTTACTAAGAAATGGCAATAATTTAGCACAATATATTTTTTAACTAGAGTTCTATTTTGATTTTGACAAAAGTAAGTATTCCATGCAATAACTATTTCATTTATGAGTTTGTAGGAATTCTGTTGGAACCCAGTTCTGATCAAGTACGAAGTTATTGAAATCGGCGCAGACGGACTTTACTCCGAAAGATGGTTTTTCGATTATAACTTTTCACAACATTTAAGTATAGACTTTTGAAAAAAGTACAGAATAGTCCTTATACTTTTGAATAATTCTGTTATTTCTGATTCACACGACTCTGATTTGTTTAATTAAAAAAAAAGTTTTAAAAAAATTACTTAGGAACGTAACCGGAGCTGGGAACGTAACCGGAGCAGATCAGTTGAAATTGAATTATTTAATCAAAAAAAAAGTGATTTAAAGCACATACTGTACTAATTTAAAAACATACGGGATTGTTCGAATGCGTATTTATTAATATATATGCTTTAAATCATATATTTTATTTTTTTAAATTATATAATTCAACTGATCTGCTCCGGTTACGTTCCCAGCTCCGGTTACGTTCCTAAGTAATATTTTTAAAACTTTTTTTTTAATTAAACAAATCAGAGTCGTGTGAATCAGAAATAACAGAATTATTCAATAGTTTAAGGACTATTCTGTACTTTTTTCAAAAGTCTATACTTAAATGTTGTAAAAAGTTATAATCGAAAAACCATCTTTCGGAGTAAAGTCCGACTGCTCCGATTTCAATAACTTCGTACTTGATCAGAACTGGGTTCCAACAGAATTCCTACAAACTCATGAATGAAATAGCCATTGCATGGAATACTTACTTTTGTCAAAATCAAAGTAGAACTCTAGTTAAAAAATATTTTGTGCTAAATTATTGCCATTTCTTAGTAAAATGTCGTTCTCCGGTACGTTGCCAAAATTATTCGATGGTACCCCGTGGTAATGTCAATAAAAAGGGCAATAAATAAATGTGCTATTCATTTTAATATTAGTACATTGCAACAAAAAAACAGAAAGCATTGTATAAAAAGCAAATAGAACTTTTAAACTTGAGTGTGTATAAAATGTATAATATTACAACACATTGTTCACTTTGATATGCAAAAAGATTGAATGATTTTAAAATGATCTACATGTACATGCACATGTGTTCACAGTATGTGTAATTGTGTACATGTAATAGATTACATGCGAGTAGAAATAATCTTGATTTACGTCATTAATATTCAAAATTTAGTCAAAGCGATGTCATATTTGAAATCTGCATGAAAATGTACATCTAGAAATATGGTTTCGAAAATTGTCCATCAACTTTGAAAATTTAATTTTTTTTGAAAATGTGACTTCTTGTTCGGGTTGATTCCTCATAGACCCCATGTTAGAAAATCACAAAAAGTGAATTATCTTTTCTTGTATTGGACAGATAACATTTTCTTTTACTGGACATATTTTAATTTGCATAACTATTAGATACATAAGGGTTATATGAAAATTGAACCACGCAAATAGATGTAATTTAAGTTAAAGGGAACTTTCTACTATACCCGCCATGCTATCTGACCCGAACGAGCCACCTGATGGTGAATCTGGTAACTACCTACTCGCATCTCCGTTATTGTATAATTTGAAATCATGTAGAAATATATAGTACTATACTTTGTAAAGTCAAACTCTCTTTGTTTCCTCTTTGATGGTGTTGTACGTGTTTTGTCCTCATGCTGCTTCTTAATGATATTTTTCAGCTGTGCAACATGTGCTTCTAGCTGTGTCACGCGACACTGGAGTTCCTGAAAATGACACCATAGAATTTTAGATCCACAGACACTTTAAATACAATTTAACCAGAACAGTAATTCATTTTTGACTGTATGGTACAACAAGTATGCTTTATATTAATTTGCATAGCTGTCAATTCTGGCCTTTTTCATGACTAGAAAATAAATAATGCACGTGATATAAATAACCTACATTATCCTATGCCAAGTAGAGTTTTAGGGAGATAAGTTTGTAAGATATATCCCGTATCCTGATTTTGAGGTTTCCATATCCAGAACCTCCATATCTCCCGCCATATCTCCCACTTAGGTGCATATCTTCCCGCTTCCGGTGCATATCTTCCCGCTTCCGATAATGCAATTAAATGACTTTGCAAATAAATGATTTACACCTTGTGCTATTGAAACGGCCATATGCCCCTGAAAACTCTACTTGGTATAGGATACGGTCGGTTTGGATATTGGGTTCATCCCTCGTGAGATATGCACATCTACCTTCGGTCCCTATGGTCCCTCAGGTAGATATGCATATCTCCCTCTGGATAAACCCCATATCCGAAACCTCCCAGTACATAACCCTTATATATTTCTATAACTAAATTAATACATGCTTTCAAAACTGAAAATTGATCATGTGCACGTACATTGAAAATTGGTCAATTATAAGTATTGATGTCACTACAGAAACCTTAGATTATTAAGGCCGTACCATACATGTATTACCCCGTAAATGTGGGCCAGATTTGGTTATTTTCTTTTTTGAGACATTCTAGATCGCAAATATTTGTGTTATTTGAGACATTCTAGATCGCTAATAATTGTGATCTAGAATGTCTCAAATAAGAAAAACGCAAATCTGGCCTACATTTATGGGGGTATACCATATCAACACCCTATGCTAAATTGATGAGGTTTTTGAGAAAGACCGAACCCTTCAACCATCAATCTCCAAGCAGAGGTGGATCAAGGGGGGGTGGGCAATGGGATCTGCGCCACCCCCCATCCCTTTGTTTTTTGTAGTGCTTCAAAAAGCGAAACATTTTGGGCATAATTTGCCAAGTTATCAAAACACTGGCCTGAAATTCTCAAAAACTTGGGCCCAATTTTTGGTATATGGGCCCAAAAGATTTTTCTGCGCATGCCGACTAGAAATTCCCCCCCCCCCCGTGTTAGTTTCTTGATCCACCAGTGTCTAAGCACTGACTTCGATTTTTGGAACATTGACTGGTGTACAAATGGTTTGTCAGAACCATGGGCTCTCAACTAGAATTGATTAAATTCTAATTGAATAAATTCTAATTCAAAGCCAATGTCAGAACACGACTGATTTTAGAACCGGGTTTCAAACCTCATATCAAAGATTTGAAGAAATCTAGTAATGATATGAATTGTGGTCATACACTAAGAAGAATATAAAAATAATATAAATAGTAAATAAGTACCTCTTTGGACAATGAATCCCGCTCTGGTTTCGGCTTAGGACAAGTATTATTCTTCTCCATGCTGACCGAACAACACTATTTTTCTACACATCCGAATTAAATATATTTCTCTTTCATTGTTCATTAAATTTAATTTTATACACAAGATTCTGTGGAATGTGATTCAATATTTTAGGAAAGTGGAACTTTGACGCCTGAATAGCGTGATTATGCGGAAAAACAGACTAAAGTGAAAATGAGAAACTTTAAATTAGTGCGCTGTACCGGAAGTACAATAAAATTGGAAAAAAGATCAACAGCACAAAACCAATGCAATAAGGTATATAACAATACTTTCACGATCTATTTATTTGTTTAGATAATTCATAATTAAGTAGAAGTCTCGTTTAAATCGCCAAGTGTCGTTTTTTGCTCATCGGGATGCTTTATTTGAATTCAACAAAATCAACACGTTGAAATGACTCAATTATCGCCCACAGGAGAAAATCCATAAACCATCATTGAAGTAAAACTCTATGTCTATGTCTATGTCAGTAATCTGCAAAAGGCTAATAAGCCCATATAAAGCAGATATATAATTTAACAGTGATAGAATAGAATATAATTTAAAACCTTAACATTTAAAAATAGATCTATGGTTTACAACTCATTTTACCTAACTCAAATACAAAATCCCTTGCTATAATGTAAAAACAGTATTATCTCTGATTGCATGAGGGATATAGTAGAAACTGATTTTTTTTATTACAATCTCTTTAGATTGTATTTTATATTATTTAAATTGTATTCTGTTCAAATTATATCACTGTTGAATGTGTGACTGCTTTATATGGGCTTATTAGCCTTTTGCAGATTATTGACATACTGTAAACATAGACAGACTAGAGGATGGGGCGTTCATCAAAAGATAAGCGAGACATCTACTACAGGCTTGCTAAGGAAGAAGGTTGGAGAGCCCGTAGTGCCTACAAACTGCTACAGATCAATGAAGAGTTCAACATATTTGAAGGCGTCAACAAAGTAGTAGATCTGTGTGCTGCACCAGGTAGTTGGAGTCAAGTCTTAGCAAGGAAACTAAAGTGAGTACAATTAATTGGGAAACAAACACTGTAAAGAACAATGTACATGTACCTTGCCCAGATTTCATGCGAGATTTCTTGGCCCTCATATCACTCTGAATGGACCAATCAAATTGAAGTCCATAATATTTCGGGCCAACTGAGACTAGTAGATGATTGTGATCCTCTCCCCCCATTTAAAAAATAATTTCATATTCTTGTAACTCATTCATAAAGATTGTCCATTTAATCCACCCAGGGAACAAACGTTCTTAAATATTTAATACATATCAATTCTACAATTTATTACATATCAATTATACTCGTACATGTATTTCACTTTAGAGCATAAATCAAATTTGCATATTTTTACATTGATCATTGACTTATTGAACTCCAGATGAATGAATTACATGTACTGGTATTGTTGTTTACAGGGCAGATAAAAGCAAAGTTCAGTCAAAGGAAGATCTGTCTGTTCAAAACAAAGAAAGCCTTTCAGTTAACACCACTGCATCAGCATATAATGATCCTCCTCGTGGACAAAACAACTCTAACCCAGAAACAGTCATAGAAAATCCTGAGGGACACAAAGAAAAATTAGTTTCAAAAATACAGCAATCAAATACAAATATGGAAATAACTGATGGAGCTAGTAAAGAAGCAGGCAAATGTCCTTCTGTCAGTGAAGATAGCAAGATTGTTGCAGTGGATCTCCAGGCAATGGCACCCATACCTGGTGTGATTCAGATACAAGGGGACATTACAAAGGTATTGTCCATATTGTTTTAAATCTATTGATGTAGTTCTACATTTCAGAAAGTATATGTACAGTTATTGAATTTAAAAATAGGAGATCTATATTAGGTACATATTATATTTAAAGGTAGTTTTGGGTTTAGCAAGTAATCTTAACAAAATTGCTTAAATTTTAGAATATTTTTGGCTCATATCATTCCTTGTCATGTCTATTTTCTAAAAATCCTCATAGTGTATATTTTATTTGAGGAAAACTAAACAATTTTACGATGATGTATCATTTTTCTTTAATGTGGTTTTATTATTTGGGAGAATTAAAACATTTCCCCCATTTTGCACTTTGAATCTTAAATAACTTCACCTATTTGTTACAAATAATGGATCTTTTGGGAGCAATTTTATTTGAGATCATAAGAAATACATTGTGAGGTCACTAGGCTAGTACATGTTGTTTGCAATTTTGTCACTCCCTGTAAATCAAATATACATATTAGATCATATTCCCCAATTTACAGATTTTTACCTCAATATTTTTTTTCAGTTATCTACAGCACACAAGATTATTGGGCATTTTGAGGGTGACAAAGCAGACCTTGTGGTGTGTGATGGAGCACCAGATGGTATGTAGTTGTATTGACACATGTCAAGCAAATAAAATATGACTATGCAATGCGTGTATCCTTAGGGCTGCAATTGAACAAGAAATCTAAATACATGTACATGTAGTAAAATAAAGTTCCAACTGCTCATATACAGGGTGGTCAAAAAAAAATGATGCTAAGGCTCCCATTTTGTCAAATTTGAAGGAACCTTGCTGAGATTTTCAGCATGTCTAATGCAATTATGAATTCATTTCTAAAATTTCAAAGGCTGTGACCTCCAGGCAATGACACAATGATGTCCATAACAACTTAATGACAGATGTGTTGACAGACACTTCAATTTTACTCTATTTTGATGAAAAGTAGTATTATTTGATGTGGTGTTTTAATGTTTGAGCAATGTCAGTTCTACAACATTTATATGTCAGTTTGAAATCTCTTTTGAATACTGAAAAAATGGTTAGATTTATTGCATGATATTACAATAATACTTCTTAAGAGGAGGGAAACCCCCAGAGCTTAGAGATGACAGACATGTTACATCTCTTGCTCACCACCTTCGTGTTTGAATTTTCACCAGCTAGTTTCCGATTACAACTCACCATTGAATGACGTCATTTGCCTTTCGATTTGACCAATCAGCAACAATGTCTTCTCAATGCACATTTACACTCTAGACTTTGTCTCCTTAGAACCCCCCTTTGAGATCCCCCCCCCCTCTTAAGTTACTTTAGAAGATTTCACAAATGGAAAGTATGCCAAAGTTAAAAGCTTTATAATTCTATAAGTTTGGTCTCCTCAAAAACCATTTTTGGTCAACATTTTTATTCTGATAAGGAACTTAAAGGTAGCCAGATTGAAACTAAATGAAATTGGACAAAATTAATTTTGCAATGTTTACGAAGGCAGGTTAGACAACAATAATTGATTGAATCAGATAACTATATTCCATGGGTAAGGATCTAGAGAGCTGGATAAAAAATAATATGCAGATTTGAAAAAGATTGGTTAGAATACGTAAAAATTGGAGATCTCGTGTCACTGGTCAGTATCAAGTGAAGGTAACGGCCATAATGTTCGTATCTAAGATGGCGGATGGTTAGTGTCAATTTCGATATTTTTTATTTTCGTCGAATTAAACCACTTTATACTTGACGTTATACTTTGATATTTGAACTTAATCAACTCATATGACATGGAAACTCTGGAGTATGATCATTTGTTCATATACCATGCATAGGCACCACAGTTGAACCATATCTTCCCATGTCTTCCCATGTCACATAAGCTTGATTTGCCAAAAGTAGTTTAATTCAATGAAAACTAAAAATATAAAAATTGACAATTACAGTCCGCCATCTCAGATGCGAAGGTTACCATTTTTTGGATGATCAAAAACTTTTTCTCAATAAAAAAACATCAAAAAAATAGTGAAATGTGAATAAACAATAAAATACAAACATGAAAAACAAAAATTTTCAGAATTCCAATGATCAACTTTCACACCCTATTCCTAATTACTCAACATAAAAACACTTAAAATTATTTATTTCCAAAGAGAGATTGACGGTCGGTAAAGTTTAAAAACGTTATTAAATCAATTCAATATTACATTGTAGTATTAGTATGATATATGTTGAATAGTGTGAGGTATGTACATGTAATATATGGTGAGTGTAGTGTTACAGTGGAGTGTGATGTAAATTGTGATTTGCCATATGATTTCCCCCGAGACATTGATAATTAGAGATATGGAATATTTCCAGATAGAAAAGAGAGATACATGTAATACTAACTTTTCCATCCCAGGATTGGTCTTTGGTAGTCATTGTTCATTGTTCATCATACATCAATTCATCAATGCTTGCAAATCCAAGAAGGTGATGGCTAGGCTACCTATATCTTTTAAGTTATTTGTAAAATATCACTCACTAAAAGTTATTCCAAGTGACCCTTTTACACGTTGGCATAAAGTTTTCACTATATTTCTTGACAAAATTCCCCTTTTATGTGTACTAGTATATCATGGAAATGGCTGTATCATCACATATTTTTATTGAACAAATATTACCAAAAAGCTACCAAATGAAACTATTTTCAGAGTACTCTACATGCACATTCATATCCGGCCCTGTAATCAACATCTGAATATGATCACAGGAAAAAATAGTACAATTTGGGTGATATTTATTCAATTTATACAAATGCATTTATACATATTTTATGTATATTAGGTGAATTTTAAAGTGAAAATCAATATTTTTCCACAACAATTTGGAAATCTAGGTAATTAACATCAGACTATATATAAAGTTTGTGATTTCTTTATTTTAGTGACTGGTCTACATGATATTGATGAGTACATACAAGCACAGTTATTGCTGGCAGTAAGTATACAATTTAATGTCGTAGAGTTTCCACTGTCAGTAGTCTCCAAAGCATTAAAGCAAGTGAATGTATGTTCTGCATACATAACAGACAAGAGGGCACCATTACCTCTTGGAATTTTAAGAATATGTTTATACCCACCTGAAAACCCATTTGCACCCATTTGAAAATGAGAACACTATGTATTAATGGTCTAAATGGTAGATGGTCTGGTCTGAATTGAGAAAAGTCCAATTATCCTGAGCACAACACTACTAATAACTCTTTTTTAATATCTGGCATCAGATAGGTGTATTCAAATCCTTAATTAAGCCCGTGCCTATAGCGTCATAACTGCTTCATTATTCGTTTGTAATAAATTCCCTTATACGAATATTAATGTAACATTTACAAATAAAATGCCTAAGTTACAAATACATATATGATGTATCAAATAGACAAATAGGTCACGTGACACGAGAGTTTTTGTTACCTTGTTACAAAAATAAATTCGACAATTAAAAGATGAAATGCCAAGGCAAGTACTTATTCATTGATAAATTTGACATTCAGTTCGTAGATATTAAACTAATATATTTGCAGAAACAACGATAATGGTAAAACATGAACTTAAATTTATTTGAATACGGATATACAATGTGTCACTTACAAATGCGTTTGAGGACTTTTGAATGTATTTCTGTATAAAACACCTACATATACGTTTTAACGAAACAAATTAGATTAACAGACAGAAAATACAAACAATGAATTAAAATACTCAAGTTACAAACATAAATGTACTTTTAACAAATTCAAAAGTTCAATATACGAATACATATAGTAAAATACGAATAATGAAGCAGAAAACATTCCATACATGCCTGGTCTGCATAAATGCAGTAGTGTTGCAACTCATCTTTATCTGGAGAAATTATTATTTTTTCATTTATTTTTCACTTGATCTGGGTGTGTCGTTCTCAGTTTGTTTACTTAGTCATGTAGATCAGATTAATTAGCAATGGGAATAAAATGCTAGAGCCTCCTATTTTATAATTAACCTATTGGGAGGATGGCAGGAAAAATATTCAGCTATACATATCAACCACAGATGGGCTTTCCCATGAAAAAATAAAAATCACTCATTCTTGCCTGTGCTCCACTTTTTCTCTCTAAAATTTGAATTAGCAGCCTAATTTTGTACATTCTATATATTTCTGAGTATCTACTACATGCTATTTTACATGCTCTTTCTCTTTCTATTTTGCATTTGAAAACACATCCACTGTGGCCCTTCTCTATAGGTATCCTCAAGAGTGTTTCTCCAATTGCAATTTGTCAGGTGAATCATGATACACTTGTGGTTGACGTGTTTTGGTTTTATGTCCTCATACAGGAAATGTTCTATCAAAATATCAAGGACCTTTTTCTATAGATTGAGTTTTTATGAGCTTACTTTTGTAAACATCAGTTTGTTAACAATTTTAATTGTCTAATTATATCATGACTCGTCCACTCCCATACAATTCCATAACATGCATTTATAGATGTCTCTGTTTCTTCAGGCACTGAATATCACAACACATGTTCTGAAAAAGGGAGGAACCTTTGTAGCAAAGGTACACTGCATTATAGTTAACAAAACATTTAGTTTTAATTGAAAAATAATGTTTTAATGAAAAAGATGTATGTAACTCATACATATATGGTTAATAAACAGGACATTTCAAAGCATAAGTCTTAAATGTTTAAATCACTTTATTTCATTCTTATGTCATATGTACAGGGTGGTCTAAAATATGGGACACTCATATTTCAAAATTAGATATTGATTCTATTGATGAAACTATATACCAGTGGATATGGAATTTAAATTATCTTTAATTCAGTTTATCATAAGTTCAAATTTATTATAATATTTGTCTACCAAAATCCATAATACTAATATAATACAAATGATGTCATTTTCATTTCAAAACAGTTTTCCCAAAAACTTGCAAATTTTTGTAAGTTTTATTGATATAAGCAGATGCTTAATATGTCCATCATTTTGATCAATTATAGCTCTCAATTTTGGCCTAAACTAAATAGATTTATAGGGGTCATAGTATACCAATTGTCTTAGTTCTCCCTATACGTTGTAGTCACAGACATTAGCATCGGGTGGTCTGGGGCGCCAGTGATTAGGGGGATTCCTGATATAACATTTCTAACAGGATTGTGCTCCAAGCCAGAGATTCCAAAAGACAGTCAACTATTTCAAGGAGAGTGTGCCTAGCTTGGAATTCCCTGTCTCAACATCAATGATGCTATTGACCAGTTTAGGCCGAAATTGAGGGCTATAGTTGATCAAAATGGTAGACATATTGAACATCTGCTTAAACTTGACTAAAAACTTGGTTTTTGCAAGTTTTGGAAAACCTATTTTGAAATGAAAATCAGGTCACTTGTATTATATACGCTGGTTGACAGACAGTATAATAAATTTGAACTTATATATACCAAATTAAACTGGTATATAATTTGACAGGTTTTCATCATTAAAATCAATATTTATTTTTGAAATACAAGTGTGCCATTTTTGACCACCCTGTATTTACATGATAATTATCACCAGATATTTATAAATCATTTCCATTTCTGTAGATATTTCGAGGAAAGGATGTCACATTGCTTTATTCTCAACTGAAGATATTCTTCCCTCTTGTAACATGTGCAAAGCCCAGAAGCAGCAGGAACTCAAGTATAGGTGCGTAAAAAAAAAATATAAAAAAAGTATAGGTGCGTTATCTGCAAACGCTTAAGGTGGAAGATCGTTGAATATATGAACTTTATGATTATTTGAACTTAGGGTAATGTATTGATGAATGCTCACATTCTCCCAAACATATTCAATAATTCAAAGTTTGAGTGGAATAGACAACACCTTCCTCCATCCGTCCTTCCATCTGCCTGTCCATCTGTCTATTGATCTAGGTGATAACTGTGATACCTTATGTACATGTACATGTAGTATATATTTTATACTTCAGTTCATACACTGAAGGAAAGCAAATCACCATGCCTGGATTGAATTTTTTCCAAAGTTATGCGATTCTTGAAAATCAATTTTGTATTTCAGAGGCTTTTGTTGTGTGCCAGAATTACTCTCCCCCTGAGGGCTATGTACCCAACATGTCCAATCCACTCCTTGACCACCATTATGGTAAGTAAAATAAACACATATTTCTCTGCTTATCTTTTTTTCTATATCTTAACAGCAAACCCTTGATCAGACTTTATTCAAGTTTTGGGTATACCCCCAATCCACACTCTAATATCATGGTATCATGGATACCTTACAGTACCATTTCCAAAACAGTACCATACGGCAATGTCGCAGATTGGCTGTGTATCAAAATTCTTTTCCTCAAAATTCTAGATGGTCACCATCATTTCAGAAAAATACAGTTATCGGACAAAAGTAATTTTTTTCATGAACAAAATCTAGTTGTCAAATTCTTGTCCTTAATATGGTGGTCAAAATGTTGGTGAGATTTTCTTCTCAATGTAAAGTGTATCTGTCTTATGAACAATGAAGAGGGGTAAAGTAGAATAAATTGTTCATTTCCAGATGTTGACTTTAACCAGTTAGAAGGAGTGAATAGAGTTATTGTGCCATTTCTGGCATGTGGAGACCTCAGTGCATATGACTCTGATATGACATACCCCCTTAAGGTAGGTGAATGTGACTAACGCCTCAGTCACACATAATCTACGGCAACTGTACGGTGGCTGTAGCTTCCCAAAATCGAGAGAAAAATGCAGCATAAAATATAGGAATAAGCAGTACGATGTAGATTTTCTATATTGATTTATTGAGACTACGACTGCTGTAGGCCTGTTGTAGAGCAAATGTGACTGAGGCTTATTAATAAATCATCACCGAGATATTCTAGGATATCATGTAAAGTGGTAAAAAATTTTTTTGCAAATTTTTACTAAATCATTAAACCAACTGTGTGATATGATGGCTAACTGATTTTTGCTAGTTCACAAAAAGAAGCTGACAGTAACAGTGGCTGACCAGTCATTTGGAAAGTTTGATTTGAATCTTTTGCCTCCTCTGAACTCAGGACTTCAGACATCATCCACTACATTCAATCCTTCTTCCAGCAATATGGTATGAATTCTGGAAGCCTGTGTTCAGAGGATGATATAAAGCATCAATATCCTTTATTTTATTGTAAGGATATCGATCAAGAATTACATGAAGATATGCAGATTGAGATATTTTATTTTTTGTAAAACACCAAAACCTGAAGATATGAAAGTTGGAAATTGCGATCACCCTTGAATATATAAATATTCATTAGTGGAAATGATTGATTCCTTTAAAATAACCTGGAGTAGGGAAAACAGGTACAAATGTTAAGGGATATCATTTTGAAAATTAAAATATTGTGGATTTATTTTTGAAAAAAAAATATGAAAGACCAAGGCAGAAATTAAAAGTGAGAAAATAAAGATTGGAAAGATTTGTAAAGATATGATTGTGGAGAACTAAAATGAACATCTCATGTTTTATATAATGCCATATACATAATATGAGATTTACTGTATTGTACAGTTTGTACTGCTGACAGAGTATTAAAATAATCCATTCATTCAAAGTAATTCCTATATTTCAGCTAACTAGTGATGCAGATTATGTATACCACCCTCCAACCCAGGGCCCAATCAACCCACCTTATGAGGAAGCTTGTTACTTGAGAAAGAATGATCTCTTAAATAAACCAATTTCTCAAACTAAGGAGAATTCCAGTGCAGACACTGACAAAATGACTCTCAGTCCAAGTAACGAATTTGACATTTTACAATCAAAAACTGAAACACTCTCACTAAATGCTGGCTCCGACTCAGGAGATGCTATTATTGTACAGTCAAGAACTTGTGAATCATGAATACCACACAAATATATACATTTGTATACAGAATAAAATTCTATAAATGGTGTTATCTTTGTGGTAAACATATGAAAAACAATGATGATTTGATTATTTTTCAAAGAATGTCCCAATTTCACCTCCTGAAAAAAACAATGAGACTGTCCCAGTTTCACCTATTGCAAAAACAATGATGTCCATAATCAGGTGCTCTCATTGCCCTGATCCCCCGAGTTCCAATTAAGCGTTTTTAAACTTTGAGGAATTCTTTCAGTACTAATTGGTCAACATGGGTTATGTGAGTCAATGTATTGTTTCATATCTTGCACCTGCTACTTACTCGTAGGTGGTGTAGATTTATTAGCATTTCTAGATGCACATGGGCGTAAATGTAACCAGGGGACTACTAACAAAATCACATCATGTCAGTTTTCAATTTTTTCTTAAAGTTCATGCCACATCGAGATTTTTTTCCTTTTGCATAATCAAAATAGAATTAATTTCGTGATTCAAAGAAATGAATTGGGATGCTTGAAATTTTATCATAAATAATTAAGTTTGAAATTTCTATCAACAAAATTATAATTAGTGAACTGGGATTTGAGGAAACCATCATGATTGAAGTCCAAAGGGATTAAGCTTTACACAATGGTCTATCGTTGTATATATAAACACAGGAACAGTCCAAGTAGTCAGAATAACAAAAACGCAATGAAGATGATGATGTTACTAAAGCTAGAACAACGCTAATTTACTTCAACTTATTAAAATATTCTTCAAAAAACTAATCACCAAGCAGCTGAGACAGCAAATCTTGAACGTAAACAAATCAAAGGTTATAAAAATAAGCGTACAGGACACTTATTTGCAACTTGCAAAACTTGTGCTAAGGACATCTCACAGACAGGCATGGCAATGTCTCAAAGTTTGGTTTGTGTGATTTTTTGCACATTTCTAATGGCAAGTCTCCACAAAGCTGATGGACAAAGTGAAGGTAAATATGAAGTTGGTTATGACAGAGATAAAGATGTGTTATAAAGGGTACATACACCATGTGTGCTGTAGTAATAGTAGATTAGAATTACTTAATTAACTTGGCACCCATTATTTTGTTACTACACTGTATTTATTTCTGCTAATTGGTCAACCTGTAGAACACAACGAGAAATGTATAATCATAGTTTAGACACTATACTATGATTTTTTTTTTATTTATTTATGTTTATTTTGTCCACCAATGATGATGTGTATTCATATATTTAATTCATAAGTTTAACATAAAAGTAAACTATATTGTGGTATATTTTATGTTTTTCAGTAAGTGTAGTCTAGAACTAGATACAACTGCATCTCATAGTTTATTAACAAAATACCCTGGAACTTATTTTCAATCAATTGTTTCTAAATAGCTGAATAACGCTGTCATAATAGATGTCACCCTTGTTTGTCTTTGATATTCTTGGACTAGGCCTCCATTCACTTCAATGCTAGAAACTTGAAATAGTCACATAATTTCATGATTTATCAAAAAGTGTTGGTTGAATCTGTCTGAAACTCGAATGGCATACTATTGGATGACCCTGTCAATGTGCATATTGTGATGAAACATGAAAATGTTGGTTGTCATACGAATAAGCCAAAGTTTTAATGAATTTTACCATTGCACCAATGGAGATTTGGCCCAAGTTTTTTTTAAATGTCATGGAAAATGATTACAATGACATAACTGTGTAAATCAAATCTATTATTTGTGAAAACTTGACACTTAATTCAAATATGCTTTTACAAATAGTGACTGCCATTGAGGGAAATAGTGCAAAATATTTTTCCCGAGGAAAGTCAGTGGACAGGATATTCCCGAAGGGAAACTTTTTACACTATTTCCCGAAAATGTGGCATTATTATAATGTGACAATATTCATGAAGATCGTCAACGTAACAAAAGCGAGGGACTAAATATGTGAATTGCGTATTCGTTAATATACTAAACATAGAACCGCCTGCATATTCTCAAACTAGACTATCTTCTAGACTGTTAGACATTGTTTCTTTTCAAGTTAGATAATGGTTTTGGGATATATAGGGTCTACTTTTCTTATGACAGATTTACACTTACAGTTTGCTTTTCTTGTTGGGTTTCTTTAAAGTTTTTAGTCACCATTCCCTTTGGCATTTGTGCTTATATATTCCTTAACTTTGAGCCAAATTATTGTCCACAACTTGACTTATAAGTGGTGTAGAATCGAGAAATAAAGATATCTTACCGAAACCGAAGCCCGAAAGTTCTTTCATCTTGTTACGCTGACGTTGTTACGTTGACGTATCGTCAGCGTAACTAGGTGAGTACCAGTGAGCTTGTAACTTTTTACAATCATGTGTATGTAATAAGACAACTTATGCAAGACAACAACTAAACAAAAATACATGGAAATAAGATCTTATCATTGTTAAATATTCTGTTCTTTAAAAAGTGTAACATACTCGTATTCTATGGAATGACATAAATTTTTCCAGGGAATTAATCAAGTACTAGTATTCAACTATTCAATTTGTTTCAGTTCTTTTCAGATTTTGAATGAGTGCAGCAGCCAAAATTCAAAGTCTAGGACACCAGTGCATTAAATCATTCACAATTCATTGAAGCATATGCTTAATTTCTTTTCACACATTGCAAAAGATTTTGTTCTGTACCACTAAAAGAATATTTTGCAAAGAAAGTTCAAGGGTTTCAAGGTTAGGTGGTCATAACTAGGCCAACACAAACCATTTGACATTAGACCTGCAAAAGATGGGTCGTGCGTTCGATCCCCAGTGGGGTCTACTGACTTTTCACATTAGCCCTTAGCACAGGATTGCATTATGTGTTTTCATTAAATATTTAATTAAATTAAAAAAAATTAAAAGAAATTATAAGATTGATGAATCTGAATCAAAGAATATCAAAATAGCCAGTGCTTGGTTGTAAATTCAAGAATGCAGACTATTTGAAATATTGTTTTCTGATTGGCTGGTATTTGATACTACGAGGCATTGCTTGCTATGTGTGAATAAGTGGTATGAATAATATTTAATATTATATTCATGGATAACCAGTTTTTACATGCAGATTTCAATAAATGAGCCATCACATTTGAAAAAGTGACTGATTTCATCACTTTTAAGAAAACGTTAATATGGTAAAATGATTATTCAATCGAAAATCAATCCATTACATTTATAAGTGCTATAAGTTTTTGATACTTCACAACGCATAATTAATTGTGACATAATCAGCTTTTATCAGAAAAGGACATTTTAAGTCAGTCTTTTTCTTCCAATTTTAAAAAACTTTCTGTTTTCCCAAGTATTCCACTGTTTCTCAAAGAAAGGTTTGTTTAAATATCTCAGTTCTCTGATTCCCCCTGTTTCTAACTGCTCACAATACCCTGTTTTATGAGCAGTGGTTGGCAGGTCTGGAATGTCACACTATTATGTCACTATACTTGTCATGTATTTTTATCATTGCTGTTCTCGAAAAACATATCGTTAGAGGGCTGCTAATGAACCTTCAAATTCATAGTTTCACGATAGATTTGCTTTATTTTGCAGTTATATGCGAAAGGGGAGATGTTGAGAAATCGAAACCAATCGATGGGCCATTTGACCAGTGTAAGATCCAAACTTTGGGCATGGCTGCCTTTAATTATCAAAACAATAGCGAGTTGCGGTGCTCGTTGTCTGTAGAAAACCCTGTATGTAATTCCGAAAACCAAAAATTCTCAAAGTCCAAGCATCCACGTGCATCTTGTAAAAATAAGTGCCTAGAAGTGAAGGACTACGGCCTCAAATATTCTAGCCAAGTTTGTTTGTGTACCCCAAAGTGCTATCTATATAGTAACTGTTGCTATGACTACCACACCGAATGCAACAAAAATTCACACCAACAAGATGAACTGACCAACACTGACATCCTGGCCAATATTAATCCGAAACTCTTCGATATTAATTGGTATGCAAACTATAGTTTCTCAGAAAACGATCTTCGCAACTTAAGGTATCTTGATCGTCGTCCAGAAGCTAGTTGCAGATTCTTGAGATACGTTGAGTTGCCACCGGATGATTTTTATTCCCCTTTGGACAATTGGATCAAGAAGTTCTACTATACCTATATTGGCTGTAACCATGACTACCCAGCAGGTGATGTTAGAGAGAAATGTGAGCGCGGACAAAAGGGGGAAACTTTCAATGACATATTGAGAAGTCTTGTTCCTGTGACTTCTAATCGAACTGGCGCAACGTACACCAACATTTTCTGCGCAATGTGCAACTTCGAATCGCTTTCTGAACTGCTTTATTGGAAGACAGAAATAAGGTACATTGCTAAGTTGAGAGAACTGGGTGAGAAATTGAAAGAAATAACCCTTGATGATCTTGATAGTCTAGTAGATTCTATACAAAACAATGATATAAGTTTTAATTTCCAACCCCCTGGGGAGCAAATCGAAAAATGGCTTGAACCATGTTTACCTGGAGACATCATCCAATGTAATTCATCTCTCAGTGAGGAAATTTCGAATTTTCATGTTTTGCAAGTTGCTTGCAAATCATACGCTTTGAAAACATTCGTCGTAGCTGAAGACTTGAACATCGGAAAGACAATAAACATATTTTTTAAGAATGCTGCATGTGCTCTTTGCAATGGATACAACGAATCACAAATACGACCTCTTGGGCTCTTCGGTGATTCTCAAAGTTTCGGTGAGCTGCCTCCGTCCATGGCCATTCTCTTAGATTTCTCCCACAGCGGCCTGACTGCCACTAGAACCAAGACAGGTGAGGAAATAAAAGGTATGGGAAGAAAATGCGAGGAGACAGAAATATACGATCTTGCTGTTGATAAATGTAGACCTGTTCTTTGTGGTAAAACTGGCTTAAACGTCGATTCTAGTGTATGTTCTGTGCTTGCATCTCGCCACAACAATGCATCTTTTACTCAAAATGTAACAAATGAATTATTTCTGCAATGTTCTGTTATCAAACTTGACAAAGATGAATTCGAAAGCAATGGCTCATCTCTATATTTGAAGAGAATCGATGAATATCTGTTGGAAAACCAGTTCATTATCTTCAACTCATCTGCTTTTGTCTGCGCAAATTACAGTTCAGAATTCAGTAAATTGATGTTTTTTGATTACTCATACTTGCAAAGAATCATGTCCCAAGTAGGAAACATAATATCTCTCATATCACTGGGTATAACCTTCGTCACATTCTCCATATTTCCTTCCCTCCAGACACTTCCTGGCAAATGCATAATGAACCTTTCTGTTGCTATTTTCATTGCTCAACTACTGATGGTATCCGTCATGAATGAGACATCCATACCGCTTGTTTGTACTGGTATCGCTGTGACGGAGCATTATTTCTGGTTGTCGTCTGCGTTCTGGTCAAACGTCTTGTCATTTGATATCTATTTTACATTCAGGCATAAATTTCAAGTTGTGATGACATCAATGAGAACAAAACGATTTTACGTTTATCTTGTGTACGCATGGGGCATGCCCGCCGTTGCTGTCAGCTTCTGTTTCGTTGTTGATTACTATCAACTCTGGGGATTAACAATTGGTTATGGCAGTAGCACTGCTTGTTGGATCAGCAACCCAAATGCCCTTCTCTTTACGTTTGCTTTGCCCTTGGGTCTCATACTCATTGCTAATGCAGTGTTTTACATCAACACGGTACTGAAAATATCTGATATAAGAAATCTTGCTCAGACTGTCAAATTACGAGGATATCGCAAAAGCAACAATTGGCAGTATTTCAAGATGGCAAGCATCATGGGGTTTACTTGGATCATGGGTTTTGTTGCTGCATTTTCTCAAATCTTGGCGTTCTGGTATGTTTTCATTGTGATGAATTCCCTTCAGGGTGCGTTCATTTGCTTTTCGTTCGTGTGCACACGAAGAACCTTCCGACTTTCTAAAGCATTCTTTGGCTTGGGTGACAGTAGCGACCAGACCTCATCGTTTCGAGTTGTTTTTAGTCAGAAATCACAATCTAAGACCACGAAATCAATTGGACAAGAGGTGTCAAAAGGAGGTAGCGTTCAGACCGTGGAGAAATCATCTCCACCTCTCGTACGCAGAGACACACCACCATCTCCTTTCGGATATGATGAACCACCTCAAATGCTGGATGGGATACTTGTTAGTCTCAATGAAGTGGAACTGAACAAAAATCCATAGGCTTAAATTGTTTTGCTATGTCGATTATCTTAAAATTTGGATCGAGAGCTCTGTTCGTCAAAAATTATTTTTACAAAAAATCGGGGTTACTCAAGAAAGATTTATGACTTAAAAATGGGGGGATCACATGAAAAATCGTAGTTGTAAACACTAAAAACTGGAATTTAAATCGGGGCTTGACAGATCTGGTATTTAACATCGAACAAGACTTGTCAGTTAATTGTTATAAGATGGCAAATTGTAAATAAAAATCCCCGGTCCCCATAAATGTGTGTTTCAAATCACCCCCACAACTACTTGTGTATTGAAATCAGTCACAAACAGCTGAATTTTATCTGATTAACCACTAATCCAGCTTTCAACCCCAAGATTAAAAGCAACCCCACATTTATGGGGTAATGTAAAAGGATAGGTGGTCCTATCAAATTTTGGTCCTACTCTCTATTGATTTACAGTATACGGTGACGTAATTACAATTATTTTTGGCTCACACAGTGAGCCTATGGGATTGACCAGGCGTCCGTCCGTCCGTTGGTCCGTCCGTCAGTCATTTTTTTCCGTCCGTCAACATTGGCTGCACAAATTAAAACTGCTATTCGGATTGAGTCATATCCACAGTCATTTTATGCATATCCATAATGCCTATTTGACCTATCATCGCCATTTCCCAAGTTCGCCCGGTTTCCGAGAAATTGCTGATTTTGACGTCAAAAAGTCAAATTTTCTGTAAATACTAGACACTTTGTTGAAGTACAACTTTCAAATAACTTGTTGTAGTTGCTGTATATGCAACTTATGTCCTCTGAAGATTTCAAAGCTCTTGGAATTACAGTTTTTGGTGTTTACTCTATAAAATTTGACAAAAAGTAGGACTTATTCATTTTCAGGAAACTTTCTTATGTTTATTCATTTATGTATAAAGTCAATGGCAGGTTTTGTGATTGAAAAGTTTCTCAAAGTTTGCCTTATACTTGATCATTTCTTGCAATGAATTACATCATAACTAGATTTAAGCATTCCCTACATATTGCTCAATATATGTCAGCATCAAATTTTTACCGTTTTTGAGATATTTGACGTCAAAAAACAGTAAAAATAAGTTGTTTTTCAACTTGCTTCAATTTGACCAATTTTTTTTTGAAAATCATCTACCAGGAGTTCAAATCTGACATTAGTTTTAGGATTTGACCTTTACTTGACCTTCAGTGACCTTTGAAATGTCAAAAAAGTTGATTTTTTCAAATTGATTTTTGGATGTAAATTTTGGTCGCTTAATCACAAAAGACCTTACTGAGCTCTAAATAAGTAAAATTTTCAAGGTCAAAGGTCATCAAACTAGGTCACACAACTGTGCTGTCTAAGTTTCTCAAAGATCGAGACTACAAATCCAAATCAATATTTTTGTTTGAAAGTCAGGATATACATTCCTCTGAAGGGTTCAAACTGTGTGAGCACAGGACCGTGGGTCCTATTTTCCTTATTACACAGTAAGGGCCGCAAGGAAAGGGGACCATAATCCCCAGGGGACCATAATATATTTTACACCGGGTATAGATCCCATATATATATATCTGAGAGATATATACACGCGGTACTAACTCACCGGGGCGAATCGAAACCAAAACGCCTCGCAAAACCGTTAATTTGAATTTCAAACCTACCCTTTCTTTGGAAAATCAATGATTGTGAGTCTCATAGTACACCGTTTTTCTTCAAACTTGTTCCATTAAAACCTTCACAGAAATACCTTTCAGTCGAGACATTGCTTTTGTGTACAGAGTCACTCGTTTTAGCGGCGTCGAGACTTCTGGTTGAAATCCCTGAAGATTTGCATCTTCTCACATCTGGGGACCAAAACGCCGCTAAAACGAGGGACTTAGTAAACAAAGGCAACGTCTCGACTGAAAGGTATTTCTGTGAAGGTTTTAATGGAACAAGTTTGAAGAAAAACGGTGTTGTGTGAGACTCACAATCATCGATTTTCCAAAGACAGGGTAGATTTGAAATTCAAATTAACGGTTTTGCGGGACGTTTTGGTTCCGATACGCCCCGGAGAGTTAGTACCGCGTGATATAGAGAGATCTGCTTAGAAAGTTATGACTGAGAATATGAACAAACTCTCATATTTGTGCTTGCTGATTGAGGTATATTTATTTTATATTTATCTGATAATACAAAGAAATGGATACTTATACATATCACCAAAAAATAACCACGCATCTACACTTAAAATCATGATATACTGTATAAATGAGTTCGTTTCAGTAAAAACATGGCGGCAAATTCGAATGTGATTAACTACAATCGAACGTTCATCAATTCATGACTTAAACGTTGACTTAAATCGTCATTGTGACGGAGCATGTTATTTTTCATAAAAACACTTAGGAATACTTCACAATGCCTGTGTGGTTTGGAAAAACCTATTGTCTTGTTGAGTTTTTGTTAATTAATATTTTGTGGTGTTGTTCATGTGGAGAAAACAACCATTTTCAAAATGAAGATCACACCCCATATCTCTCAGTCAGTAAACGGAAGGGATCTTTGATGATTCTTCATTCTAAAAATGGTCATTTAAAATACTAATTTTCAAAATTTTTCCAAGCTGAAATAAGTCACAATTATAAATACTTATGACACTGTGGCTAGTCGATCTATGTGGATGCAGTCATTTATATGTAATGTATCGTGGGTGCTCGCGTACATTATAGGAATGGAATCATTGCAAAAATATGACAGCAAATCGAGGTAAGTGATCTCAGATTTTCTACTTAACATTGTGACTTGAAATCTTGCATACATATTCAATATACATAGTATCACAATGTGTGAAAGTTTCAGCTACCATATTCCTGTTATAGGGAAGATATTTGAAAAAAATTCGTAAACGTCAACATATATGTATAAAATGGATGCACCTATGTATCATTTGGATTCAGAACGGTAACAAATGGATGCTTTAATAAATTATACTTTTATCATGATGATTTATTTACTGATGGACAACTGGCAAGATTTTCTTTGTATACATTGTTCGGATAAACATTCCTTATTCATTAAAGTAATTAGCCACCCCATTACAAGTAGTCTAAAGACACCCTCATGGAAAATTGAAAATACTATATATAAACCCATCAACTGGAAAATGCCATTACATATGAAATAAAGGACCCACGGTCCTGCTCACACAGTGTAGAACCTTCAGAGGAATGTATATCCTGATATTTTTCAAACAAAAGTATTGGTAAATATGAGATCAATGAAAGATGAGTCCTTTGTTGTTGGTTCAGATATGATTTGTTGTAGTCAAAGGAAAAACTATGAATTTGACCTAGATTTTGACCTAGGCCTTTTAGTGTCCAAATTTTGAAGGAAAGTAGATTTTGAGGACGGCCTCTATTGTAGATTCTTATTAAGTTGGCTGCATCCAAGCTGTATCTAGTGTTGTGTTGTTACAATTGATAATTTTCTCAAGCCCTATTGACTTAACATCGGATACCAAAATAGCGATTTTTGAGATTTCAAAATGCCATAACTTCCGAACCAGAAGTCGGATCAAAATCTGGTTTGCAGATTCGGATTTTTTGGACAATTCTACACATTTTTCATAACTCATACATTGAATTCCAAGAAGTTTTTATTGTGACCTACTTTTCGGATGCCATATCTCAAAAACGGTAAGAGTGATCAAAAACAACTTGCCTGTAGGGATTAGCTTTTTTCCAAGGAACATGATTAAAAAAACGGAGCAAAAATATTGAAGGACGACTGAGAAAATTGAAAAAATGACAAAGTACTGGATTTGACCTAGTTCTTGACCTTTGACCTAGATTAAACCTGATTAGACCTAGATCTGGACTTGGACCTGAACTGGACCTTGACTTGGACCTGGACCTAGACCTGGAAATGGACTGGACTGGTATTTTTTCAATCTTTTCTTCACTTCTCTTGACTTTCTATAAGGCTATCATCAGATCGATTTTTCTCGAAATTTAAAAATCAGCAATTTCTCGAAAACCGGGCGAACTTGGGAAATGGCGATGATAGGTCAAATAGACATTATGGATATGCATAAAATGAATGTGGAAATGACTCAATCCGAATAGCAGTTTTAATTTGTGCAGCAAATGTTGACAGACGGACGGACCAAAAACTATGGTTTTATCGCTAATACTGTTAATTTGAAAAACGGGTCCATAACATGTAATGATGACAATGAAAATGTTAGAATTAGGTACGCCAATGAAGTGAATTCAGAGCAAAAGACCCATCGACCCACTGGAATACCCACAAATCAAGTTTCATAGCCTTGCCCAAGTCGGTCTCTTTTACTTATCTTGATTTCTATTATGACCGCCTTGTACCAAAGAGAAAGCCACGTGCTTTACCGACCCAATGTTTTTGTCGGTAAAATTTGACAAATCAACGACGAGCCTACATTGCCGGACTAGGTCTTCGTGCATTTCCATCGAGAATTTAGTTTTGATTTTGAATCAACATTGAATTGCATGATTTCATTTAGACGAGTATTAATGACTGCTTACATTCCAATGTACATTTAATAACATAATATATTGTAACTCTCAAGAATCACTCGATCAGAACATTGAATTTCAAGTCCTAGACGGGTAGTTTGCTTTTTTTATGCAGGTCAACTTGATAACGTTTTGATTGGTCAATCAGCCTGAAGTCACACGTTGTGTCCATGTCCATATTGTCAATCAATATGGTTTTGCGATACCGTCTCGGAACCGCTGAATAACTTAGCATAATATCAGCGATGATGCATTGGATTGTTTAAGGTTGTAATAATTCAAGATCAGATAAGTAAATAAATACTGACTTGGGCAAGGCTACAAGTTTCAGAGCCATTAACATTCCTTGAAAGTGACAATGAGCAGCCAACAGATGGACAATCCGTAAATCTTGATGATTTTGTCAGCTCAGCTGAACGAGCCTCCAGATTCCTTGAAACAAATGACCATAATTCAAGAATAATATTATCTATTTACAATTTTTTGAAATCGTGGTAAGTGGAATCTTTCCAATTACCAATATAGCATTATTATTGTTCTTTGACACTGTGGATTAAAATATTAAAAATACACACATTCAAAATGATTCAATTGAAACCTAACCAGTCTGTTTAATGAATCCAATCAGAACGTCTACTAATTCACATGATACATCATAATAAAATTGCTTTTTTAAAGCGGATATTTTATACCATAACCCCAAAAATATTATAGAACCATTGTATTTGTATTTTACTTCACACAGACATATTTGTGTATGTGAAATAATTATATTACTTGAATTTTTTATTCCCCATTACAAGGTAAACCTATTACTCTAGGGGCGAGGAGGGAAATTCTCAATAAATGGAGTATAGTTGGTTTGGCAGCATTTCCAGTTAGGGGAGAGTCTTGGATGAAATTTCCACCTAGGTGATAGCTTCACAGAGTGGTAGGAAGTTCTTTTTTTTTGAAGAGTTAGCCCCCTACCCCACAAAAACACCCCACCCCGGGGAAAAAAATTGTTCACACTAAATAACCTTAGATATTTTGATGTTTGTAAGTGACATACCTAGATATTATATATATGAATCATTTGCAGTATAATTGA